TACCAATGTCGCAAATTTATTAATACCGAGACGATAGGTATGTAAACCAAGATCATGTTCGATATTATGTTGAACGATCATTTTGACATGTTTAACGAAAATATTAAAACGATGAAGTTCTTCAACACTAGTATTATATACAACATTGTAGCCTTTTTTGAAATTGGTCCATAATTTATCAACGTGTGATTCGATATCTGCCACCGATGGTAGATGAAATTCGTCACCGAGTGAAACTGGTGATGACTTCACCAATGAAATTGAAATGATTGCAAAAAGTATAACTAAACGCATTGTAATCCTTTTCAAATAAGAAATATCTGAAAACAGAAAGATATTTTTTAGAATCCACCTTGTTTTTCTCTTGTTTTAACAATATGTCATGTGATTGTGATTGAGAATGTTGTCGACCAAGTCGTCTTTTTTTTTCTACCAAATGAGTATATATACACTATTTTTGCACTTTTTATACGTCGCCGGTCGTAGCAAAAAAAGAATCCTGTAGAACAAGCGAAGAAAAAGAGAAACTAACCAACCAACTAACATGCATTTTATATACGATTGGGTATGAGTCATCACGTCCGTGCTGATAGTCAGCTGACACTTTTCTTCTTCTGATTCTCGAAATGCGTCGATCGATTTTCTACTGTTATCGCAAAAATGAAAAAAGATTTCGAACTGAATCATTCATTATCTTAACTATGAAATCAAGTTTTATTTTCGTAATTTGATTCGTCATCTCATTAACGAAAACAAAGAGTACAAAGCGTATACTTTCTTTGTTTTGAAGGTATCGGTGCAAAAGAAGAAAACGCGGACGTTATACACACACACGCACACGGAAATGGGAGAAAAACTGTTATATAAGAAGTAGAATATTAATCATAATAATACATCCAAAAGAAAAACAGGAAAACGTCCATGGAGGAGAATAATTGATTCATGCATTTTGTGGCATCGATTAAAAAACAACAAACAAACAAAAATAATCATTTTGTTTTGCATTGATAAAAAAAACGAAAAGAATACAAGTATCTGAGAAAGATTATGTGCGTAAGGCAAGGCAAGTTAGAAATAAGAAAACAAAAAAACAAACGGGTAACTGTCCTACAACACATCAAGGCAGAAAACATCGCGTCAAGTTTCTTTTCGTTTTAATGACTAGAAGAAAGAAGATGTTAAGTTAAGAAAGAGAAGAACAGTATTATTTCAAGCAATAAGACCAATTCGTGCTGCTTTTGCTGACAGAAACGCATGTAAATGGAAGACGAATGGTTTCGGGGATGTTCCAAAATCTAATTCCTAAAGCAAACAACTTATCTTCTCAGAAAGAAATTCAAAAAACATTAATCAACGTACGACAACGCCTTCTTCACCATGAAAATCCAACGTTAATAAATGTTCATTATCATCAGCGGATGAGCGAAGTTTTTCAAACGGTTGTTGCCACAGCAAACGAACATTGCCAATACTAGGGGTAGTACTACCACTCGTAACTGAATCACTTGGATCGCTATATAGAGTGAATCCATGTTCATAATGTAGAAATAATTTACATGTTCGATTATTCCATTTACAAGCTATGGAGGAAGAAGAGGAAAACACATCGATCAGCCTAATGAAATGGGAAGGAAAAGCAAATTACTTACGAAAGACAACTTCTTTGGTTCGTACAACAGCACTTTGTAAGCATTGACTGATTGCTTTAGTCCAATAGTTAAGATCTGTTTTAGTTTCAACTCGAAACGTATGTGACACAACACCAAATTTTGTCCCAACACGTAAAGATAACAATGAACTATCAGTATCATTTGTTGAATCACGTGTTGCTTGTATGAGTCTTCCATGAGAAAGAAAAAAAACAAGAAAAGAATGTCTTTTTGTGGCTAAACTTCGCGGATTTACCTTGTCGAAAGAATTGAATAAACAATATCTGGTTCACGACAGGTTTGTTTTGAGACAGGTGCACAACAAAGAAAACAAATTTCTGCATCGGTCAGAACAAGAAAAACAGGCTTCCAAGATTTCGGCTCTTCGTTGTTGACTTGCTCCGTTAGCCAACCTAACGCTTTGACTTCAGTTGCATTTCGTGCAACACAAAAATGTTCTTCGATTTCGGGCAAAATTTCCAGTAAGCAGCGAGAAATTTTTGAATGAATGATTTGAAACCATTTTCTCGCGTGCATATCATCAGCAAATCGTACACTGTAACATGTTTGAGCATAGGGTAAGACAATATCTAATATAGAACCATTCGATACGGATGATGAGCCTGTTACTAATGGGTTCGATGTTGTTCCCGTTGAGAGAACAAGAACATCGTTTGTTACTGATGAACGACGAAAAATATAACACAAACGAAGTGATATGCGTTTTGTTTCATAAAGTATTGAATCATTTGATGAAGGTGGGGAATTATTAGCAAGATTCTTCTTCGAGCTCGACGATGAAAGATTGGATTCAATTAAATTATCCTGAGATTGTTGATTTTGCTTACGAGAATAAGTCGAACCTTGTTTTTGCATTAAGACATTCACTTCGCGTAGATATCGAACTAAAGCACAATCAAGAACAATGTTTAATAGATTATCTAATTGTTCAGACTATTTAATCTTTAACAACACGTAGATGTGTATACACTTATTATGTAATCCTGACCTTTATAAGATATCTGTTTCACCTGAAATTTATGAATCGTAACCTTTGTGAGGATGAAAGCTTCAATCCGATATTCTATGCTACAATTCCAAGGTCAATAGAACGAGTTATGCACAGGTGGAAAGATTAAAATATCGAAGTGCTTCTGTTCGCGAGAAATACATTCTTACATCATCATTTAGATGTTGAAAGCTCCGATCAAATTAGATACCAACTTTGTTTCTCTTGCATGTCGATCCAATGGACGTACAAAACTGATTTATTTCTCTTCGATTGAACATGAACTATTCGTAATCATCGCTGATAAAAATAACCTCATATTTCCGGAAATGAGAAAACTCATTCAGGAGAAAAGAGGCCCTTCATGATTTTCAAGGGCTGTATGGGTATCTCGTTTCCTTCATGCTTTGTAAATGACAGAAGGTGGAAGAAAACTCCACCGGAAACTCAAATCATCTAGTCTTTCCCTGTTGATTATTCAATGATAATCAAGGATTCTATCTTCGAAATTGCTCGTCGTTAATCATAACATTGATCACTTTTGTTTGCTACAATCAAACTCACCTTCGAGTTCTACTTCTCGTCCAGCTTTTTTCAATATTTGTACTGCTTCTTCATGCGAAACATGTTGTAAATCTTTTCCATTGACAGAAAGAATAGCATCACCAACATATAATTGGCCAGTTTGATCAGCGGGCATATTGGGAAAGATTTTACTGATTAAAATCGGCATGCGATTTTCTCTTCCGCCTTTAATACTGATTCCTAAAATAAACCAGTTTTTGAAGCGATTGTACAAGTTTTGATTTTTGATTTACCCAGTCCAGTGTTATCTGGCTTGGAGATTTTGACAATTCGTTTCTGGCTCGTGATTGTATCTGGCGTTGAGTTTGATGTTGAACCATTATTCTGAATTGGTTCATCATTCGTATTTGGCACTTGCTTCGGCGAGTCATTCGATATCGCTTGATCTTGCTTGTTATGTGCATATTCAATAAACAGATTCTCATCTTCGAGGGCTAAGCTCGCTTTAATCCATTTCGAACGTACATACAGTTCAACAACAGCACGTTGTTGTTGTTCTAACGGAGGCTCTCCTGTCATCGAGCTATCTCAGATTTGACTGATCTAATCAGATAAACATTAATCCTTTTATCTTTTTTCATTCTCTTGTTTATATTTGTTTATTTACTTCTCTCCGTAATGGATCGGTGTTATTCACCAATGAAAATTCGTCGAGAGAATGTTTTGTGATAATTAATGTTGAAAAACTTCACGGTTTAGTTTTTGAAATGAAAAGAGTAAAGAAAACTTATTTTAGTGAAAAGTCGAGCGACATCTATCGAGACAGAGAATAATCTGGATTCTTATGGAGAAATGACGAAATTTAATTTTGATCGTTAAGCATGTGGTTAGAAGTTACGAAACAAGAGTTTTTGTTTTAGATTATCATTTGGTAACATTCATATCGATTTGAACGAAGATCATGGTAAATAATCTACAATATTTTTTTCAACAGAAGTAACTCATTATTTGTAGCCTCAAAACGAACATATCGAACTTCATCGTAAACGACATGGTCGTCGGTTCGATCACTATGAAAAACAGTAAGATCTTTTCGAGTGTATAAAAGAGAAATATCACTTTCTTGCATTTGTTTGTAGAAAGAAGAAAGAAGGACGTTTACCGCATATTTTATCTAAAAAAGCTCAGACATTGCGCGGCATCAAGTAAGAAGAAGTTTTTCGAAGTAGATATTTCGTACTATTCTGATCATACAGAGCAAAATTGTATAACAAACGTCGTCAAAATGAAAAGATACAAATGAAAAAGACCATTAAAAGTCACGAAGAAAAAGAAACGAAACAGCGACAAGAAGTACCAGAGGGTGCCTTACCTGCTTATTTACTTGATCGTGAGAAACAGAGTCGAGCGAAGATTCTATCCAATACCATCAAACAGAAACGAAAAGAAAAAGCGGTAGGGATATTCTTAAAAAGTTTATTTGGTTGTAGGACGTATGTTTGAATTCTGTTTAGGGTAAATGGGATGTTCCCATTCCGAAAGTGAAAGCTGTTAGTGAAGCTGAAGTGTTCCGTGTTGTTCAATCAGGAAAACGACGAAGTTAGAACATTTTTACGGGTTAAATGGAAGAACTCAAGTGTTCTGTTTTTGTAGAGAAAGCATGGAAACGCTTGGTAACTAAGCCTTGTTTTGTTGGTGAAGGTTTTACGCGAAAGCCCCCAAAATATGAACGATTCATTCGTCCTATGGTAAAACTTTCTAGACTTTTCTCGTCAACGAGCTTTCGAAAACAATTTCATTGTAGGCACTTCGATTTACCAAAGCACACGTAACACATCCAGAATTAAAAGCCACTTTTCAATTGCCAATCATTGGTGTGAAGAAAAATCCAAGCTCACCATTGTACACCTCTTTGGGCGTTATCACTAAAGGAACAGTACTCGAGGTAATGCTTTCAGAAGGCATCCTCGTCCATTATGCATCTATTTACTTCTATTTAGGTGAATGTTAGTGAACTTGGTATGGTGACACAAGGTGGTAAAGTCGTCTGGGGAAAGTATGCGCAAGTGACGAATCATCCGGAAAATGATGGATGTATCAATGCTGTACTTTTAGTGTAATCTTTTTCTTGTTAAAAGTGGTTACTTTTTTGTTCAAAATAAAAGATTTCGAATTGAAACAAAACGCTATACGAAATCTAAATCTTCTTTTTCGTTTTCGAAGAGATGAAAAATATGCATGAATCGTTCATTGAAACAACGAACATTACAAGTTACTGGCAGTTTCTTCGCATGGTAATATTCATTTCTTAGCAGTCACTGCGAATTCTTCATTGTTTCATAGATCAATTGGTACGAACCATGGCTCATTGCACTGGGTGGTTTTCATGTTATCTGTTTATTGATTATCATTTTAACTCGGGGACACGTGAATATTCAAGTCCTGATTTTTCTCGCACTTCGTATGTTTAACTCTGTTTGTATTGAGAATCACATACATGTTTAATGCATTATTTTTAGTCTCGTGCATTTACTGTGCGGAATATATTAATGAATTAGCAGCAAAAAAATGGCAGTAAGTCACTGCAGATTTTTAGTATCGCGAAATATTTGAAATTGCATCATCATAGATTATTTGCTGAAGATCAACACTTCGATAGTCAAGGAATGTTTATTTCAACTGTTTTATCTTTACCAGTTATTATCAATTGCTGTGTTATTGTTGTAAGAAAGAAAGATGAAGTTTGATGAGAGTTGTTGATGATTATCTCTTCTAGAGTATTTGGTTATATGAATCAATTTATTTAATTCGGCTTTATATAAAAACAATAAAAAAGCGACGTCAAGAACAAGTCAATTCAACTGACTCAAATAAAAAGAAGAAGGAATAAACCTCACAAAACTGTTCCGTTAAATCCACTTTTTATTGTTAAATAAATAAAATCACGATCTTTTTCATGACATTTATCAGTCACAATCTCCCAACGACTGTTGTAGAACCAGGCTCATGATAACCGCTGAGGACAACGATGTATATTCCAAATTAGTTTCGTCTGGATAGTTTTCTATTTCTATTCAAGAGCTTGTTCGCTCTTTGCCGTAGCACTACGTCTGTCAGACAATTCATTCGATTTGTGAGGAAGTGAGTGTACCCTTATGAAAGGAGTTCATGTGGTTTTGTACAGCACTGGTTTTTAAAAACAGGCGCCGCTTGGTCCAGTTTTCGTTTTTGAGAAACAGAGTATCCATTCATCAGTGTAATCAATATTAACGTATAGAATCTTCACGTGCTCATAGTTTTCTTGTTTCATAAGCATGGTTCACATATGTCGGGCAATTTATAGTCATCATTTATCTCGAAAAACATACAAACGTAACAACCCTGTTCGTTGGTTTCTTATTCATCAGTGAAAAAACAAACGATAATCACGATATTTGATTGAATGTAAATTTACACATATCGGCCAATCTCATTCATATAGATTGTTTAAATAGCATCTTGAAAAACTGAACTGAATCAAAGCAAAAAATCTTATTTGAATAAAATTAATATCATAGTAGAAAACTCGATCTTCCTAAGTCAATATTGACCACCTGATGAAAATTTGTCTCCTTTCGTCAACGGTGATACAATACACAATGGTACTGACGGCATAGGAAAACGAAGTATAAATGAGTATGAGGAGAGAAATTCTTCTTTTTTCTTCATTCTTCTATTAAAAATTAAAATTTCTCAAATAAAGAAAACATATATAGATATACTAGAAAATGAAGAATAGGAAGAGAAATTGAGAATGAATGAAATAATTGTCTATTTTTAACTAAAGAAAGAAATGACAAAGAGAAAGAAACGATAGAAGAAAATATTTGAAGTTAAAAAACCTGACAATCACTGTTGAAGAAACGAAGAAGAGGAAAACAAGAAGAAGCGGCACTTGAACGCCGGCCTTTGTCTTAGATAAGTGCAATTGGAGAGAAAAAAATTTATCACATGTAAGTTGGACCTGAAATAGAGTAGAGGTACATGAGAAAGTCTTTCACACGCATAAAATTACATTATATTATCTTTAGAAGTTTAGTCGTTTTCATTCTCATTACTATGATATTTTTTTCCAAGCAAAAAAACGGTGGCCAACGTTCATCAAGTACGGAAGCATGTGTATCTATACTGGGTCTTTTTGTTGCCGTGGGACTTGTCGGTGGATTGGCTGCACTCATTTATGGTTTGAAATTTCATGCCTAACGATGTTCTATTTCCATATTTTTAACAGGTTTAGTCAAAGGAAGTGCGTCGGGAGTGATTGGTGGTGGTGTTGTTCTCGGTGTATCAGTAGTTACCGGTGTTATTCTTGCTTTAGTTTTTATATTCTGTTTAAAAAATGTCGTTGACGAATCCAATGAAAGCAATCAACAGGCAACAAATCGAGGACGTCAACGACATCGGCGGCATCATGGTGAACGGGAACCAACAACTTCGCACGAAGTGTCTCATGTCACAGCAATGCACAGATATGATCATCAACATCGTCCGCCACGAACAACCAGTGACGCCGAAATACAGATGTATTCGCAGAATAATAATCATAGTTTAACTGACAGTACATATTCTAATTATAGTAAACAAACTCCTTTATCACCATCAAAAGTGTCGTCGTCTATGCATTTGAATCAAAGTCATAATTCTGTGAACAATCCTCAACATCAGCTGGTAATGACTTCCAATGTTTATCAAAAAAGCCATCAACGTCATTGACATTTCATGAATTTCAATTCGCATAAGCTTTCTTTTCTTATACTCAGTATACGTAAATACTTAGAGTATCTCGAGCCGGTCTCTTTTTACTTCTGCCGAGTATAATTTCTGATTTCCCCTATATATAAATATACTTATTTTTGTATGTATGCATAATAAAACGTCAAATGTAATACTTGGAGATTGAAAAAGATGATCAAAATTGTTCGATATGCAAATCGGAGAATTCGTGAGAAGAAAAAAGCAAGTCTTCTGACAAACACTATAAACAGAAGAGAACTCGAATTGTTAGTCTTCTTCAAATGTTTGTATTTCAATCATACGAGCGTTTCTTTTTCTCGTCCATTTACTCCAATTAGAATGTAAATGTTCTGTTCAAATTCCTTTTTTTTGTTGCACTCCATACGATCCGAGACATTGAGTTCACTCTTATTTATCGATTAGAAAGTAAAAATAATATCGAGTGAAGTGCAATTTCTTTTTCTCATTGTAACGTTGGGATTCATTTCTTAACATTATGATGACATCGAAAAAACGATGGACTTTGGTGCCAAGGAAATGGTTCGGCTCTCTGGCGAATGCTGCGCACAAACGCGATCAAGAAAAACAATCTCAATTGGTTTCATTATCATCATCACATTCAACTACACCACATCGATCCAGCGAGAGGAATTCTACAAATTTTGTAACACAGTACCAGCTACCAAGCTTTAGTACACGACGTGACAAAACTGCTACTATTTCACCAGTTAACACAATCTTTCGTCAGACAAATAGTTTCGGATCTATACGTCAAGAAGCATCGATTCGTAAATATAATCCGTTGACCGCCCCTCTATCCATTTGTACAGCACCATCAAAGTTACGTAAGAAAGCTTCCCATACGTCGGATCTCCTTGTTTTACCACGTATATCTACTCCGAATGAGTTCTCTCGTTCGACTAGTTCTATTCGAAAACAATCCAATGCGTCTGATCAATGTTTACTTGATTCTCAATCGAATTCTTCACGTCGATGTAGTAAACGTTCATTATCCCTTACTCGCACTCATTCGTCATCATCCATGGGCAATAACGACTCCTCATCGAGTGGAATCTTTTCAGATAACCACATCGAATCAAATGAACATCAACTATCGCGGTCAAAAGATACATCGTCAAATTTAGAACTTCTATCAACAGAATCTTTCAATGAATCGCGGGCATCCATTCAGCCCTATCGATTGTCGATTGTTTCATTCGAATCAACAGATAGGCAAGTATCCTATCAAACGCTGAGTCAATCAGCTACGGTTCATTTTCATCGTGTACAAAGTGCGGAACGTCGTCCGAAAGATCATGTCAATAACCGACCGATTATAACAACGAAATCTCGTCAGTCTTCTGCAGCTATTATTAAGAAGATCGAAAAACGCATTCCCACGCAACTGTCGACACCGAATACATTAGAGAAAACAAATTTTATTCGAATTAGTAACGATACCTACCGGTTAACGTCAAATCGAGACAATCATCTCTATCGTCGTCAACGTCCTAATTCATATATTCCACACTCTACCCACGATGACTCGTTGCCTTCAGCAAATAACGAAGACTCTTACGCTGATTTACCTCGTACAAGCTCGACAGAGCAGCTTGATAAAAATCTACAGAACGATCTTCGTGCTATCGTCGACTCGATCGATCATTCCATCATCACTTCCAGTGCAACGAATGAAAATCCTAATTTCATTCTCGAAAGTATCACCGATAAACTATTATCCAGTATGGATTCATCGATCTACGCTCAATATGAACGGTGCTATTAAACGAATCGATTCTTGAGTTACTTTGAATAAAAAAATGTGTTTTTTTTTGTGCTCATTTCGATTACACGTAAAGGTCTTTGTATATATACATCCCATTTGGCATTGATTTCTTTCACCTTAGAAGTTCCGCACAAAACAACAATACTGATTCTTACTATTTAAAATTAATCCTAAAAAACGTTCCTCGTTTCTTACTGCTGAGTATGTGTCGAAATTGTACTTCAATGGCAGATTTCGAGTATGTGCTTTTCAATCACAATGTCAACAGAAGTCTCACCGTAGCAAATCGAACTATGTAAAATCATATTCAAGAGGAGAAGGCCATTTTGTCATTTGTAAATTGATACACTTGGCAACACGATTACCGGATGTAATTTCACTTCGGTCTGAGAAACAATTGCTAAAATTAAAAGTTACCTGACGTCAATAACCTGTCTTTTTTTAATCTAAGAAACCGGAGTAATTGGAAACAAATTGCTTTTTCATACTGTTTTCCTTGGAAACTATGAGTCCATATGGAATGGAAATCAATCCGTTGATTATGAGCACTTGTTAACGAATCAATGACGAGAAAAATTTCCTCCACAGGTGATCGAGTATTGATGCTATGAATGCTCGTACTGCTTGAGAATGATTGTGCATTCGACAAAAATAGAATATGCCTAATGTGTTACACGACGAAGTCGTGTCATTTATGATTGATTGTATGTTTTTCTCATTATCGAAACCACTAGAAAGGTATATATCATTTGACTTTCGGTATTCCAATTTAATAAGTTCTCGCTATCAACAATGTTCATTTTACCTGAAAATATTCGATCATCTACCATTGTTACTTAGACATATTCGTATTCATACAGATGAACAGCCATTTGCATATCACGTATCTGAAACCATTCTTAACAACGTCACCCTCAAGTAAACATCGACGAATATACTCAGGTGAAAAGTAACATCAATTTGAAATGATGGAGCATGCTCGTTTTGCAACCTTAGCTTCTCTAAACGAACCAATTTGCAATGACATCGCCTTGTACATTCGGGCAATAAAGAAAATAATTATTCCAGTTGGCTATTTACCGAAGTGTATCTAAATCTTTTTGCAGATTTCCGAGTGACTCAGCTGCTCCAATAATCTCATAACGTGTAAATGAATAAAAGATTGAACGAGTCAGTGATATGTCGCGTATAAGAGTACCACAAACAAATAATATAGCTCAAGTGTTTTCAATAATAGACAAACAGTAACAAATCTTTATTAATGGTGAGAGTGAGAAAGAGATCGATGAATGAATAGCTGGAGTGGAAAATGGATATCAGAGAAAGAAGAAATTTTCAGAATTTCTGAGGCAGAAATTAGCTTCGGCAACTTTTTTGCATAAAAAGATATAGCCGAAACTGCCATTTTATGCGATGCACGGCGGGAAAATAAGGACTGGAAGCGTAGAAATTTGAATTATACTGATTTTCTATCTGTTATAGCTCTTCGACACGTGAGATGTCCGACATAGATATTTCTTATTCGCAGCGGGTGCTCCGTCTAGTACTTAATAAATCGATAGTTTGTTGAATATTGAATTTACTGAAAATACGATGAAAACTTGTTCACACTCAACATAGATTTTATCCTTGATATTCCCTTGATATGTATGATTAATCATGAAATGCATGGCTGATTTCTACTTGGTAGTGAATCAGAAGCTGATGTTACCTTTCTTTTACTTGCCTGTTGATTATATTGAGACAAAGACAGTCAAACTACTCATCTATCTACTGTACTATTCAGATGATATTAATTTGGTGATAACTGGTTCTCGAATGGCACTTCATACGTCAGTCGAAACATCGGAAGGTAAACATGTTCGAAGCAAGGATTGGCGACCTCTTTGATAGATAAATCAACCTGCTGTTTGTTTCATCGAGTGTTAAAGAAATACATGCGTAGTGAACTATGCGATTCGAAGAATGTTGTATGGAAAGAAAAGAACGAATAAAACATATCCATGATTTTGGAAAAGAACAACGAAAAATACCCATTTTTCTTCCATAAAATTCGAGCAATATTTACGTAACGAATGAAGGATTTCAATGATTGATTCATTAGCGCCAAAATCAATCTCCAGTATAAGATCTATCTTCTTAGTAGAGTACACACGAAGATTATCTTGTTACTAAGTTGCATTGTTTACATTCTCTTCTCGTTTTTCGTATACATGAATGATCATTCTCTAGCAGGTGTGAACAATTTTTGTCGTTTTAGTTAGAACGATCATCATTTTCATCTATTTCCTTTCATACTAGTCTTATAATTTGTAGGGTTGATCGACAATCAAAAGAATCCGAACAATATAGTTAGTGATGCAACAAAATCAAACTTACAGTTAAGTCTATTGCTTGTTTTTCTCTCTCAAGAGAATTAATCTAATATTCATGAATGTCTTGTTGTAGTGAATATGAAATAAATAGAAAAACTTATCCGAAGCGAAATAATCGAACAAAGCTAAACTATCGTGATCTTCAACGAGGAATGTACGGAGATATGTACGAATCAATGCATTCACGTTGTAATTCGAATCGACCACAACAAAAATATGAGACTATTGATCTATCTCTTGATGATGATGACGACGACAATGACGAACAGGATCCTTTGTTTTTATGTTATAAACTAAAAGATGATAAAAAATCAATGCTTCAGTGTAGTTCATGTGCTAATTGGTAACTAATTGATCCTATTCTTTTTCGTACGACAAGTACATTTTCTATTGTAGCGATGAAGTGACACAGAATCATCAAGCGAGTGTATCTAAAAGAACGAGGAATTCAGCCATTTGTCCATCGTGTCAAGGTAAGACTATGGCTTCTTGCGCACATCGTGCCAGATGTCAAACAACAATATCACTCTCCTTAGACATCTCACGTCCAGTTCTACAATCCACAAAATCGTGTGATGTATCTGTTGCTACTCAACGAAAACATTCCGATTTAGTATATCAGAATTCGAAAATCAAGCAATGTAGAGTTCTTGTGGAATGCCTTTCTCAGGATGAATCTACAAAAAGATTTAAAACCGAATCATTTACCGTGAGTTGTCAGAAATTAGTATATCTCTCCAATCTTTCGATCACTAATCACATAATCATAGAAAAATGAAAATTATTGTATTGTTCGTACTTGTGAGAATCCATCGAAATTCGGCTGGATCTACTGTTCATCAGCTTGTATTCGTCGTCATATTAATGACACACTTCAAGCAATTCAACGAAGCCAAGGAACAGTATGAAAGGCTTTATAAACTCATTTAAATGCATTCATTGCTATCTATAGACTAACGAACATATTCCAACTCGAAGTGATATTTTACTGTATGACAATAAAAGTAAACAGACCTTAGACACGAATTCAGTACCGGAAATCGAAGATCTTTGTGTTTGGTTAAACCAACATCCTACTTACGAACTCAGAAGATCTTCTTCAAATCAATCGAAAGACTCGATACAATCATCATCCTCATCGTCCGTTAATACAAAAAAGTTCAAATTATCGTCGTTATCAAACGTAACACAACAACAATCAATCAAATCAAAATCAATTTTACCGAAAAAGAAAACAGTTAAAGCTTTGAAAGTAACTAAAACTTCCACAGATCCTACTGCTGACATTCGTTGCAAAGTTCCCATCGCATTATATGATAAAATCATCATGAGGTATACGCATAATTTCTCTGAGCTAACTATTTCACGAGAATATCTGAATTTAGACTAGAAAAAAATGGTGAACAGTCTCTAATCAATGATGATATTCGAACACTTGTCTATCAAATCGAAGAAGAAATGTATACTGTCTATGGTAAAGTTGATAATTCTTACAAAAATAAGTTCCGTTCATTACTCGCCAATGTCAGTAACATGACTAATAACGTATGTGAATGCTATTTGTAAAAGTTGGCTTAGAGTTCAACTTTTCTACTCTAATAGTTCTTTTATAAACGAATTATTTCGAAAGAAATCACCGCGAAACAGATTGTTTCAATGAAGGCCGAAGATATGTTACCGCCAGGTAATCGACACTGGAAAAAAGATCTGTGCGCTGTATCTGAATGGGCTTTTTCCTTGGCTGTTTCAGAAGTCAAAGAGAAACGTAAAGATCAATTCGAAAAAGAAGTTCAAATGATTATGAAAGCTGAACAACAAAAAGCGGAAGAATTGGCACGACGAGCAAGAGCGAAAACTAATCGTTCAGATCTAATCGACACTTATTCATTTGCACCAACTTTTACAGCAGTAAGAAAATGACAAAGCCATCTCTGAACGAAACTATCTCTTATTTTGAAGAAAGAACAGAGTCCATCAAAGGAAAAAGTCACGGAAACTATTGACGAACAACCTGTGAATGCTTCCATGACAAAAGATCAGCATGATCTACCAGTTTCTCCTGGTAAAAAATGGTTGCCACCTAAGAAAAATATGTAAACTTTTATGGTCGTTATAGTAATACCTCTTCCTACAGCACCGGTATCAAAAGCAGTGGATTCAAGCACAACAGTCAAATTTTCATCTTCTCTTCCAGTACTTGATAAGAATCATATTGTCTGTTCAGAAAATGATTCCGACAATGATTACATTGACCCCGAAAGTCCAACAGGCGCTGATGCACTGATTTATGATGAAGACGAAGATGAAGATGAAGATGAGAATGTTGGTGAGAGTGGTGATGATACTGTATTCATTAACGATAATTGCTTCCAATCGAGTGTATCATGTCAGCCCATGCATCTGGAAAATTACAATCCATTACAAACTGGAATGCAAACATCTTCAACGTAAATTAGCGAGTCTTTATTTGTAAAATGTAATTTTGTCTGATTAGATCTCAATCGGAACCTTACTCGGATCTGCAGCATCAATGGCGAGGAATGATTTGTTCGACTGATGGTCAAATACCTTGCCGATCTGTTCATGCTTATGGTGATAGTAATCATCTAATCAATCATATTCCCGAACAACTGATTGTCATCGGTCGCCTTCGATTGACAGATCTTTGGGATTATGTTCAAGAATCGATCTTTATTCGGGATGTATTGATCTTAACACTTACATCGTCGTCATCATTAAATCCTCGAAATAATGACTTGTTCTTGCAATATATTGATACCATACAAACAACCCGACGAGCTGCTGTCATTAGTAAATACACGAAAGCATCACATATTCGTGATATGTATATATTACCAGCTGATACAAAAGATTGTCCCACAAGTGTCATATCATCTCTATTTTTGCCAACAACATTCGAAGCTAAACAGTTATTTCTTGTAGCTATCGGCTCGGCACGAAAAACTCCTAAATCAGTTGTTTATCTCAATGACTACTTATCTGTAAATCATTTCACATATAAACCAATTGCCTTACAGGATGAAACAGTTACACGAGATCCACGATTAACTAAAAGTAGAGATCCAAGGTTGAATAAAAGTAACGCAATAAACGAAAATGTTGCTCTATCAGCAACAGTAACAGCTGACGACACGGCGAAATATTCTCAGTAGTAAGTAATCATTTTTAGTCAACAAAACTGCTGAGAAATAGTTCTATTGAACGACATTCATTTAGCACCAATGATGAACTATTAAACCTAACGTCCGGCGCCCTTGAATTGATCCGTCATTCGTCAACGATTAAAAATATGCATTCGATTGTCGCGTCGACAAGTGAAATATTAAAAGCCAATCAACGTGTTGATCTACACAATAGTTTTCTCAACGATTATGTGATGATCTTAGCTGAGCGGCAAAAAACATATGAAAACGCACTGAGTCCACCAATAACTGTACCCGGCGATAATTTAGTCGAGGAAAAAATGGATGTTGTCGATGATGATCAAGATACTAAAGAACAGGAACAACTGCTTCCAAGTAGTAGTAGGTCCTATGCTGATTTCAATGATGTTGATTATCGTTTTTCTTGATGAAGACACGAATCAATCTTTACCATCAAATGATCAACCGCGTAAGCCACGGCAAAAATCACGTTTCTCCGACATATTGCCAACCGATGCTCACCTTTTTGAAAAACCCCAATTAAACGCTGGACTACAAAAACTCGATAAAAACTTTGCAGCCGATAACATGAAACTTCCTCAAATCAAATACACGAATGTGAGTTTCTAACTGCTTCATTTTCTATGCCATTTATTTTCTTCCTGTCTTTTCTTTTGTGTTGTAAATATCCGCATTTGTTTTGTTGAAATGTGTTTTATAATAAAACGTTCGTTCTATAGAAACCGATTCTACCAGTTAACTCACTGACCAGTACAGAAAAACGTCCTCATTTCGGTGGAAATTTATCACTAAGAAATAACAATGCAATGAAATCAATCCGATCCACTCCAACATTTGATCCTGCCATGCAACAACAACAACAACAAAAATCAAAGAATAGATATTCGAACCGTAATTATTTCAAGACAGAATATCATGATTTAGATCAGCCTGAAGAATGAGCTGCTGTTTCTTGCAGACTCAATTTTCATTGAAATTGTTTGATTTTTCTATAGAAATTATTATTTTGAAAATCTTTTGTTTTTCTTTCGCATTTATTTTTTTATTATCTATTAGCATAAAATGATGAGATCAGCACACGACTAGCATGTCTGTGCGTGTCTAGACAAAATTTGAAATGATTCAATAAAACATAACGACCAGTTTGATAGATTTAAGACTACACATTTGTTTATCTGTTGTTATCGACCAGCTACAAATATCTGGCATGGCCGGTTACTGATTACATGCGAGGATAAAGCAACACGTTCGTTTTTTTGTAATATGTTATAACATTATCATCATACAGTAACAGTTGCGGAATAAATTAATCGCAATGTATTTGTTATTTATTCATGGGCACAAACTGTATTTGTATGGGCGATGATGAGACTCAAAGTTGCCCGGCGAAAATACCTTGCTATTGTAATAAATCTGTTGCAAATAATAAAACTTATGAGTCATTCTTAGATGAGTCATAATCGGTGAAAATATGTGTTTAGTAATGGTTCGCGTAGGTGAATATCAAGTATTCGATAATATATACCTTTAATGTTAAATAATTCTTGATGCGAAAAAGCAAATTTAAATGACAGTATGGTGTTATAGATGGTTGAATTCGATTGATGTAATCATTGATCAACTTGTCCCATACCTTTTCAATGAACAATATGAATTGTAGGAAAAGAAAGACAAGAGAACGAACGAATGAGTATGAACGTTATTCGATGTTCTCTCCTTGTCGAAATCAAACTTTCTTTTGGTTTGTTCTATACTTCATGAAGTTAAATACAAGTACTCAATTTTTCTTCCCTTTCTTCCTTTTTCTTTCGCTCCCTATTTTATGTGCATTTTTTTTAAACTCGTCTTCATTTCTACCGTTCTCATTTCCATTCATCCGGCCGTTGTTCTCTCCGTCTTCGCCTCTTTCTCTTTCGCGCGCGTTTTATACGCACACTTTACATTTTTCTTTACATATTTGACCTAACAATCGGGACTACATTGAAATGAAGAGCAGAAGAAAAGAAATTTCAAAATAGAGAGGTAAGCCTGTAGAACACAATATCATCTTTCGTCTCGTTTCGCTTATACTATTACTCATATCAATACAACGATCAGCTGAATATCGTTAGCTTTCAGTTACGACTTTGAAAAAAGAAAGAAAGAGCACAACTATACGTTAATCGTGCAAACGCGTGTGTTGAGCACAAGTTTATCTAGTAGACATGTTCTGTGTTTTCTTTTAGTTCCTCTAGTCATGTACAAGGCCGGAACATGAGCGCCGGCATTTACCCCAATCGACAACACTTTGATAATTTAAGTTATATATCGGATGGTCGGGATCGAATTTCATATGTCAATGATCCTTGTGCTCCTTCATTGCATGGTGTCGCACTCGATAGAAATTCCGTTGTTTTACGTCCTTCTGAATTGAATCGAGATAGAAATCCTATTTATTCGTATCGATCCGGTCAAGAAAATATCTACGGTTACAATAATGCAGCATTTAGGTAAGGAAATATTTTTGAATTGATGTCTTTTGATGAAATGAATGTTATCCTCCTTTTTTTTGTAGTGATATCAGTGGCGCAGATTCGCGCAATCCTTCAGTTAGATCACCACGAACAGATTTATACGCACTTCAGAAAGTATTCGAAACGCCGAAAAATAAAGGAAAAGGTTTGTAAATGGTTTTTTATCCTTCTTTTTCAATATCGATGTTTTCATAGCATCGAGAATATGTTCGAAATACTGGTACATATTTGTTATCTTAACTCTCATTATCCTTGTCGCTCTTGGTGTTGGCATTGGTTTAGGAGTGTTTTACGCTAAAAATAAAGGTAAGAATTTTCTATTTTTGTTATAGTTATTTGCAAAGAAGTTTATTTTCCTTCGCAGCTAAACAATGTCATTTATCATGTGCTCCACACGAGCAACTTATTCATTTGAACTCAACTCATTGTGAATGCCAATGTGAGTTGACCTGAAAAAATATATAAATCGAAAGTCTCCGAACTCTGATTCTTTCAGATATTGACAAGTGTGAAACCGAACCAGAGATATGTCATCCATTCGCTTGTATTACAAACAATGAAACAGGTTATGCATGCCAATGTACAGCAGGCTTTCAACATCCACCTATCAATAACGATTTAACGCAATGTCACGGTGAGTAGATTGACAAGGATTGAATTCAATCGAACATGATGTGATTATTCTTATTAGATATTAATGAATGTGAAATTCCAAACATTTGCAGTGAGAATCAAATATGTAACAACACAGATGGAAGCTATTTCGTAAGATCATTTGGTATATCGAATACGAGTGTAAATGTTTTCTAATTCATAGTGTTCCTGTAAGCCAGGTTATGAATCGATATCGACATCGAATGGGACTGAATGTCGTGGTAAACAGATGAGAAAATATTCGCCTACTTCATATGTTGTTTGTATAGATATAGATGAATGTCTCAATGGAAGTCGATGTTCCAATGGTTATTGTGTAAATAACAATGGTAGTTTTTCATGTAAATGCCTTCCAGGTTTTATACCTGATATATTTCATCCGTGGCACTGCGAAGGTAGTGCATTACCATACAAAAAAAGAACATAAAGAAATCTTCTTTTCGTTAGACTTTGATGAATGTTCATCATCGAATAATTGTACAGGAATTAATGAAATATGCAATAATACTCTCGGTTCATATCAATGTATTTGTGCCCAGGGATATCGACGAGATGCCAATGGCCACTGCATGAGTAACTACTCAATTTTACTTTTTAGCATGTATATTTGCATTTGTTTGAAAAGATATTAATGAATGTGAAGAATTATCCGCAGCTTGTGATACAAATTCAAGATGTGAAGATCGAAATGGTTCATTTGCATGCTGTATGAAAACTATAACAAATGAATGTATCGGTAAGCTTTTACTATTGAGAAAAGCGAATAATCGCAAACATTTTCCGTAGAGTGCGGTTATGATTATAGCAATGCCAGTTCAGTCGGTATGTTATCATTCGCTTCCCTTAAACTACCCGTGACAACTAAACTACCTCGGATGATGACGTCGCTTGCTATTGCTAACATTCGCTCACGATTAAACGCTAAAAAAAATTCAATGAAAAAGAACCAATCGAAGCATGGTGATCAGCCAGATTCAATTGTACGGAAACGAACATTTGCATAGAAGTTTTTCTCGTTTATTTTAGTCGGTAATCATGTACGAAGAACTCGAATGATTGATGGACAGCCCGTTGCTGCGGGACATTTTCCATGGGTGGCTGCATTACTAATCAGACACGAGTATTACAATAGTGAACCACGTTATGTTTGTGCGGCTTCTTTAGTTTCCAGTTGGAATCTCATTACTGCAGCACATTGTTTGGATGAAACACATTTCCGCAAGTAAATTCCAATAACTTATTAGACTGATCAGTTGATTTTTCATTCTAATTAGAGAATGGAACTTGACCACTTATCCGAGTTCATTTAAAGATATATTTGATATTCGTATTGGTGTACATAATCTTAGTTTGAACAGTACAGAGTTTCTGAACAGTCAATCGTATTCAATTGCTAATTTTACCTCAGTGTGTATTCAAAACTGATTTAGTTTTTGAAATGAAAAATATCTTTCATGTCATTTTAGCATAAGGATTATGAACCATTGGACAGCGAACATGCCGTTGTGAAGAACGATGTGGCTTTAATTAAATTAACGAAACGTATCGAACGTTCGGTAAATAACGACTGGCTATGCTTACCGACGAAAGTCAATGTTTATGATCAAGACATCTTGAAAGTTGTATCATATAGTAATACGGAGGACCAGTCGATTAAACAACAATTAAATGTTCGTGCACTTGATAATCCTCAAACTCAAAATGAATGCCAACGACAACTAAACAATATTGCTGAAGATGCTTTCTGTGCGATAAGTGTCAATGATTCAAGTTTTCTAGGACTGGTAATTTGTACATTTTAAAAGAAAGTTTTTGTTTCTAATGATTTTATTATCTGTTCAGGGTGATTCAGGAGCAGGTGCGACGTTATTAACAACTAATCATCGTTGGCAACTTGCTGGTGTCATGTCGAAAACAGGTGTTCAAAAAGCATATTCAGCCATGACTAACGTATCGATGCATATAGACTGGTTACAGTCTCTAGTAGAACGATAGATCTGTTGGAATTCAAATTTCATTTATTCTTGCTTCTTGTATTTTTCTAACAGTTCCATATCTGTTTGTTTCCCGTCTTCTTTTCTTATTATTTTGTTATGAAATTAAACTATAAGAAGTATGCAACATGAAAGGTTTGAAGGATATACGAATGAGTAGTCGTATTGATGCTAAGATGATATTACTGACGACTTTGACTGGCTAAGTTTTATATACGTACGAGTGATGTGAAACTGACTCAAGGCTCAGAACTTCATAACGCTGAAAAATCGATTGGATGCCGCAATTGTTGTATTGTTAGTGAAACTATTAATGTATATCTTTCTTCATGCTGGCTAGACGCATTAGCAGCTCACGACGAAACAATCATTCAACGATATCATGATAAACGGGCAATCGTTCTTTTTTATATGAAAGAGTAGGAAGGTAAACAGTTGTTGTGTTAGAATACCAATGGTGAAAGGGTGAAAATTAATATAAAAGTTCTTTGAAGTTGACTATGCATTACTTTATTTTGCTTGCTAATCCTAGATCTCTTTCGAGTGGTAGTTCTAATAATAAGTATTAGTCGAAAAATGCGCTAAACATCATAATAGTTTTTTATTTTCGCTATTCATGAGTGTTGGTGGAAATCATAAACGACGCTCTCGAAGTTCGTTTGTCTCAGTTCGTTATGTGCCAAGTGAAGAAGAAGAAGAACGCCATCGGCAAACTGAAGCACATAATCTTCGTGTTTCATTGCATCAAATAAAGAATATTGAAACTATTCTTAAGTAAGTTTGTTTACGAACATAAAATTACACGTATCTACAACTTCAAACAATAGTCTGGTCGATAATTTTAATCGACATCTACATTTGACATTGATGGTTGATCGATATCATTCAAGTTCACAAGAATATTATCTGGCTTTATCTCAAGCTTTGAGAGGTGAGATGTACTCCAGCAAGGAAAACCCCATTAGTATTCTTTTTGTAGATATTCTAGCAAAAAACTGGATTCGTACTCAACAGTTCTATCAGATGACCGGCGGTAAGCGAGTTTACTATCTAAGGTAAATCATATTGTACAATTTGGCGTCACATCGATGTACGCTTTTTCAAGTTTAGAGTTTTATATCGGACGATACATGAAGAATACACTAATCAATTTGGATATTAACGACCAGATGACACAAGCTGCCGAAGCTCTCAACATCAAATTAAACGATTTGGAAGAGCTCGAGGATGATGCAGCATTAGGTAATGGTGGTCTCGGTCGTTTGGCAGCTTGCTTTCTTGATTCAATGGCTACATTGGGTATATCATCTTATGGATACGGATTGAGATATCAGTTTGGAATATTCAAACAACAAATTATCGATGGGTATAACGAACAATTGATTTATCCTGGAGAAAGCTTTCAATTTTGCTGCTGTTTAGTTGGCAAGTTGAAGTACCCGATGATTGGCTGCGAAATCCGATGCCTTGGGAGGTAGATTGATGGTATAAAAAAAAGTATTTTATCGTATAAATTCATGCAGGTTCGACGTATTCAAAATGAAATACCTATTCATTTCTATGGAAAAGTTATTTGGAATCAAACAACAAATAGTTTTCAATGGACAAACTATGAGACCGTTATTGCAGAGGCTTATGATTATCCAGTTCCAGGTTACAAAAATAATGTAAAATAAAGTGTATCAAGGAATATTCTTATACACGTTGTCTGTATTTAGATCGTCAATACTATGCGTCTATTTTCTGCAAAAGCTGATTGTGATTTCAATTTCAAGTCGTTCAACGAAGGCGAATACATCCAAGCAGTCATGGAACGTAACAAGGCTGAACGTAAGTTGTTCGAAATCACTTGAAAACCATTGTCTATGGATGAAAACGTAGGTATAACATGTGTGCTCTATCCAAATGATAATATCGCGGAAGGACGAGAATTACGCTTAAAACAAGAATATTTCCTGGTTGCTGCTAGTTTACACGATATTGTTCGTCGATTCAAAGGTGAAAAACGTTGGCAAAAACCGCCAAAAAAGGAACCTAAACAGCAGAGTTTACAAGTACCAGATAGAACTTCACATCACAAATCTTCATCTCATACATCAGTGGACTTCAAATGTATGCCTGAAATGGTAAACATTCACAGATATCATTTCTTCTTCTACCCTAAATAATTCCTCAATACGATTAGGTAGCTATTCAGTTGAATGACACGCATCCATCATTAGCGATACCTGAACTGATGCGTCTTCTTCTTGATAATGAACACTTATCATGGGACGATGCGTGGTTCATCACCGTTCATTGTTTTGCATATACAAATCACACTCTCATGCCAGAAGCAATTGAACGGTGGCCAGTGCCAATGATTGAAAGTTTGTCAAATGGCTTAATTGTAGTTCTTCTTTCGAGCAGAATGGTTTTCTTTCTCGATGTTTAGAACTTTTACCGCGGCATTTACAAATAATTTATGAAATTAATGCACGGCATATACAAAATATTCGAGAACGTTTTCCAGCTGACGACGATCGGGTTCGACGTATGTCGATCATCGAAGAAGGTCCTGTACAGTTGATCAATATGGCATATTTATCTATTATTTGTTCCCATACAGTCAATGGTGTCGCACAAATTCATTCGAAGTTATTACGTGAATCGATGTTTAAAGATTTTTATGAATTAACACCGGATAAGTTTCAAAATAAGACCAATGGTGTGACGTTTCGTCGTTGGCTTGCTCTTTGTAATCCAGATTTATTTTCATTACTTGTCGAATGTATCGGAGAACAATTTGTACAAAATGATTATCAATCACTTCGATCATTTCGTCGGTATGCTTCAGATAAAAGCATTCTTTCACGTATTCAACAAATCAAAGTTTGTCGTTTCTAATCTGTTGACTGAAAAACAAAAAACGAAAGATCGACAATTGCTTTCAGATCAAAAATAAACTACGATTAGCTCGAATGCTTGAAGATGAGTATCACATTGAAATCAATGTTCAGTCAATCTTTGATATTCAAATTAAACGAATTCACGAGTATAAACGAGCATTACTCTGTTTACTTCATGGTAAGTACAAGAAAACAATTCGCTTGAAATCTCGACGATTTCATTTCATAGCAATTACATTATACAATCGATTGAAAAAGGACAGTCGAGAAAATAAACAGCAAACATTCGTGCCACGAACAATCATCATCGGTGGTAAAGCTGCTCCCGGTTTGAATGAAATATCGTTGATATACTTATCTTTGTGTTCCTTTTGAATAGGTTATGCTATCGCTAAGAAAATTATCAAATTAATCAACGATGTTGCATCGGTAATTAATAATGATTCGGATATTGGGAATCGGTTGAAATTACTTTTTGTGAAAAATTATCGGGTAACAGCAGCAGAATATATCATTCCCGCTGCTGATCTTTCTGAACAAATTTCCTTAGCAGGAACGGAGGCAAGTGGAACAGGCAATATGAAATGTGACTTCTTGCTTTTTTTTTAAATATAAAAATGAAACAAATGAGAATCTTCGTTTTCAGTTATGCTCAATGGTGCATTGACAATAGGAACATTAGATGGGGCAAACATTGAAATGCGAGAAGAATGTGGGTCAGAAAATATGTACACTTTTGGATTTACAGTTGAAGAAGTGCAACAACGCCGACAGCGAGGTTATAATCCATACGATAATCTTCAAAATGAGGAACTACGTCTTGCTATTGATCAAATTCGAGATGGATATTTTTCACCCGATGATCGTACAAGATTTCATGATATTATCGATACATTACTACGCAATGGTGATCATTGGATGGTCTTGGGTGATTATCAAGCATATATTACTAAACAAGATGAGATCGCAAAAGATTTCCTTCAGCCTCATAGTTGGTATTCCAAATGTATACACAATATCGGGGCTGCAGCGAAATTTTCGTCAGATCGAACAATTGAAGAATATGCGAAAGATATCTGGTAAAGTTCACGTGTAGATTATTTCGGAAAGAGGTTATTCTGAAAAATTGTTCTGTCTAGGAAGTGTGCTTTGCATAAAGATGGCTTACCAGACAATATCAAAGAAGAGTCTTCGAATAATAAACAAGGTTGATGTTAGTGACTAGATCGATTTTCGAATAAAATGATAAGAATTAAAATTTGTTGATATTCCTTCATAAGTCTGATTTATTTCAAAATTTTACACGAAGAAAAAAGACAGTCGCACAGTACAAACAAAACCACAAACATCTAAGATTTCCATAACTTCAGTGCTCCATCTTCTGCATATGTTGCAATCAGATTTTGATGTGGATGATGACATAGACCAATCACATCTTTTTCATGAACCTAAAATTCCATCGAAACCAAACACAAACTCATCACAGACAAAGTTCCGTCAATCGACTTACCGATAAAACTTTTTCAAGTTTACCCGATTGCACATTAAAACAATAGAGCATCATATCTTCACCACAACAATAAATCCATTCACCACGTGGCGATACGCAACAGGATATAAAATCACCGTTTTCTTTCTTACCATTCGTGAAACTTCGGACAATCTACGTACAAAATCAAACAAACAATATCGAAAAAAGATTACACTTGCACAAATACCTGTCCTTGCATATTCATAATCACCACCGTATTGCTTCGATTACAGACAACAAATTGTTCAGCATTTTTAGCTAATAAATGCACACTATTCACAGTTATGTCTGTACTGCTAAATGATTTGAACGTGGCAGTACATTCCGCGCTTTTCATACTCCATAATTTCACCGAACCATCGGAACTTGCACTAGGAAAACAATTCTCTGCATTCGTCTATTCATTTCTTCTCATTACCTTATAATATGATGGTTATCCATTGTAAAGATCGCATTGTTAACAAATGAAGCATGTCCCCGAAATTCTTTTATTGTTTTACCAGATTTTAATCCATGAATTCTAAATGAACATGCTCAGCGATAAAAAAAAAGCAACCGAACAGTTTTGTCTTACCGAATAAATTGATCGAATGACGTACTCAATAATTGCGTATTATCTTTTGAAAATGTTAAACTTGTTACTCCTTTCAAATGTGCTTTATCGAATTTTCGTAGACATTGACCAGTTAAAACTTTCCAAACCTATGCGTTAATTGATTTGATTTCGAAAACTAAAACGAGTAATCTACTTTGATTTGTCCATCTTGGTTTCCAGATGCTAACATTTCAGAATCTCGACTAAAACATAAAGCTAGCACAGCACCATCCATCACCATGAATTGTTCTTGCGCTTGGTATTTTAAATCTTTGCGAATTTTTCCTGTTGTAAAGTTCCATACTTCGATGATGCCATCAATCGAACCGGTGACTAAATATTGACCATCAGGTGAAAAACGCGCACATTCTACATGTGATTTTGCACCGAACTTCAAACGAAAGAATAAATTCAATAGGGAAATTTTTATAAGAACATTGTACGAACTTTCATCACACGATTTAATTGGCTAGGATATTTTTCTTCTTCTTGTTCACGTACTTGAGCTTTACCACGAAACAAATCGATAGAAGTACCTGGTGGTAAAAGCCCTTGGTGTTGTTGCCACTTAAGTGCTTGTCCTAGTAGGGCCAATAGACGTGAAGCTGGTACAACGCTGACTTCGCCAGCAAGAGCAGCAGCTATAGCTTGACGACGTTTTTCTTTATTTTGTCCTTCTGCATAAGCCTAAGCAAGAAGACATGTGATGATTCTTTTTCGAAAACTGTTAATCGAACGAACTTCTCTCGGATCGAAATATGACCGAGTAAGTAAATCTTCCAAATGAACATAACGATCTGGCTGCTGCTGCTTCAGTATTATCATTGGATCTGTCTGACGTAATAAAGTACGTGCAGCTCCTAATTCACGTAATTCAATTAATTCAATAACTATCTAGAACATGTTCAAAGTAATTATTCTCCATAGATTTTCCAGCGAAGAAAATTTTACTTGTTCATAGAGATCAATGAGTTTATTATCAGGTAATTTCAATGATTGAATTGTTTGTAAAACAGTATCCCAATGACCATTGTTAATTTCAGTACTAAAACTTTCGATCGAATCAACTGTATTCAAGGAAATCCCACTTTCTTCCTAGAAGAAAATCTTCATTCACATGGACAAACGAATCGATTGTCTCTTACTTGTAATTGACCTAAAGTTCGTAACAGATTGTTTTCTTTCAAATATTGTTGGATGAGACGAATAACACTAGAAAGTAAGCGTACGTCAAGCGCAATTATTCTACAGGATAAACGTACTCAGCAGATTCGATTTCTAATGACATAGTTTGGATTTTCAATCTGAAACTGAATCTAAAAAAAGAATCGAACAGAAGCTTAATTTTGTTCGAGTTTTTTCTTTTCTAAGCGATTTTCAATTAATTTCACTACTTCATCCAATTCTAATTGATATATATGTAAGCCTTTGGTTGTAGCAATAACGATTTCATGAAGACCATCGTTAGTAAGGTCAAATGCAAGAATACCGTATGCAGATGCTGCTAATGACAATGCGCGACACACTGGAAACGTTTCACCGACAAAGGTTAATCCTTCAACAGCATCGGTTTTACGATTATCGATTGGTACGCGACAAATGAAACAATATTTGCCAAATGTACCCAATAGAATTTCATTTTTTCCATCGAGATCAATATCGCAAACGCAACTCGATGTTATACAATCTTGAGTTTCAGTACCGGAAAGAACGACTGGATCAGCAAAGATATTCAACGTAACATTTCTATAGAAGAATGGTTCGAAATGAGTCATACAGTGTTCAATTCTTATTTACCGGTAGATCAACGCTGGTTCAAGAGAACTAGTGACGAGTAGATGTGGCTGTTCGCCTAGAAGAAAACGAAATCAATCGGTTTTATCTTCGATTCCATTGTTCATTACCATCAAGCGGTTTTTGATTGTGATAAAAGAACTTGACACTACTGATAAAACTATCAAATTCACGTGTTTTATGTACAGTTTTGACTGTTCCATCTGATTGCACATCGGTTATGTATAAGTTCAGTAAACCATTTGAATGACCACATGCGATTAACCGTTGTTTCAATTGATTGGTTTCCAAGTCAGATATCGTTACAATATCCATTGCACATACACTAATTGAATAGAAATCAATGTGAATCATATATTCGAATGATCTTCTCACTCTCCACTGGTATGACTAAGTTCAGGTAGATATAAATCGATGATTTTTGTAATATCTTGTAGCACTCGTTCATTTTTCTAAATGATAAACGAATAAGATACTGTTAAATTTGATCTTTTCTTCTTACTTCACTGAAAAATGCTAATTTTTCACCTCCTGCGACAACGAGAATAACTTCATTATCAGTCGTAGTCAAATTTTTTGTTCTGTGAAATAAACAAGCTTCATTCACAAACAAATATTGCAGTATTTCCGTGTTACATACATGATTGTTTTCAGAAATTTCGGAGCGAATGTTAAAGACCGATTTTGTACAGACGATTCTATCAAAGAAAACATTTTTCAATGATCAACATTTCTTAAACCATCTTACTAATAGTGTTATCGACGATCTGCACTCGATCAAAACAAAAACTTGTACCATCGTCACTGTTCTAGATGAGATCATATATCAATCGAATTCCGTGTAGCAAACAGAAAATTCATACCGATATGCCTGTTGTCTTAGCATAACCATATATAAGCGCCGGAGATGTGTTGTATTTCGTTGTCGGTAAGATTTCCACACTCAATATTCGACAATCAGCTGGGAAAGAGCAGATAGATAAAAGATATTCGAGCAAATGATTTACCTTGAAAATCTTGTAATGAGACCGAATACGCTTTACATTCATTTGTCTTTTGCAGATATTCAACAATCACGCCGAGACCATCGAGGCCGATAAGAAAGATTTCTTGATTTCCTGTGATTGGATTTCGATAGATATGTAATGTATTGATATTCGGTTGACATTTAAGTGGTTGAAAAAAGATTTCTTTCAATGAAAACATTCTTAAAACATAGATTTAACAAATTAGTGCTGCGTTTGCCGAAAATGAACGAAGATATTCGTTATTCATTAAGAACATTAAAATTTAACTGAGTGAAATGAGCGACAAATCCATTCGTTCGTTCATTTGATTGAAAGAAAGAATGGAATCTTTGGTAAAAGTCAAACGAACCAATCAGAACACTTGATATTCATTCGTCGGCATGTTTAGAAATGTGTTTATGTTTTGTTTTACTGTAATCGTCTTTTCTCAAAGAGTTAACTTTTAGATTAAGGAAAAGCTAAACACAAAGATCTTTTTATTCAATTTTAATTCAATCAAACAATGTCATCAATTGGTTCAGGTGTATGTAGACACAAAATTTTGTTTTGTTTTATGTGTCTAACAAAAGAATATGTTTATTTGATTAGTACGATTTAAGTGCATCACAATTTTCACCCGATGGTCGTGTTTTCCAAGTGGAATATGCAAATAAAGCTGTAGAAGCCAGTGGAACGGTAGTTGCTTTACGATGCAAAGATGGAATCGCTTTTGCTGTAGAAAAAATCATAACATCCCGTCTTTATGAATCCGGTTCGAATAAACGTATTCATAATGTTGATAAACACATTGGAATGGTGGGTTTCATTCAAGTTTTCCTCACTTGTTCACGAAAATTTCTCCTAGGCTGTCGCAGGTCTTCTTGCTGACGCTCGTCAATTATTAACTGTTGCTCGAGATGAAGCAAAACAATACAAACATGATTATGGAGTATCCATTCCTGTGAAAGTACGTAGCATAGAACTAAATGACTTGAGTTGATTAATATCTCATCATCTCGTTTTAGTACTTAGCAGATCGTTTGGCGATGTATATGCATGCTTATACATTATACGGTTTTGTGCGGCCATTTGGTTGTTTTATTTTGTTAGCTGCTTATGAAAGTGATGGTCCGCAATTGTACGGCGTTGAACCGTCCGGTGTTACTTATGTAGGAAAATGAATGATGAGGCGAGATATAAAAAAAACCTGTGTACTTTTAGGCCTATCATGGTATTGCGGTTGGTAAAGCTCAACAAACAGCAAAGACTGAAATTGAAAAACTTAAAGTAAACTAATTAAATTTAGTTATTTTGTTTATGCAGTATTTGATTTAGTTATCTGAATTGAAATTAGAAGATGGTATTAATGAAGCAGCGAAAATGTAAGTAGACCAATGAGTTTGTTTGTTTGAAATGAACTTGTTCTTTTCATTTCAGTATCTATCAAGTACATGACGAAGTTAAAGATCGAATGTTCGAATTAGAATTAAGTTGGGTTGGTCAAGGTAAGGAAAGTAACGAAAGATAATCAGTTGCAATCTGGAATTTTTAGTCAATGATGGCAAACATGAACGAGTACCAGCGCAAATCTTTGCAAAAGCTGAAAGCTTTGCTAAGGTAAATAATCATGTGATACTCGATCAAAGACTATTGTCATATAATTCTTTCTTCTTTAGGCTTCATTGGAAGAGGCAGATGACGATGATGATGAAATGTAGAACAATTTCTAAAATTTACTTTCTCCTCTTCTGTGCCCGTCTAACGTGTCGTTGATCTTTCATTTCTTTTCTTCTTGTTGTTCTGTTTTTCTTCTTCTTTTTTTATGATTATTATTCTGGACGACTAAATACGATCACAGATAAACATTTGGTCATAACCAAGATTCAAAACTTTCTCTCAGACATTCAATTTCCCATGGATTGCTAAAAATATATCTATTATGCTCTTTTTTTTAAATAGCGCAAGAAATGCATGAGAAACTCGAGATTTTCAATAACAACTAAGTAGTCAATCATCAACGTAGGAGGATCTCGAGAGCGTTAGTAATTACCCTTTTTACAAAATATACGACGTGTAATTTGTAAAGCACGGAATATAGACATATGTAAACATGTTGATTATACTATCATTGATAAATCAACTATGATAAAATATGTAGAAGAATTACTTCGAGTATTGCATCTTTCAACCTAAAAATGCTTTTCTAAGTTAGCCTTGATACAAATGTATCCAGCGGTGAAGCTAAACTTGTCTAATACGGATTTTGCGACATGAATCTCGAGTAACTGTCGAAATTTATTAGATTAATGAATAATTGAATCGAATTTGTTTATTTTTTAAACCTAATTAACGTTTTATCATCACTGATAGTCTATTCGATACGTGTATAGATGATTTATTGGCTTAAATTAATAAAAAGACTTGTGTTTTCCCAACTAAGTAGTAGTTAAAGAAAAACAATGTTATCTTGACATTTGCTTAGCGTCTGAAGACAAGGAAAAAATAATATTAATATATTCCTTGCGGTTGATCTGTAAATGATCTTTGCGATGATCTTGAAAAAACATAAGTGTTGCCAGCTGTTGGCTTCCTAAGTCGGTGCAATAAAACAGAAAGAAAGAGAAATTACTTAGCTGTCTTTTTTTCTTCAATAACAAGCAGATGAGTCAAGTATAAGATTAGTAACACTTTTATTTTCTTCTCCCCTTCTCTTCGTCACAAGGTAGAAGGGAAAAAATCAATCTCACTGCAAAACAAAGACCTAAAAAATGACGGTTCAAAATCGACCAATTAGAACACAGTAAACAATATTCTGTCCTATCAGCGCGTTTTGCAACCATATATGAGATAAAGACAATTCTTTCTTGTTGTTCTGCCTGGTGTTCGTTCCTTTCGAATAGATACATCGATTTTTAGATGTTCGATTTGTATTGTTGCCGAAAAAATTAGTTTCAAATAGCAACCAGTATCACATTTTATTTCTAAAAACAACATCGCCCATCAAAGTATGGACCCACCGGCTGATGATAATTCAACGGCAGTTCAACAGCCACTTATGGATGTGACCGAAACAGATGCATATCGAGAAAAAATTATTGCATTTGTCAATCCGAAATCGTATGTTGAAGAGCATTTTTGCATTGAATTATTTTCGAAAGTCTTTCTTTTCAGTGGTGGTTTGCAGGGACAAGTCGTGTTCGAACAATTACGCGCTCAAATTGGCGAAGCTAATGTCTACGATTTAGTTAAAGATCACGGACCTCAACGAGGTCTAAAAGAAAATCAACACGAGAAAAATCTACGAATTGTCGGTGCGTTTATCACATCTAACATTTCTCTGCTCTATTAACTTGTTTATTTCTGAAAAGCATGTGGTGGTGATGGAACAGTCGGTTGGGTTTTATCGGCCCTTGATACATCACAGATGCAATATATGGATTTTATCAGTGTTGGTGTTATCCCGTTAGGAACGGGAAATGATATGGCAAGGTTTTTGGGCTGGGGTGTCGGATATCGTGGTGAAGCATTGGCACCAGTTATTCAATCGTTAGCAACGTCAGAGTCACGCTTGCTTGACCGATGGCAAATTGATGTGAAACCTACAGCTTACACAGGAACTGCAAGTTTGAAAGTTTGTTGATTTATTTTCGAAAGTCATTGATGCGAAAAAGAACGATGATTGTGTTTTTTTAGATTCCCCAGCCTGTTTTCAATAATTATCTAAGCTTTGGTGCAGACGCTCAAGTAAATTGTTTGAGAAATGAAAGAAATGGATTTCATTCTAACATTGCTTTCTTCATCTTAGATTGCTCTTGATTTTCATGAAAAACGTAATGCTAGTCCACGTCGTTACGCCAATCGAGTATTCAATAAATTAGCCTATGGTTGTATTAGTTGGTACGTCCGAATCGTAGTCTTTGATAGTGTGATTTTTTAAAATTATTACTATCGACTTTATTTAGTAACACATTTTTCGATCGTCAATATTTATTTGGAAATATTGCAAATCATTTTGAACTTCATGTCGACGGACGAAATATGGATGATGATTTATTCCGTTTCCGTCCGGATGCTATATTGATATTAAATATTGCATCATATGCTGCCGGAACAAATCCTTGGCAAGGAATTTATGATAATCTTTGGTGTGCTCGATCACAATCAGATGATGATCGTTTTCGCGAACAGAGCTGTTCTGATGGATATTTAGAAATAATTGGCTTTAAACATTTCGAATTAGCACGAATTCGTTTAGGTCGACGTGGACATCGCATAGCACAAGGTAAAATACGTTTTGTTCATGCGTGAATTTTTCGAAAAACATATTCATTCTAGGAAGTGAAATCAAACTAATCATACGACGTGATTTACCAATGGAAATTGACGGTGAACCATTTCTATTGGGCCCATGTCAGATTGTTATCACACGAAAAAATCAAGCACGGATGATCATTACTGATCGAAGTCAAGCAGCTCAACAAATTCAAGCAAAACGCGTTTAAAACTATCGTAGATCAAGTTTTCTTTTTCATAAAAACAAGAATTTTTATTCATCTAACGTTGGGATCTATAGTTAATTTGTTCATAATATCTAGTCAAAGAGAAGAAAAAAAGTCACTTCTGCGAATCACGTCTACACGTAGAAGTAAAATTGAAGGAGAAAATCTGCTACATCCAAATGTAATATGTTATTTTTTTTCTTCTTACTTAGTTTTGTTCATTGATTACTTTCTGTATATGTTATTGTTCTTTATATGTGCGTGTGTGTGTGTTTGTTTTTTTTTTTTCTAATGAATAGTTTGTTTATTGGATGTTGTATGTCCTGCATCTCTATACTTCGCTTTTTGATATCTACTTCTTGTTTAAAAATGAATATTCTCACAGGAGTGTTTCTTCTTCTTTTTCTTATCATTTGAATAGAGCTCATTTGGATTTGGTATTTTTGTTTTCTGTGCGAAAGAAAAAAAAACACGCCGAAGATAATAAAGATTAAGTTGATTCACACATGATCTACTGTCTGAATAAAATGAAAAAAACAGTGCATTTGGGATCAATAAATAGAGGAATGTTTGATTACTCCGGAGTAGTGATATCGAACTCACACCATGAAGTTCAATAGTCGATATCGTCCTACTTTTTTTTCTGTGCACGACTAACATTTACTCCTTCTCTACAATGCATTGTCAGTTGATAGAACTATCTTAGCGCTTTAGTGTATCGTCAACGTCTTTTGCACATTATATTTGGCCCTCCACCTAGTAAATAGATAGTTTTTCACTTGAATCATAAGATGAGACAGCTATGTAAACATCCAATACTGCTTTTGTGTTCTGTATGGCTTATCTTTACGGAAGATAGTTGTTATTTGAATATTATCATCGGAGAAGAATACTATCTGTACAAAGATATTTCATCGATGATTTCAAAATCTCACGTCGATCACCATTTGAATTTATTTTTCTCGCGCAAATGTTTTTTATATATTGAATATGATTTGTCATTGAAATACACTTACTCCTGCATTATATCAATGATAGAACTAAATGTAGCAGTAGATGAAATAGAACAAAGTGCTTTTCACTTTAAAACTAGTACCATGATTTGAAAAGACGAAGGGGACTATTGCTCTCCTCCCCCGCCCCAAATTGGTCCGCCGATTTACTAATTCAACATCAATGGAGATGATAAGCCTGATAAATTACTGCATAGGTGTTCACACATGTAATTATCGTTTGAATCGTAGTTTTCTGCATTAGAAAAAAGATTTGAATATGCAGTAATAAATTGTTGAAGGGTGGGGCTGTGCGAGCTCCATGATACAGTCTCCGATATCGAGAAATGAATTAATCACAAACCGGAGACTTTTTTGCCTTAGCATTATACATACTTCGATCCGTGGAGGAATGTTCATCCGAAACAAAATTCATGTAAATTCATAGGAGAAACTTATATTGCTCTGATATATATATATATATTCTTTATAAGACGACATAGAAAAAACCTACATCAATGGGTACGAATTACAACAACTACAGTACTGTTTATAATTTGACTTTGTTTTACATTGCACGAAGAAGGATGACTTCACTTGAATCATACGATGAGATAGCTATATCTGACCGTGATAAATTTAAAAATTTCACACCTACTAATTGCTGATTTTCAATATGTTGATTACATTCATGAGTAATCTAAATTTAAAAGTGAATAAAACGATTCCATTTGTTTTATTATTTCAAGCTCGAAATCATACTTGTAAATTTTCGCCATCACCGGTTAACTTCCAAACACGTACATAACAGTCATCGCCAACAGATGCGAGTAAACCTCGTTCATTACAATCAATTGCATTGATGCATCGAGCGTGTGCCGCAATAGAGCCACAGATTTGAGCTATTTAAAGTATATACACATTAACGGTCGACAATGATCGATGTTTCTTACCATTTTCCGGATCAAAAAATCGAATCATTCCATTTGCATAACTAGCTGCAATACAATTATTCCATATCGATAGTGCTGTAACCCCACTCTCGTCAACCGGTTGAATGACATTTATTTGTGACATTGTCCGAACATTCCAAATCAGTATGAAGCCACTTGTATCGCTCGATATTAACAAATTAGCATTCGATACTAAACTTGTTATACCAAACTGATGACCTAAATGAAACAATCGATTTTTTTCTTGTTTATGAAATACAATTCGATGCTCATACCGGTTATCGTCTCTTTTAATGTGATGGTTGGTCCTTTTTGTGGAATATTGAATACAAGTACTTCGCCTAGATGATTACCTATGAGAGAAAATGAGTGCAGATGAATTGTTACAATTCTGAATTTTCATTTACCAACGCATAATAGATTCTGACCGACACCAGCGATTCCTCGAGCGTAGATTGATGATTCTATAGTCAGATAAGATAGCCCGAAATGAAGTCTTCAGTTTGCATACGTACCAGTTCGATTTGGATGATTTTTATCGAGAACATGTGTGTGTAAATTTGTTGTACCGTCTAACTCATAGATCTGTAGAAACCGGAGAAAAGCAATAAGAAAATTCCTGAAAGACCGGATCATTGTTACCTGAATACTTTTTGTACAAGCCAGAACAAGAATATTTCTGATAGGTAAGTTAACGAATACAGCCTATAACAAGCTCACAATTAGAAAACCTTTTTTCTGATAGACTAAAAATCACTCACCTGAACGATATATGGAATAAACCGAGCATCGCTTTCCGATGCCAGAGCACTATTATGACCTACGGGTCGACATATAACTTGGCCCTGGATTTGTTTAGTACCGTCCTCAGAAACAGTAACCTACAATACACACATCTTCTTGCTGACGTTCAATGTGTTAAAATTTACCATGGTAAAGCCACTTTTATGTGCGACACCATACATTGTCGCGCGACGTGTCTCCGAAGCACGATTGATTGTTAAATTACTACTTAAATGCGATGCACTCCATTTGACGGAGGTGGTTTGTGGTGCTTTTTTATATGAGAGAGGCATCTAGAAAAACACGCAATACAAAATCTATTTGCATGTTCAGAAAGAAATGCATAGCAAAAAATAAAATCATTTTATTCCTTTGAGCATCATATTAATACAATAACTAGCGTAATAAACTAGTTGTCATTTATGATCCGTGTATATTTAATTAGAAGGCAGGAAAACAGGATTTTCATAATGAATGAACATCTACCATGTCTGTACCGCCTTACATAGCAATGCCTCCACTGAAATGCACTTACACACTAATGCACTTTGTTTCAATAAATATTCTTTCAAAAAAAATATTCACTAGAAAATATAAAAAATAGTTTTCTTTTTCAATTCTTGAAAAGAACTGTCCATTCGTTCGCAGTCGACAAAAAAATTTCACATCTTTGTTTACTTGTTTATTTTTCCATCTTCATTTTCATTGATTCTTTCTCTCTTGTTCATTACAATCTTGCTACATAATCGTACATGTATAAAATCATTATGAAAGTCATTTCGTTGCTTTTTTTAGATATTTAAACGGAAAAACATCTCTGAAAAGGAAAAATGACATCCCCATTGATTCAACCCGAAAAATTTCAACACATTCTTCGTGTTTTAAACACCAATATTGATGGTCGACGAAAAGTTGGATATGCTTTAACAGCCATCAAAGGTGTTGGTCGTCGTTTTGCTCATGTTGTCATTCGTAAGGCCGATGTTGACGCCACAAAACGTGCCGGTGAATTGACCGAAGAAGAAGTTGAACGTGTCATCACGATTATCGGTAATCCACGTCAATATAAGATTCCAGATTGGTTTCTCAACAGACAAAAAGATATTAAAGATGGCAAATTCTCTCAAGTTACATCGAACAATCTTGATACCAAAGTTCGTGATGATTTAGAACGCATGAAAAAGATCCGTGTTCACCGTGGTCTTCGTCACTATTGGAATTTACGTGTACGTGGTCAACACACAAAAACAACTGGCCGACGTGGTCGCACTGTTGGTGTCTCGAAAAAGAAAGCGTAAACAATATCTATTGTTTGTTTGTTTTTCTTTTTATTATCACAATGATGAGAACAAGAAATAAAAAGATTCAATAGCAACAACAGTTTATAAAAGAGAAAAATCACACTATTGATTCTGTTGATCTTTTCTAGATTTGTACTTTGTTTAATTTGTCGAATAATGACACAATTTCTGCCTCCAAATCTTCTGGCATTATTCACACCGCGTGAGGCAATTCCATTTCTACCGCCGACGGACAAACTGCCACACGAAAAGAAACGCTTACCGTATGGAGGTTTATCAGATTTTATGAATATATTTGAAGTAAATAAAATTGAACGAATAGACTATGTGAATTGATATTTTTGTTATTTAGGAAGCATATGAAACGCCGCCACCGACGAGAATTGAAACAAAAGAAGAAAAGATTGCCCGAAAAGTAAATTGAAGAATGTTTAATTGCAATTGGTTCATTTTTCATATTCTAGGCTCGAGAAAAAATGGAAAAAGCAGCTGAGAAACTCGAACAAGACGCAGCTTTATGTAAGATATTTGTTACAAAAAATACCAGCGAAACGATAGACTCGTTCTTTTGAACTGTTTAGGGGATCCAAATAGTAATGAGAAAGCAACTGCAGATCCATACAAAACGTTATTCGTTGCCAGATTAGTAAGAATCCATAAGCAGAGAATTTTATGAACTTACTATATCTGCTTTTTTTTTCTTCAGAATTACGACACATCAGAAATGAAATTAAAACGCGAATTCGAAGTCTATGGCAAGATTAAAAGTGTAAGTTTTTTTTCCCTCGAAATGATGCTGATCGAAAGAAGAAAGCATAATCATTGTATGTGTTATTTCAGATAAATTTAGTTCATGATATACAAACGGGCAAACCACGTGGTTATGCATTTATTGAATATGAAAAAGAAGCTGATATGCACGGTAGGTGATTGGGGAAAACACTTCCTTCGCTTTATTTCTCGAATAAAAGAATTAATTATGAGACGAGGATATTTCATTCGGTTTTTTTCTCAAGAAAATAGTTTTCTTTTCGTAAATATTCAAAGGAATGAGACTGGCCTACCCTGTCTGTTTTACATATGAAGTTACGCACAGGTTTGTTTGATGACATCTTCCCACTCGCCGTAGAGTAATTGCCAGATTTCGTTTTCATTCGTCCCATTTCTTTCGAGGCTATTGTCCGTTGCCTGTTTGTCTTCTAGACACGCAACAGCACCGATGCGTGTGAGACACACTCAGTTGTTTTGCTGAAAAAAAAGCCATATGTGTACGTATAAATCTACATATAAACTATGGAAGGATCAGACAGGTATATTGGACTTCTTTTCCCATGGAAAACTGCTCAGCGCCAAGCGCATCTTTCCATATAAAAAAAGCAGAAAACTCATTCGAGGTTTGTATTTATATCTATATCGGGTAAGAAAGACAAAGACATAGGTAAGCTTGAAANGACACACTCAGTTGTTTTGCTGAAAAAAAAGCCATATGTGTACGTATAAATCTACATATAAACTATGGAAGGATCAGACAGGTATATTGGACTTCTTTTCCCATGGAAAACTGCTCAGCGCCAAGCGCATCTTTCCATATAAAAAAAGCAGAAAACTCATTCGAGGTTTGTATTTATATCTATATCGGGTAAGAAAGACAAAGACATAGGTAAGCTTGAAACACGTTTGCAGAGTATGTTCACCGAATAAAAACCCTTCAAAAAAAGGTAATAAATCAATGACATACAGGTGAGAAGCATATTCGGATTTATCTCTCTTTTACAATTTGTATTTTTCACTACATTTCCATCCCATTCTGTATTAACTTAAAAAAGTCTGTCAAAATTTGTAAGTTGATCAGAGTCTCTATCTCTGCGATCTCTTCTTCCTTTCGAAAACCAAAAAGAAACAGTCTATTGATAAGCTTAGCAATGAGGGTAAGTTGAATTTCGGTAAGAAAAAAAAAGAACATGGTCAAATGGTCGATGAGATTTTATTGTGTTGACGGTAAGCACTTCATTTTCAGCGGCATACAAACGAGCGGATGGACGCAAAATTGATGGCCGACGTGTTGTTGTGGACGTTGAACGAGGTCGAACAGTCAAAGGTTGGCGACCAAGACGATTAGGTGCGTATTCTTTGAACACGTAGATTTTCATAACGAACTACGAATGACGTGATTTTTTAGGCGGCGGTCTCGGCTCAACACGTCGTGGTGGTCCGCCTGGCGGCAAACGTGCCGGAGGTGACGAACGACGCCGATCTGCATCACGCGATCGAAAACGACGATCAAGATCTCGAGGTAAGCTTTGTTAAAATCATACTTTGCGAATTATTTTTGCTGTATTGTAGATCGCCGACGAAGTCGAAGTCGCGAACATAAACGCCGTATGTATTCGATGATAGTTCTGCTAGAAATCAAACTGTACATTCATCTTTGTTCTTTTATCTTCAGGTCGAACTCGTTCACGTTCAAATGAACGCCGTTCTGATCGCCGTTCATCACGAGATCGTCAAGATTCTTCAAGACGTCGTTCACGTGACCGTGATCGTGGTCGGCGAACGGGTAACAATCGCGGTGAGAATGAAACGCATAATAACGGCAACGGGCCGCATGATACACTTGGAATAGACGATGCTTATTAATCAGAAAGCAAATAAGCTTATACGTGAATATATCTATGTCTGTGTGCGTGTGTGTATGAAACAATTTGTTTTTTTTTTCGTGTATAGAAGCAAAAGATGATGATTTTTGTTTTTCCTCTTCGTCACGTCTATTACTTGTTTGTTCGTTTTCTTTTCTTATACATAAAGTCTCAGTCAACGACTCGGTACACTTTGCCTTCATATAAATCATTCAATGAATATGCTGAAATATAATGTTGTTCTTCGGTTATAATATTACACTTACACATGTATCGATGCATTTCATGATAGATAGAAAAAAAACGAGGATTCATTTTGTCATAAATCAGATGCATGATTAGAATATTCGCTTTGTAACGTGTGTATTCACGTGCAGTAGCAAAATTTTCCACAGCTAAACATAGCGTTTGGCTACTCCAAAACGAACGATTTCTCGATGCTACTCAACTATTTGTTTGCAAAAATTCACATGCTATTTTAGTCCAGTATGTTTTACTTATCATAAATCATTTTTCCTCTTGTTATAAATATTTCAATTCTAAAATATCACATATTAGTTCTCTCCTCTGTTCCACCCACAATCGTAGAATGCTCTGGTTTCATATTCCACATGGTTTGTATTTTCTAATAAAAGAGCTACTTCGCATTGGCAATGGTATCTTGAGGAAAGCTAGGATTTCGATATACTGGATTAAATTAATAGTATATGCTGAGATTAGTGCACCAATCAAGATTCATAAGACGTAGACTTTCTAAAGAAAATACCACACTTATGTGGATACATCTTGGATTTTCTATATTAATTACAAAAAATATTTGCAAAGAACAACAATGATAATGAATAATTATGAACTTCGACAGTAGAAAAATAGAAAGTTAGCTGGCTCGAGTTCGCAACCCTCCACCAACGGAACTGTTCTTCGCTTGAATACAATTAACCACAAATGGATAGATATCAAGATGTTTTTCCATATTTGTTCACCGATTCCGAGTCATTAGTCGTATTCCATAGTGTTGATGAATTTTGTTCGTGTGAATTACTCGTAGAAGAATTGGTACCAGTCGAATTTACCGCAGTAGTCAATGAGATATTTCCATGTGATTGACTCTGATAATCACTATGACTATTATGACCATCTTCAACTTCTAGAATTACAATACCATGCCAGATATTCTTCCTTTCGTTTTGTTTGACTTACTTTTGTAAGTGCATGGATCACCACCGTTAACACTTCCACTCATCGTTTAGTAAAACAGATCGATTTTTGTCGATACTAACTTGAATTATTCGAACTTGAAAGTAATCTGATGTATGTTACTCTTTTCTGCTCTTCCTCTCCGAATCTCACACTTATGTGTATATATATATATACGCATGTAGATGAAAATAACATTCGTCATAAGAATCAACAAACTAACATTTTTTTGTCTGGACAATGCATTATCTCCAACAAGCATTTCGTTCGATTCTTTTTTCTTTAATAAAATCACGTGAGATGATACGCTTACACGGACAATGTTCCATTTAGGATTATCAATCATTGAAGGAAAAGTGTGCGTTGAATTTTTGAAATTTCTAGCAACTGAGAATGTTATTTACATAATCAAATAGGAACATTGCATTTAATCAGAACACATTTCTATATGTGCGCTCAACTCTAAATCCGTCTGTCCGTTGGGCTATTCAACGGAAAAGGATGCCTGATTTTAACAGCACTTCAATCTTTAAGGATCAAAGGAAAATCTATTCCGAATGTTTTTCTGAACTGAACTCTATCAAAAGATTACTCTTTGTGCAGGAACATCAACGCTGCCATCTCACAAGGTCCGAAATGGGTTACATGAATTTTTCCAAAGCTAAGGCCGATATTGTAAAATATTGTATTAGATGTACTTTTCTTTATTTTCTTCTCTCTCAATGTTGATTTACTCTTCTTGTCATCTGGTTATATCTTTAGTTTTTCACCGGCATGTTTAGTATTGTGTTAGCTCTGATAGGGTCTTACCTGTAGATGATCTGTAACCTTGCATTTACTATAAGAAGAAAGGCAATGTTCCTGCCTCTTTTCCTCCTCCTTATCGCCATCATTTCTCTACTTCGTCTTCTATTAATATATTGTTGTGTCATATTTACTGCCGTGGCCTAGTGTACTTGATCTTTTTCTGTAAAATGTAATTCTTTCTGTAGAGTAATATATACATGGTTTTTCTGTTCTTTTCCCCTTTATGTACAACATCTGCCTCAGGAACGTTTTCGTTTAAGGCATCGAAGGTGAGGATACGTCACGTCACGTAGCGCTTCTCTCTTAATTGATTGAATAAAAGCATTAATATATATGTTGTAAAATATCGTTACAAAAACTGTCTCGTTTGGTGAAAAAGTTCACGTTTGCCTTTCATTACACAAAAATATGTTCTACAATGTCCTCCCTTCGTAAATTACTGGTTCAGACCTCAGACGATTTTCAAAAAAGATTTCTTCACTAAATAAAAAGCAATCGGTGTGTTAAAAACGATACACGCTACAGAGACTAAGTAGTGTGAGTCTTGTTGTACGTCATATACTTCAAGCCAGTTCAGAGAATTTCATACGAGAGCTGGCATAGTGTTTGTAGTGATAAAAAATTCATCAAAATTTTGTCATTTTCAAACGATTTCTATAACAAAAGGTGTCATATGGAAAAGTTGATAAAATTTTCAGGATCTAAATCATTTTCTTGAATGAGAATTAGTCCAGAGACTGTTATTAAGCTTATGCACCGTTCTGAATCTTCTTAGAAAAAATAGTTTTCCTGTCAACACAGAAGCCGTTTTTCTAAATTCTGTTAAAAGAGAATATATAGGCAATTCAAAGTAAAAAGGATTCAAATGGACTACAAAATGTGTACCGTAACCGGTACAAATTGCTCTGGAGTACCTGAGGTCGAGATGTGGTACTATACCCCCAAATGGGATACGGACGGCAGGCCTGAGGGACATGCGTCTCCAATTGAATGCATAGAAGATTATTAATCTCGTGTCACCATCATATATACTTTAATACTTGTGTTTTTTAGCAAAAAAGTGTAATGAAATCAACGCAAAAGAAAAACAAAAACAACCGAAAAAAAGAAAACAAACACAACAAAAAGACTTCAAGATTCTCATATATGTGACGATGCGTGTTGTTCGCTTGTGCAATATAAAGAAACAAAAATTAGTAGCAAAACAAATAGAAAAAAAAACACATGAAAAAAGACAAATAGACAAAATCACTCACACATGATTAACGTCATCAATGAGCATGAAAGAAACGAGACAAAACGAGTTGGATTTATGGTAACCAGGAGAGAAACTGGACAAGAAATCCACACGTCAAACGAAAGAAAAAGTGTAAGGATCACAAAAGAAGAAGCAGCAGAAGAAGAAAAACCGCTATTGTGAGCAAAACAATATGTCATAAGCAAGTTTTGGGGTTGCTGGAAGACAAATAAATAACGTGTTGAAAAATTCATCTTGAATAAACATGTATTTCTTTCGACATTCGATTTCCTACTCATCTCGCACGAGTTACCGATCTTCAAGATCCACCCTAGAGTGCATACGCGAAGAAGAAGGACGAATATAATAAAAGTAACAAAGCAGCAACCAGAAAATCAAAACGAAAGATGAACTATTTAAGTACATAAACTCATCAGAACAGGTAACAATAACAGTAATAATGATAATAAAATGAAAAGACGTGCGTATAATTTGGCTTTTTGTTTGAGAGAAACGTAAGTTTATTGTGCTTTTCTCGTGAATAGAGTAATAGCTTAGAAATAAACAAACAAAGAGAAAAAAACAGAAATATAAAAGACAAAAAATCGATTGAAACCATGTTGCCGATGTGGTCTTGCCATCTCTGTCTACTGTTCTTCATTGAACACCGTTACTATGCGGTTGTCTAGGTGTTCGTTGCCGTTTTGGTGCATCATTATAATTGCGACTGCCATTAGTTGTCTCCGATGTTGATGTAGCGTTGGAATCCGTTCCGTTATCATCATTATTATTATTCAATGCCGTTGATTGTTGAGACTTTCTGGATGTTGAATTCTGTTGTGAGTGACCGCTGTATCCATAATTATCTTGATAATCGTTCGATTCATAGTTGTATCTATTATTATATCCACCTCGGTAACCGCGATGACCACGATTATTATTATTGTATCGGTTGTTATTATTACGTTGAGATGATGTCTGATCGTGATACTGTTGTTGACCTTCTACACAGAAAAAAGTAATCTTTTCCTTAAATTCAGCTTTCAAATCAGTTCACTAACCAGTATTATCTTGAGCATCATGCGTAGTGTTTTCATTGTCATTATCTTGACGTCGCTCATCATAACCTATAGAATGGAATAGCCAATATTGAATAGGCTTACTATCATTAGTTCATTTACCGGTGTCATTTTGTCCACCAGTTCGATACGAATTAGCGCCCGAACCACGACGTCCACGATTACCATTGCCCATTGGATAGTTATTCGATCGGCGTGCTTGTGAATTGTTGTCATAACGTTGCTGTTGTGGATAACCTCCATCATAATAGTTGCGTCCAGAAACTGAATTGTTCATTCTGTCCGAATCATACCTAGAACAGATGGAATACGGGAATGTTGAAATTTCGTCGCAACACATTGATTTACCGCTGTTGGCGTCCTCCTTGATAACCTTGATTGTTACCAGTTGAATTGGACGTGGCATCTTGTTGAGGACCAACAATGGTACGATATTGTTCGTGAACTTGACTCCTCTTTTCTTGTAGCTCATCAAATTCCTTAGCAGATCAAGATTAATACTTATCAACGGCAAAATATGTTCAATATGAATTTACTTTTAGAGACGCAATATGATATTCGAGCAATACTTTGGCGTTAGCAACACTTTCTACTGTACCAACAAAGATAAAGGGAACTTCATCCTGTAAGATCAGATCGAAGAAAGATGATTGGAAACATTTCAATTTCTATGTAGGGAAATCTTACATTTGGACTGTTGTCATCGCGTGTAGTCGGTGTTTCATTATCGCCTTCGATCTTAACTCGAATAACTCCACTCTTATCAACTATTTCTTGAATAAGGTGTCCCTTTTTACCAATGACTTTTCCTAAATAGATCAAACATTCCTAGAAGAACATTCCTTTTTCATAGTGTAAATCCTACCAATAAGCTCTCGCGGTATTGCTACAGCATCGTCAACATATTCCAACAAACCACGTGCCTCCTTTACAGCCTTTTCCGTCTAATAGAAGAAGTCACTTTTCAGTTGAGAATTAAAATCTATTTCAATCATTACTTACATCGCCAGATACTTTTATTGTGTAAGTTTCATTATCAACTTCAACATTTGTGACACCGGGCACGGCTAGTGCCTTTTGGAGGTTTGAATGATGTGTACCAATAGCAAGACCCATGAGTTCATTTTTGATAGTAAACTTTTCCACAAATTTTTCTACCTGGCTAACTTTCATGAGCTAGTTGCACAAGCGCTTATTGGTTCGAAGGCTACATAACACAAAAACTTACTTCAAGTTCTTTCGTGACTTTTTCTGTTTCTTGTACAAGTCTAGATTTTGAACGTAAATTTCGAAAATGCATATCGGATAGGATTTGGGCACGGCGGAGAGTAGCATCATTATCTGACTGAAAAAGCGCAAGCATAAATTAAACAATTGAAATCAAGTCTTATCGACGTACGATAACAATCAGTGCTTCTTTCTGATCATCGTATCGAACGACAGCAGCACCCGACATTCGCTTAAAATCTTTATGATTTGCTGGATTCCTACATCTACAACACGAAAGAAGATCATTGTTTGCCTGTACTTTTCAGAAATCCGAATACATACGCGTCTTGAGTATCTTTGTTGACAGGTAATTCTAATACTTTAAACGTTGAGTAAGTTATTGGAGGACTGAAATGGGAAAAATACGTTCGTCAGAGTTTGCTCGTATAGAAAAACGGATTACAAACTTTGTATTTGGACAACGAAGTTTATCACTAGGTACAATATCCGAATGATTGGTGCCTTGAGCCCCAGATTTATAATCCACAACAACAAAATCACCCTTAATCATTTTCGCAGTGGCTGGCCACCAAGCGAATGGTTCATCTTCTTTCGATTTTGTGAACACCTGAATGAATGTGCGAAAGATTTATCCTTTTAACACAAAACTGATTCGAAATCACGTACTTCGCACGGGTCGCCAGGTTGTAATTTTTTTAGGTCGATCAGTTCAGATGGGAGTCGTAGACGATTTTCCGAGAATGAAATTTTTGCTGGAGGGAAGAAACTGCACAATAGACAAAAAACATGTTAATCACTTCGAAATGATGTCGATTCTATTTACTCTTGGTCATATTTAACATTGACGCCAGATTCATCCAAACCAAGCACGGATGCCTAGAAACATAGAGAAAGTTGAGTACTGGGAAAAAACGCAGTATCTCTACTCACTTTGTAATAAACACCGTTTGGCTGTTCTACGTCAACGATGAGATCGTCCATTTTCTAATTAATTTAATTATCCTATTAGAAATAACTATATTTGATCAGATCAAACGCCTTAATGAGGCGATAACAAGAGTAGAAAATAGGAAGATATATACACTCTAATACATGCACTTGACAATCGAATTCTGTCTTTTTCTGTTTGATATAGAAAAATAAGAGATGCAATCTTAAAAAGAAAGTAATCTTATTAAAAGCCAATGACTATATCATGAAAAAATGAATAACATATTGTAGGAATTCGCCAATGACTCTTCTAGAGGAAATCGGAAGTTTCTCACAAAACTACCATAATAAAATAACAGATGAGACAAGTGACGAAGACTCGAGACTTTTCTCCTCTGTCTAGTAGAAAAAAAATAGAGAGAAAGAGAGAATTTGAATAAGAGTACGGATGTGAAGAAGAATTGTTTGTTTATTTGCTTTTTTTCCCCTCTACTAATAACGACTGGCTACTATGTTCTTCTATGGTAAATTATGGAATAGACCTCTATAGAAGAAAAATGGCCGAAATCAAAGTATTTTTATAGTTATCACGAATGTTTTGAAGATTACAAATAATTCAATGAAACGTTTGATTGTTGCATGAATAGATATAAGAAAAGATGGAACATCTTAGATGTCGCACTGTAACATATGACTCAAGGTTACTGCGCCGCAGGGAGAATAACAAAAATATAAAAACACAAAAATGTCCTATGACGTAATCCTGAAAAGGATGAAGACTTGTGTTTAATTTCGTGATGGATTAGTTGTTTGTACTGCTGCTGATGATGTCATGGTCGTAACAGGTAGAATAGCTGCAGGATCATTAGCCATGCGATTGGCTTCTGATATCTCTTGAACAGTTTGTTCGTACGATGGTGGTTTCTCATAAGGATTCTCGGTTACCGTTGTATACGTAGGTGGATATGTAGAGCTGTATGGTGCTTGTTGTTGCTCATCATGGTTGTGAATCGGTACGATAGTGTTCATGACATACATCTGTTGATCTAGGAACAAATAATCCTTCTTTCAGTCCTGATCTAAAATCTTTAGTCATACCTCGTTGATATTTTTTTAATTTGTACCGACGATAAAGAAAAATTAGGATAATAAGAATAAAAATCAATGCCGGAACGATAACTCCTACCGCACTGAAATAATGACAAGAAATCTAGCCATCGTTTTTTTAGGAAAATTCAGATCTATTTACATGTATGCAGTCCTATTCGAAGTGCAATAGACATATTGATTAGTCCAAGTATCAAAACACTGCGCCATATTTGTTAAAATTATAAGTAAACGACGAAGTCAGTCGTTGTTTTTACTTTTCTTATTTTTCCTTTTACAAACGAATAATATCGCTAATTATTGAAGCTTGTCATTTAATATGTATCATCATGGCGAACAAAAAATCTATCATTTTTTCTCTTTCGTTTCATTCACTCGCATGACGTAATAAATCGATACACGAAAACGCGTGACCTTCAGCATTCACTAGATTTTTTCCTCATCGAAGTGATTAATCGCCGTTTTTGGGTGTGTACATATACGAATAGCGAAATAAATCCAATTGGATGACTTCTGTGCAAAACTCTCAATCTACTTGTATGTTCTTTCCTTCCAAGAATGACGAAGGTATACGGCTCAAACGGGAAATAAATATTTTCTTAGAGTAATTTTACATGTGTATGTTTAGTCTATTCTATTCAGAGTAAATAAATGTTCAAGGACAGTCGTTCACATATACTTCGCTGTTCATTTTCCTTGAATTTCGAATTTGATCTTGAAAGCGATATTGTTAAAATCCATAGAAGAAAGCTGAACAAATAAACTTACTTTTCTTACAGTCGAAGGTTGTCAAGTTCAATATTGAAAAAAACCAAACTGGATTATTTATTGAGAAAATACACGAGGAAAAAGCTATACAAAATAGTTCAAGAATGATTCTCTTAATCACGATAGAATCAATATCATTTTAAGTTGATGGTCCACCAGCTTTGCCCGCGACATCACCTGGACGAATTCCTGGCTGTGCCGAATCTTGATGGCCAAGTAAATTTTGTCCGGGTGTGATATTTTGTGTCACAGATGTTTCGTGTAGTTTGGCATCAGCTTCTTGTTCTTTAAATTGAGATTTGGCTTTATCAGCTTGATGACCACCAATTGTACCGTCTTCCGACACGGGTACACCTTCTTGTTTCTGAATTTCTAACTGTGGAGCACTTGCCATAGTTCTCGTAAGTACGAATGTAACGTAATGAATGCTTGCCGTAAGAATGACGAGAGTGAAGTTGATAGAGTCTAAAACTCTTTCCCTTTCTTCATTTGATTGTTGTTATGGTAATCGCAGCTGAATGCAATTGGATGATGTAGAATTTTTTTTATTCATCAGAATGGAGTAAACACAAATATGTACGCGTAAAAGAAAGAAGAACCAAGACAAAGAACAAGAAGAAGAAAAAAAGTAAAGATTATTCATCATATTAGTTATTGTTCGTTTTTGTTTTCCAGAATAAGTAGACATCATACGAAAAAGATTACAAGAAAATCAACTAATACATGTGTAGTAGTATGTTTTTTTTCCGACAAATGAACTGAGATTGTTTGGCTTTTTCTTATCGTCACAAAGGCAAATAAACAAATACACAAAATGATTTCTTTCTCTATCTACTCTCAACAATTATCAGACATTGAATTTGAAGGATAAGCAAGACAATTTTATGAAAAGACATTCTAATCTAATACATGCAGAGAAAAAAGAAAACGAAATGTACCATATATTAAACCTGCCGCACAGGTATCACTGAGGAGGAGGAGAAGAAGAAATAGTAGTAGAGCTAAAGCATACAGAATTGGCCTATGTGGAAGAAGATATATTATTCCTGATAAAGGGGAGGGGGAAGGGGAATCCTGGATGAGGAGCACCAACACACTTGAGAAGAAAATAAATGCGGGACATACATAGTACACACTCACTGTTTGATTAAAAAAACAGAAGAGAAATTGCGCAAAAAGAATAAAGATTTTAACTTTTAATCCAACTATGTTCTAGTATTGCTTCTAAAGATGGTCGTCGATCAGGATTGTGTGCTAAACATCGTTGAATTAAATTTTTCAGATCAGCTGATATATGCGATCTTAATACTAATTTATGTCCAGTTATTTCCGCTTCGTTCTCAAATGGCAAGCCGCCATTGACCTAAACGAAAATGCACATTCCAATGCGAAAAAAACTAACAATCGATTCGAAACAAACCATATCGTATAGCAATACTCCGAGTGTCCAAACAGTTGATGGTACTCCTCTATAACGCTTTCGAAGAATGTATTCAGGTGATTTGTATTGTTTCGTTCCATGAAAATCTGAGTAATGTGTTACTGGTGATTTGTATATGGCACTAGCACCAAAATCAATTAATACAAGTGATTGAGTATCGAGATCCACGAGAATATTTTCACTTTTAAGATCACGATGAACAACGCCTTTCCTAAAATGAAATCGAATTGTTTCATATCCAGTCAAATTAGTACACGAAGTTATTTATAGACGATTTCAGCGAACAGCTGTTTTTCAAATGCCTGGGCATTTAACCTGCTGTTCGTTTTTTTTCAAGTTCGTTGTTGATATTTACCTTAACATAGCTAAATTAATTTGAACTAATTGTTGAAAAAATTTCTTCGCTGTAGCTTCATTAAGTCGTCCTTGATCGCTTGCTTCCAAATAATCGAATAGATCTTGACAATTGATCAAACGTTCCATGACCAACACCCAATGTTCAGCATTCTCAAAATAATCATAAACATGAATAACTCCTAGAAGAAAGAAATATTCAAATCGAATCTGGTTTACGAGAAATAGAACAGAAAACGTTCGTACCTTGAATTTCATGCACAGCTTTATGTAATAGAACTTCTGCTGGATATTTCTTTTGATTGACCATTAACCAATTCTTCGTCTTTTCCTTTGGAATAAATTTCACGACAACTTTCTTATTATCACTTAAACGAATGCCTTCGTATATATCTGCAAATCCTCCACTTCGAACAAATTCTCCCAGTTGATAATAATCACAAAAATTGGATTTGACAATATCAAAACGAACCATATTAAATAGATTTTGTTCAATTGTTAAAGAATCGACTGTGGGAAGATAATGACCAGCCGATTTGAATGATGTCAGAAAATCGTTTTTCACCGATGGCTCTGTCGATGTTGACGACGATGCCGACGAAGACGATGATGAACAACTTGAAGTGAATGGCATTTGCTCACGATAACTATTGAAACATTTCATTATCGACGATGACGTCGATGGTGTAGCTGTCGATGTATTCTGATTTGATTTTATCGAGGCATTTTGTTCTTGTTCATGATAATATCCGACTGGTAGAATACGTGTTGACATTATGGATGATATTCCGATTGGTTCGTTTATTGACGATGAAGACGAGGATGACGAGAGTGAAAAAACGGCTACAGATTGACGAGGTTTCTCATTTAGATGTATTGAATCCACTTCAGATGACAAATTCTGATCTTCTAAAAAACAAAAACAACATCGACTGTTACACAGAATAATCTTAGATTCACACACACACACACATGAACACGCGTAATTCTGTTCTGTTTATATTTAGTTTGACCGTTTGGAGGCAATTGTACAATGGGCTATTTTTTCTTTTTCTTTTCTAGTCTATCATCGGTCGATGTTCATCGCGCAACAACATTCTCTCGAAAATTTTTCTCCCCGTTCTGTCTCTATTTTATCCACGCTCATGCGATATGGACACACACTGACTTATTTGATTGTCGGTCAGAAAAAGTACTCGACTTAACCCTGTCGAGAAGATTATTTTTCTCGATTGACACTTTCTCTCTTCTTTGTTAGTACCTTCGTTCTCTTTTCTTCTACACCATTACAGCACATACACGTTCAAGGCTCTCCTTTTTTTTCGCGTATGTGTACACACGATGAATTGGGTGCTGGATGCACTTTAACTGATGATAGTTGCAGGAGTTACGTAACGAAAGAAAGAAAGAAAGAAAGGAAAACGACGGAGTTGTCAAAAACGATTCACCCGACGACGATGTGGCCTGCTTGAGCAGATGAAAAAATGTGGATTGGGTTTTGTTCTAACCGCAAAAATGAGCAAAGCAACAGGAACGGAGGAAGAAAAACTACCATATGAGACGAGAACAGTCGCGAGCAAGAGAAACAGAATAACCTTCAAAATATAAGAACGACGAAAAAAAAATCTAAGAGAACAGGATTTTTGTGGTTGCTAGTTGTGATTGTGCTGAATGATGATATACCATCACGCACTCACATCACATGCAATATACACGCGGAGTCATTACCAAGCATGATAAAAGCAAATCATCTGTTTGTCTTGTTCTGTTCCTTTTCTTCTTTTGCACTAATGAATAATATTTGCTTCAAGGTCGAAGGGACTTATATTCATCACCGCGCGAACAGGGGCGCGTCTTAGTTCAGCTTTTCTCTTTCTCAACAATAAAGGCAAAATAATCAACGAAGAGAAAGAACGACCTTGGAGAAACACTTTCATAAGCAAAGCTACAAAATAATAACAACAAAAAACAAAACTTCCTTTTTTCCTCGTTCTATTTTTACATCTGTCTTGGCGGTTTTTTTTATTTACTCATTTTGTCAAGACCTTGTAATGTCGTCTTCGTCATGTTCTATAGCGACTAGCAAACATAACAACCTTGTTGTTCAATATATATGATCTAAGCAACCGCACAAACCCATCGTCGAAGAAAAACGACAGAGAGAAGGGGGAGAGAAAGATAGAGAAATATGTAATTAGCTATGAAACCTTGGTATGTGTATTGCAAATGCGAACGATCGACTAAGCAAAGGGACAGGGAGAGAGAGAGAGAAAAAGAGATTCAAGGTTAAGAGACGACAAAGAACCGTTTTTTTCTACCATTGAATGTTAAGAAAAAAGGGATATAAAGCAAAAAAGAAAATGCTAGAATACTCTTTCGAAAGAGCTCACATTGTTGCCGATTGAATAGATGGTGAGACTGATATGATTGGTTTTGAAACGGTGAAAATCACCCTCAAAACAACAACAACAACAATGTTGATGATAATAATGTTGTCTAAGTTTGCATGGAAGAGACGAGAAACTTCGAATAGACGACTTCATCAATAAAATGAATGAAGTGCATAAATTCGAAGGAGTAACGAGACAGTATACATGGTATAAGTGATAAAAATAGAAGTGACAGTAAATATACACTTTCCTGAAGAAAAGACAACAAAATACTTGGAGTAGAAATCTTTCTTTTTTTTTTATAACAATTACTCTTTCCAAAATCTCTTATCGACGGTTATCGGCGCAGCGCGACTCGGAATTTCTCCTATTCTGTCCTTAATCGGCCTCCTTTCGCTTTAACTATATAATCATATGTGTAAAAAACAAAGCCCAGCTGATTGTTGACAAATATCAAGCCAAAGCTATTTTTGTTTTCTCGTTTGGCTCTCTTCTTTAATCATTCACAAATATTCGTAAACGCTTCTCTCAGTGATGCTTACTTGACTTTGCTGTGACCGCTGTTGTCTTATTTTTATTGGTAGATTTGCATAGATGTCTTACATAATAGGGTAGTTTATTTGTAAAAGACACAAGCTGACGATCATCATCTGTATTGGTCTCTGGACAAGCTGTTAAATGTGCCATACTTTCTTTTTCGATGGTCAAATTAAAATCAACAATATCGGTGTTTCCATTGCTAACGGTTCTTCTATTTATCCCGTGTCGAATTGATTTTAATTCCGACAACGGGAGATTTCTTAATAGTTGACAATGTGTTGTGAACAGTAATCACGCGTATTCAAACTAATCTATCTGACGAAGCGATCAGATGCGAGCAAGTTATGTCAGAGAAGGAGACGATCGAAGGAGAATGAGAGGGAGAGAGGGAGGAAAAGAAAATCTTTTTCTCGACTTGATTTTTTCTCTACCGACAGGAAAAAAGAGAAAAAAAGACTTTTCTCTTCTTTTATCATGTACACAAGTTTGAATTGGTCTTTTTCTTTCTCTTCTTTCTTCCTTCGATTCTCAGCTGTAGTATATACATGCACAGAATGAGGGTGTATCTTGCGTTGTCTTCTAATACGAGATACATCGTCGAATCAAATCTTCTAATCTATTATTAGAAAAAAGAATATCGAAGTGTACGTGTATAAGAAACTGAATACAATAACATATCAACATTATCAAACATCGATATCATATTATAAACTCGTGTATCCATATATTTCTAATGCAACAAACGAGAGCGTATACAAAAGAAAGATAATGAATCTTACCTGAAGATGGTTCTTTGTTTCCAAGATGACATAAATATCGTCGGGATTTTCTTTTAAGAAAATGAAACACTTCCATTGATACAAGCAATGTATAGACTAGTGTTCTTGATTAGAGAAATGAATGAAAGTTATAAATAAATATAGAATATGACTAAATCTACAAGAGAGAACATACCATACAAATATAAATTACTAAAATTGATACGATAAAAGCCTATGTAAACACATTTACTCATCGGAATGGCTATCGCGCTTTTCGCATAAATCACTCTAGGTACTATTGAGTAAAATGAAAAAAAAACATCTTCACTTCTACGATTAAACTTGTTTTTTTTTCTAATCTGTTTATATCCATTCTTATGGCTCACTATATATTCGAAAATGGACGCGTGATTCGACGTTTAATATCAGACAGCTGACTTATTCTGCAGTAGTTTTTGCTTATCATTACTCTCATCATCATGACCATCCAAGGTCGTACATAAAATGAGAAGAAAATTGGAATAGCTTGCTGGTTGTCTGCGTGATGAAGCACGAGAGTCAATAGAGAAACATTCATATCAAGCATATTAACAACTACAAGTAAACAAAACACTTGTGATGCACAGAAATGTACTTGATATCATTGGAGAAGATCATATGATTCGTGTTGAAGTGCTTCAAAACAAGCAAAACGCATATGATGTGTTTTGTAGTCAGCTGACAATTCGTCTAAGGTCATTACTGTTCGTCGTTGACATTGATATTCAGCCATTCTTTCTAAGATTAATGTTCAACAACGAAATTCTCGTATCTAATATCTAGTTTTCCCAACTCACTTGATTCTATCAATATTGTTCTGTTTTTCTAGACAAAAGTCTGGGACAAAATAACTTATCAGTTTCCATGCAGTCTTCGATAGATGAAAACGATTGATATTCCATGCTGTTGAATCCCAAGATCATCATAATGCATCTTATTCGTTTATATACAGTGATTTGGAAAAAATCAATATTAGCTTTTAAGGTTATTTAAGGGTGTGCATATGATCGAACTTTTTTCACCTTCGTGGGCTTTGACGGCTGAGTTTGTTTCTCAAGCCGTTTTTGTCTTTTCTACAGACAAACTTCACATCATTCAAAGATATAAATAGTGTGTAGTCGCAGCTAAATACTGTCTATTTCTTGCCTATGCAATTCTGATCGATCAAATAGACAATAAGACACTATTTTCTCTCTCTTAGTCTTTCTGTGTATTCGAAAAAAGCCGTTTGCCTCTAACCGACGTACTTTTTATCTAAAGTACAATGTACATGTGATGTAAAGAAGAATGATATGACGTTTTTCGAATGCGTCATCAACTGATATGAAAGTATGCTATTCCCTCGTATTGAGATATGATTTAAGTTAACGAATATTTCAAGAGCACAACAGAATAGGCTATGCAGGCTAGATTTCAGAGCGATTTTTCAGCGCTAAGAATAAATGTTCGCAATAATAGCTGCATTGAATACATTCTCACGAAAACATGACGAGCATGAAGCATTAAACTATGAAAACTACGTATGCACGGGTCAAGCAGTGCCATTAACCAAAGTCTATCGTGAATCATCATTCGACCGGCGAGTACGAAAAGAGTTGGCAAACATTCGCCGTATGGAACGAATCCAACAGCAAGTAAAACTCGTTCGTTTAATGAAGAAATTACTATTGAAAATTGAGGGTGAACTATCCGACGAGATAGTCGAGCAAATGCGTTTGAAAATAGCACAGATTGAAATCAAAGTTACAAAATCGGCTCGTGCAGAACAGATTAACTGTGATGATATGCTCGATCTGGATAAACCTGATGATAATTATGACATCGAAATCGAAGAAATGATTCGAAAATCGATCGAAAACAATGATCCCGAATTAATCACAGTAGATAATTATGCCAGTGGTGATCATACGCAGATTTCAAAAGAAAAAGATTTACTGAATTAACAGTAGGTTATTACACTGAGTTTTTACGTTAAATGAAAAGAAAGTTATTCACACAAACATGCGCATACATGAAATAAAACACAGAAAAACAATGCTTCAGTCATCAAGGTGTTTGACTATGGATAGATTTTCCTACACCGCAGTTGTTGTTCGACGATTTGCGTTTAAACTCGGGGTGTGAAGTAGTTTCGATGCATGATGAGCCTATGTCAAAGAACAATAGATATTGAAGTACAATCACTTGTGCTTTTTGTCATACCTGTACAAGTGAAAAACGTCGAAGTTCATCATGATCAACTACAACTTTTGGCGCTTCCGCACCGTCGACTTTCAACATTCGAGCGAAATTTCGATGATGATGTTGTGTGGACAGATGTTGGAGATTCGGTGCATAATATTTAGCAGCTGCTTGAGCAAGTGTTTCCCGTCGTGAACGTCCAGACTCACTAGCACCCATCGTTGATCGACGTGATGGTTGACGACCAGCAGAGCCAGCGATAGTACTTTTACGACGAGTGATTTGTGCTTGTGTTGACGGCTCTTTGGCAAAAGTTTCTTCGATAACTTGTCTATGTTTAGGTTCGAAATAGGCACGAAGAGCAAACTAATAACAAATACGAAATAGCTTGTTGTTAACGAAAAGGACTTAACGTAGCGTTTTCATTTACCTTAAGGCCATCTAATGGGAAGAACCAAATTACATTCCATATCCAAACGATACCTGCCCATGACCATCCGCAGCCCTGAATCTCAGTAAAACCCCATGTAGCATAAACGGCAATGAATGTTGCTACAAGTTGTGCAATTATAAAAGCACAAACTAAAATAATAGATGGTCGTTCCGTAAAGAAGAGACCCTGTGAACGGGTAATAAATATCAAAGCTTGACTTATAGTCGATACTTGTAAATAAATAATGGAATGCAATTTCGGATGATTGTATCCGGGAGGATTTGCTGATTGAGAATTTTCTACAAAGAGATCGACACCAAAATGGTCTTGGAAGAAGTTTGTTTTAACGATGACAGCAAAGAAGATAACTGTCGATGCAGCTAAGTAGATTCCGTACATAATAGCATAAGTAAAGATTTCTGAAAGATTCCAGCTATTTGGGTAAGGTGATGGTTTAACACGATCTTTGGATATTGTCATGATTGTGCCATCATTGAGTATAGCAAGAATAAGTACCTAAATGTATGATAAAAGAATTTCGATGCATTGAAATTAAAGGTTGAGTGTTACCATAAATGATGGAAAATCAAATTTAAAAGCAAAGATAAGAATCGAAAATCCGACTAGGATACGAATCGTGATTGAACATGTGTAAATGGCGTAGTTTCTCATACGTTGAAAGATTTGGCGTGAACCAATAATAGCTATTCGATAATGCATAAACTATTTTTCAAACGATTTCGTTCAGTCAAACAACTGCTTACCTTCGATGATAACTGATAGACCAGGTTCAGTCAAGACAATATCTGCTGCTGAACGTGCTGCATCAGATGCGTCAGCTACAGCGACACCGACATTGGCTTTAGCAAGAGCCGGCGCATCGTTAACACCATCACCAGTCATAGCAACGGTGTGACCTAATTCTTGTAGCTTCTCAATGATTTTATGTTTGTGTTCAGGATAGACGCCAGCAAAACCATCAGCATGTAAGACCAAGTCATCAACATCCTTGTAGCCTGATTCAACGGGTGGTCCTTCTGTAAGTGTTTTCGACAGAAACATATTGTCGCCCATACCAAGTCGTCGACCTGTTTCTTTCGCGATAGCCAGTTGATCACCAGTGATCATTTTGACTTTGACACCTATATAACAAGAAAAACGATTTAACACGATGATGTAGCTAAGAACAAAGTCGTGTGGATTTACCTAATTCGACAGCACGATCAATGGTTTCTTTCGTATCACTACGTGGTGGATCATAGATGGGTAGAAGACCGATTAATTTAAATCCATTTCCTTCACCATCGGTTTGTCCACTTGGTACATCTTCAATGGCAACAGCTAGAGCTCGTAAACCTCGTCGTGCGAATTCATCAACATCAGCATTCAGTTGTCTAATTTGTGCATCATCTTTGTCTCGTGTACATAAATCCAATATCGAATGCGACATGCCTTTACTGATTCGATGTACACTTCCATCGCTAGTCAATTTGTAAGTGATTTCCGTTCGTTTGTTTGTCGGGTTAAATCTTTAAATAAAAATAAATAAATATAAATACTTTTTTGCAAAAGATGTATCTACTTACGGTTTAAAATCTAATTCTTCAATACCTGCTCGTACTTTTTTAATATCGCCAAAAGTACTTGTAATACATGTATCAATAGCATCTTGATTTTCCATACGAGATGCAATGGCGGCATAGTGGATAATGTCATCTCCTGTTTCATCTGAATATGTTTTGACTGTTGGCTTGTCAATAACAAGTTTATTTAATGTCAATGTTCCTGTTTTATCTGAACATAAAATTGTCACGGCAGCAAGCTCTTCGATAGCTGTTACGTGTGTTACAATTGCTTTATGTTGAGATAATTGTTTAGCACCAATGGCCAATGTGACCGACAAGACTGTTGGCATAGCAATTGGAATGCCACCGATCAAAAGTACCAATAGATTGTTAATACCACGGCGATAATCGTATCGGAAGCCAGCGCTGAAATAAAAAGATACATTACAAAGGCGTAGGTTTCGTGTCCGATACATACTACATGACCAGAATTTCTGCAACAATGAATATAACTATACCACATATACAAAAATTACCAATATGGGCAAGAATAGTTTGTAAATGACCAGTTTCATCACCAGCACTTGTGACTAATTTCGTTGCTCGACCGAAAAACGTATTGAGACCAGTTCCAATAACTAGAAGACGAAAAAAAAACATTAAGGTGCGTCTCCACGATAATCTCATGCATGTATTTACCGATAGCTTCAGCTTCACCTTGTTTACATGTTGAACCCGAGAAGACTTGATCGCCAACGACTTTGTCAGCAGGAAGCGACTCGCCTGTTAGTGCTGCTTCATCGATTGAAACACCACCATGTGCAGCTACGTTTAAGAATCAAAAACATCTTCACTTCTGAGGAAGAACTCAAACAAAGAACTTTTCTTACCAGTTAATCGAGCATCAGCTGGTACGACGTCACCTAATTTAACGCTTATGATATCACCTGGAACCAAATCCGCTGCATCGATGACTTTCCATTCACCATTTCGTTTCACTTTCGCCTCTGGTGCTAAAGCTTCCATCAATGCTTTCACTGCATTTCCAGCTTTGCTCTGTTCGATAAAACCAATGATTGAATTAGCAAGAAGAAGCAAAATAATTCCAAGAAAATCTTCCCAATCGGGTGGTTCACCACCACCATTCGACACAGCGATGGCAACAATAGCAGCAGCTTCCATGACCCACGAAAGTGGATTCCACATGAATAAGAGAAATTTGATGATTGGACTTTTCTCTTTATGATCAATTCGATTATGACCAAACTAAAATATAAAGTGATCAATCTTTTGTTTTACAAAAAAAGCGATTTTACCTTCTCCAAACGCTCCTGAACCTCTTCATCGGTTAAACCATCACGCGTAGCCCTAAAAAATATTCGTGCGTATTTTTTGTCAACTTAACTATATGCATTTAACTTACTCAAGCATTTTGAACACGTCACCTTCTTCCATAGTCGATAAATCATATTTTTCCTTATCATACATATCTTCGACAGTTAAATTTTTAACTGGATTTTCTGGCATGTCCACGACTGTGGCTTTAGCCTTTCCATTTTCCTCCGGCGGCATGCTACTCCGTACAAATGTATTATAACCCACAAATCACCGACTGCTTTTCTAAAATTGTAGAAAAAAGATCGAGAGAATCAAGCGATGTATATGTATATAAATTATTTGTCCATTAAATAAGAATCACGAAGCGTGTCCTGACGATAGATACAAATGAAAACTGCGTTGCTTTAATCATCCATCAAAAAAGCTATTAAAATAAACCTGGGATGTCGTACTCAAAAATCGCGCCGATAATCAGCAGAAATAAGTCATTCTCCGCAATACGCAAATAACTATGATACAAAAACAAAGGTGAGATGATCAAAGATACTTGTTTTTATGCATCATAATCAAGTGTCTTGGATATATCCAATCGCTTATTCAACACGTTTTTCTTTTGCATCCACCCTTGAATAAGTTTGGGCTTGTTTTCGCGTCCTTATTTCTGTCTAATCTGTGATAATCACTGTTCCCAAGTCAGATCTAATATCGAGATATAGTTCTTACAACTATCCGACAGAGAACAAAACTGTTTTTCTTCGCGTCTTTTATTCGTCGAAGTGTTTGAACCTCAGTGTTATTTCGCGCAAAAATTTTACAAATCTCAATTACTCACGAATACATACGTGCATAACCTAATATAAAAACAAACAAAATAAGAATCTGTTTGGATAGTAATGTGATTTATATACAGGACGTAGAGCAATCGACAGAGAGAGAGAGAGAGAGAAAGAAACGAAATTAGTACTTGGTGCACTGCACCTTCTCTCTTCCTCTCATTGATAATATTTCGAAAAACAACCGTGTCCCTTCTTCTTGTCATCACATGTACACATGCGTCATCAGATTTTCTTTAATTTATTTATAGTATCTGACGATCTACCTGTAAGCTGTTCATGCACTCTTAAAGTAGAAATGACCATCGAGATAATACGAAGTCTCAAGTGTCACCTCCGATGACGTCGAACTGATTTTTTCCTTACCAAATAAAATTCTTTGGTTGACTTGGAAATCAACCATGAAGCGAATGAATGGATATAACGCATGATCAATATCCAATTAAACCATGGATCTAGTGAAGCATAACTACAAAGAATAAAATATAAGGAGAAAGCTTTTAACACTAATTATGATCTGTAAGTGAATGAACTTTTCCTGGTCAATGTCCTTGATGAACTGTAGATATGACATATATTGAAAAGCAACGGTCAATCTCAAGGACAAAATTAACTGATCACGAAAGTTGAAGAGACTCGCTTTAGTGCGTGATCAGCCATCCATAAAAATCTTTGTCTCTTTACAAATGTACGCCACGCCTTGTGATCATATAAGCGAAAGACACACTGGGCGTATTCGTATATCGTTCGCTTGATTTTTTCTTCAACTTTTATAATAACCATACTCCTCTAATAAAGTACGCCGCCCCAAGAGCGTTTTCCAGTGACGTTACTAAAGGCGTTACATCCCGCTCAGTAATGTTAATTTGCTGAGTCATTAAAATATCCGATAAAAGAACATCACACGATCAATCGTTCTTTCGTACTTTGTCAGAAACACGTTTTTACTATCCATTCGTAAACATAACGACGTCAAGTGTTACAATCAAAGCTACTGTTTATTTTATTGCAAAAGAAAAATTAGTAAGAATGAATCACGTCCAGTCAAATAAAATGGAAGCGAAGGTCTCATTTTAAAGACCACCGGTAACCTCGATACTTGCACCATTCACATAACTGCTCATTTGGTTCGATGCTAAAAACAAGCAAACTTGAGCAATTTCATCCACTGTACCCATTCGAGTCATAGGGACCATTGATAATAGTTTTTCTTTTATCTTATCAGGAATCTTATCAGTCATAGCTGTCTGGATGAATCCAGGTAGAACAGCATTTGCACGAATACCAAAACGTCCTAATTCTTTTGCCATCGTCTTAGTCATCGCTTCAACACCAGCTTTCGATGCTGTATAATTACATTGCCCAACATTTCCATATTTGCCAACAATACTGGCTATATTAATTACACTAGCTTTTAAGTCGGTTTGTTTTTGGGCTAAAAGTCTTTGACAAAAAATTTGATTGACAAGAAACGTTCCTTTTAGATTCACACGTATAACATCATCGAAATCTTCTTCACGCATTTTCAACAGGAGTGAATCCCGTAAAATACCAGCTGCATTGACAATAATGTTCGGATAAGCTTGAGTGTGATGATAGATCTCATCTGCTAATTTCACAACAGACGAACGTTGACTTATATCACTGACAAATGAGTGTTCACAAGATGAATCCGATTTCTGGACATCTCTAAACGAAATAGATTCTCTTTTGAAATCTGACCAGAATCGAATGTTTCATCATGGATTTGAATAACTCACACTCCACAGACTCGGCTGCCTTGCGAAGCAAATAGTTGAGCGACTCTCTTGCCAATACCATTCCCTGCTCCGGTAACTAATGAGACAGTGTTTGTCAACATATCTGAAAGCACAGCGATATGTGAAACAAAAAATTCTGCTTTTTTATTCTCCAAAAATGAAAAACAAAGCAAAACAAAACAAGTGTAACAAAAACACAGACAGATGATCATTACTACTGTTAAATGGTAGTAATACTTTTAATATACTTGACAAGTGCGATCGATGTATTCAATTGTCGTTGAAGATGGTTCCATGTTTCTTTTTGTTTCAATTGAATTTGTCGAATCTTTTCAATTAATTCCTGATTTTTCCAGATCAGATTCGTCCCGTGCAGTTGAATGAACAAGGCTAAATAGGAACTAATCAAATCATAATTTTGCTTGTTATCGAATGCTTGGTGAAGTACGTCGATGAATGTCAGCATACGTTCCAATGAACCACCTTGATCGGGTGATAAACACCGCAATTCATATTCAATTTTTGCCATGCCAAGATCTTTGAGAAGCTGAACAACATCTGAACTAAAGGATGAATTCTGCTTTTGGTGATCAAGTCGATTTGTGAAGGAAGATTCGTAGAGAAATTGCTGGATTTGATTAATATGTGATTGATTCTTTCCTTTTTCTTTCTTTTCATCGTCGGGATTCACAAAAACGAAGCCACGAAGATTCGAAACAGTGGGTAGAAAGAAAGGTGCTTGTTTAGGAATATTTATTGGTTCTTTAGGTTTATTTCGTTGGCGAATAGTATCTAGGACTAGTAAATTCTTCCATTTCGACTCCGGTAATGCAGATAATGTTATTAAATTTTTCGATATTTGTTCCGGTGACTCAAATTCTCCCACTAACACCTGTTGATTTTCATGATCAGTTGCCAAATTAATGGCTGGACCACCGAACATCGATCGGTTCGACCAGAGATAAACACCTAACGCTTCCGTATGTCCTGTTGCTAACATATCGCCATTAGGACTTACTGCTAAAGTGATAATCGCTTGGTCGAATTCAATCGCATCAATCAATTGTCCACTTGGTATATCCCAAACTTTCATTGTTTTGTCTAATGATGTCGACAATAACCAGCGAGCGTCAGGCATGAATGCTAATGCTGTTATCTCTTTCGTGTGAGTATCTGTTGAAAATGTACGGATGCACTTAAACGTCATTGTATCGAAATCATAGATCTTAATCATTTGATTGTTGAAGGCAAGTGCAATAAGGCCACTGTCGCGATGAACAATCATCTTGATGATTTTTATGACAGGCGATGACATTTCCTGATCAATGATCGATGTTGATGAAAGTAAAGTTTTAGTCTTCAAACGCCATAGTTTAATATTTCCACTGATATCACAGGAAATCAGACGAGTATTGAGCGAATCAAAAGATACGCCACAGATAGGATATGAATGTGCTGTAGCATATGGTGATGATTTCAAACGTTTACGCGGATTTTTAGCGGCATATTTGACGGGTTCATCATCTAGAAAAAGAAAATCTGTGAATAAACATGAAACTGTAATGACTGCTTACCAAATGATCCACGGTAAAGCCCAGATTGCATGTTATACAAATCAATATGTCCCGTTGAGTATCCAATAATACAAAAATTTCCACATGGACTAATGTCACATGATGTTGCAGATACTTCGACATCATGATAAACTTTTGTTGCGAATCTTTCATGTTCGAATTTATGTTGACTTCTTGTCGCACGAATAAAATTCCATGCTGATACACGTCGTCGATCCTCATGCACGGCAATAATACCATCCCAATCATTTTCTTTAATGACTTCACAACGTAGGTCAACAATTGGTAAAGCTTGTTCCGTATCATTATTATCATTGTCATTATCATCTTCATTTAACTCCATTTCCCATCTATATCGTGTTGTGCGACCAAAGCACCGAGAAAGATTATCGAGGATTGTATGAAATGTTCGTAAACGACCATCATTACCAGCTGACAGAATAATCTCATTATCGTGAAAGCGAACACAACGTGGAGATTTCGAATGACCACAACGTTCACGATATAATCGACAGGATTGTCCATCGGGCATATCAAAGATCCATTCACGTAAAGCATTATCACTACCATTCGAGATTAACAGTGGTTCACCAGGAATATAATGAAGTGCAGCTATTGGACAATCTTTATGCGCTTGTCGAACTTGACTAATTAAATGGCACGTATCTAAATTCCATATACAGATATGTCCAGTTGAGGAACCAGTTGCCATATGTGGAATATTATCGAGACGAAATGCGATCGATGTTATCGGTCCATTGAAGTCTTGTGTAAATTTGACGAGTGTTTCATCGTATCGAAGATTATGCAAACGAATTTGACCATCATTATATCCGATGGCAACAACATCTACGACTGTTGATTGTGCCATTGCTGTTATAGAACTGGTTGCTGGTGTATCGTTTATAAAGAATTCATGCAATAACTTATTCGATTTAATGTTCCATAATTGCATTGTTCCTTGACGTGATGCTAAAAGAAGTTTATTGACATAAGTTGCTGGATGAAGTAAACATGTAATATGAAAATTCTTCGTATCGAATTCAAGTAAAAGATAAACACTTGCCGATTGAATATCCCAAACACGTAATGTATTTGATGCATCAACGCTAACTAAATGCTCGTCACCAAAGGGCAAGATCTGTTGAACGTCTCCTTTATGATCGGTTAAAGTTTGATAAAGATGAAACACACGTCGATAGACATAGATCGACGATCCAGCTGCAACAAAAACTAGCCGACTATTTGCAGCAAGTGCTTGAATGTCTTCTGGATGAGGATCACTAACAAGCAGTACTTGAAGAGTATTGAGACGATAGGCATGAAATACTTTGCCGATCGCTGTTAAAAGTAAATGTGATGAATGTCGTTGATGTATACGTAGGATGCACGGCACATGGTTTGTTATTAAACCTACAGCACGATAACTAGAGAACAAATGTTGTTGCTGATGAGATGAGACCGTTAACATGTTTAGATATCTAAAAATAAATGAAAACGAAAATCCAAAGAATATGTCGGTACATTGGTATTTACTATGAACCATTGACGAACAGTTATCGTACCTTTAGACAATATCAACAGAGGTCGCATTTTATCGATAAACGCTGCTTTTTTCGTTTTACCACAATCTATGCGTACTGTATGCATAATTACACGTTAAGAATAGTAATTCTTTCTAAATGAATGTCTACATTATTTACATTTTAGTCTGTTGAATCTATCATTTTGTTTCTTGACAAATCTATTCGGTCAACTCTCGTATGCATGAGCAAATTGTCTTTGCCAATTGAAACCAATTATGTAGCACATTCGCATGAATGTAGTATATATATATAATATATGTATATTCTTTCAAGACAGCGCGCTCGCACACAGCAAAAAAGGAGCGAAATAGAGTATAGAAATATATGAACGATAACACCAAAAGAACATACCATGGAATCGAACATATTTCGAAAAAGAGGAAAGAGAGGAAAGGTATGAGAAGATGCAGACAGGAAAAGCCAGAATACCAGCGAAATCGAACAAAAAAGAAAAAGAGACAATTGAACGTGTATGCACAACAAAAATGAACAAATTTGCATGTGATCGAAGTGTGCATGTACGTCTTGATAAAATTATGATATATAATTTTAGTATAAGAAGAAATAGATCGCGCAAGAAAGGAGAAAGAGACGAAATGAATATAGAATGTGCGAGAGCGAAGAAAAACAAAGACATTTACAGACAAAGACAGACGAGATACATAGGCATTGAAAAATTTTCTTTTCACTTTTTTGGCAATGAAAACACACATGATACACAAATGGAGCACACACTGTTATTTTCAGGCTATTGTGATCGTTTCATGTCAAGAATAAATTACATACAGACAATCTCAAGGAATTTTCAAGTTAGGCATATATATATATATATCTATATATATATGTATGTGTGCAGGAAAAAGCAACGACGATCTTGTTCATCCGTATTCTGACGTTGACAAAAGAAGGGAAAGGAGCGGTTTTTTCCATAGTCTAAGATCTATAGGGATGTGCACAGGAGTAGAAGAAAGAAGGAGGGGTCAACAAAATTATTTATAAGAACCGATTCTCATGGATGAATTTCGCACTTACACACATACACACACACACGTACACAATAGAAGAGACGAAGAAAAAATAAATGCCTTTTAGGCATGAGCAACAGCATAGCAAATGAAGAACGAAGACGAAAAGAGAGAGAGATCCTAGTTTGTGACTGACATACACAACACATACACACACACACACCTATACATATACGATGCGTGTTTTTGTTATTTGATTCATTTTAAGAGAAATAGGTAGACTCATGCGAGATACAATCACTAAAAAAAGAGAGTTGCCTTGGACATTGAACATGTATAGAGAGAGAGAGAGAGAAAGAAGAAAAAAGAATTTAATCACAATTTCAGTTCATTAGCGATTTTACTCGCGATGTTTTTGAAACCAATGGATGTGCCTGATATACGTTTGAATCGAACACCATTCAGTGAGAGACGTGGCAATTTGCATACTTCCATTTCCCATGATACGACTGAATCAGTATTTGGATCGCCATGAACACATAATAGAAGGAATTTTTCGCGTTGTTCGTAATCACAATTGTTGATATCCAGAACCTACAGTTAAGAATAACGATTAGCTCGAGAGCCAGGCATTATATTACCTTTCGAATTTCTTTCATCATATCAGATGGATCCATTGAACTGGTTGTCTTCATTGACCATGTGAAACGAAGAGAACGTGGTTTGACATCTTCGGGACTACTATTGCCAACAGCAAGATTATCATTGGTTGTATTACCAGCTGTACTAGTTGTCATATTGGTATTGTTCAAATCTGGAGGACGGCGATAGGATGAGGCGCTTGCAACACTGCCTGTCATATTATTTCCAATGGCGCCTCCACTCGTTCCAGATGATGTTGCAGATTCTCGAATTGATTTTCTAAAAGGAAAACATGGGCATTTATTCGAAATGTTGTCATTTGAGTGAAACAGATGAATTACGATCGAAAAAATCTATAGTGTGCGTTCGTTCGTATAGAGACAAAAATGAATAGAATCAGGTTGTAATCAAGCACGAGAATTGAATAGTTTAAATAGCGTAGAGAAAGAATTCGATGAGCACTTGAGACAAGTACTTTAGCAGAATGATGTAAGCTCTGATGATAATAAAATAAGTATCGATTCCTATGAGCGGATGTCATTTTTAGCGAAGTTATTCTGGCGAAAAAAAAGTGCACTTCAGAATTCAAAGATTCGATAGTAACATGAAGAACTGATTTGATTTGATTGAAAACCAATAGATCGACATACCTTCGCGCAAATTTTGATGAAAGTTTGCTAAGAAAGGATTGAGCACCGTTATTTGCGCCTGACATTGTTGCTCCATGTAGATGACGATTGTTCATATCGGCGTGATTCATTGTATTAGTATTAGGATTTCGTGTGGATGCACGATAATCTGCGCTAATGCCACCAGATGTCGTTGATGCATTTGTTCCTTGGTGATGTTGCCGTGAAGGTATATTATGAATTGTTTTACGATCTGGAGCAGCACGATTCAATGGATTACTTGTGTTACCACTGCTGGTACGTGAGCTAGCCGGTGGTACGAGTGGTGCATTGGATGTTGTTGGTGTCGTAGTTGAAGCTTGCACATTCGGAGGACTAGAAGGAGGAAAAACAAAGATTATTATTAAAAATATACCGATTACACAAGATAACATAGCGATGGCAGAGCAACGAGCAAGATATGCATGCACGATCGTGAGGAAAAAGTTCTTATTCGATGTTAGTAGTTTGTTTTTGATGACATTGCAATCTAGTCGAGTGCACATATACGTGGTTAGATAGATACAAGGAGGAAAGCTCTCAATTTGTCTTTGAGAATCAGAATTATGTCCGTCATTGTATGTATAATCATCTTACTTGAAATTATATGGGTGGTGTTGACTCGAATAAGCTCGAAACGATCCACCGGAGTTAACGTTATTAGTAGGTGATATTTTTCTATGTCTGAGAGATTTCATTATAAGTAATAGAAGGGAATGAATTGTTTTCTAAGAAAAAGATGTACACACTTGTTGCTCTCGGTCGTTTGCAGTTGCGACGGCTGTGTTGAAGATGTACTAGACGCGGAAATACTTGCACACTTCGGATTATACGTTTCACGTAATGGCCCACGCATCAAATGATGCGGTGCTTGTGACGCTGACATTGATGACGATGATGGACCTTGTTCGAATCCGCTACGATTAAAACTAGAAATTCACGGCATGTATTTCTTTTGTCTATATACGACGGTTTTTTTTTGCAATTGATATTCCTAACTGGCCTTCAAGATAAATGAGCTATCCGACTTTCGATAGTGACACTTGCATAAGCAAAGCACACACACACACACAGCATCAAACACATGCAAAAAGGAAAACCGAAAATACGTACGAATCTCCTGGAGTTGAATTCGGTGGTTTTGTTTTGTTCTCGAGGTTTAAATCGAGTTTTTTATTCGAATCATTTTCATTTGAAATAGGATCGAACGTTTCTCTTCGACGAGAAGATGTATTCGACAGACGAACTGTTTGAGCACGAAATTTATCGCTGCTTGTATTCGTCCGATTTGTAATTACGCTCGATCCTGGTGGATTACCACTTGTACTTGTTTTGATTGATAGCTGACCGTTATTATTCGATGTCGAAGTATCGATACTTGCTGCTGCAAGTAAAGAATTGGGAACACCATTCGTTGTTGAACCATTGATTGATGAATGGTCATTCGAATTTGATCCTGCTGTTGTGCTCGTAGCTGCAGCTGTCGACGGTCGGTATTGTTTTTCGGTCGATGGAAGATTTTCTTTATCGTTATTAGTAGATGGTCGTGTACTTGCTGAAACAACTTTCGATGTTAAGGATGATTGCGTATTCGAGGCATCTGTAACACCTTTGCTAGTTGATGATTGTCCGTTGGAATTATCTACTCCGTCAGTCTAAAAATAGATCACTTTTTCAGAGAGTTTGCCTTTTTAAACCGGACTCGTTTACTTCCGTAGTTCGAAGGCCAAGTAGGAGATAAAATGCCATGATATCATCGTATTTACGTGAAGTTAAGGAATCAAGAATTTGTTCACGAGTGTAAGAACTATCTCGCAACATCGTTTCTAGATGAAAAAAAGATTATTTTTACGAAATATCTTCGTTAGAATCAAAACAAGACAATACCAATTCGATAGTTATCACTAAAGTCTTGACTTGGCTCTTCATAAGGCTTCAAATCATCATTCTCATAATTGATATTCATCCACTTATCTTTCATAATCGCCTTTAAAGAAGAAACAAGCTGATGCAAAATTACGAGAATTCTTTTTGTTTTTTTCACCTCAAGAGGAGAACGCCGAGTTGGATTTAATACCAGAAACTTTTTTAATAACGTTTCACAATCAGTTGACATGTAGAACGGTATGCGATATTTCCCGCGTAGAACACGTTCACGTAATTCCTAAGAAAATAAATGCCCGAGTAACGAACAGGTGAATTTCACTTATTTACTTTGAGATTTTGTCCATCAAATGGTAGTGAACCACTAACTAATGTATAAAGAATAACGCCTAAACTCCAAACATCAACTTCGGGCCCATCGTATTTTTTTCCTTGAAATAATTCTGGTGCGGCATAAGGTGGACTGCCACAGAATGTATCTAGTTTATTTCCTGGTGTAAATTCATTGCTAAAACCAAAATCAGCTATTTTGATATTGAGTTCGGCATCGAGCAACAAATTTTCCGCCTGGAATATAAGAATTAAAATAAACATTTCTAAATATCCCATACTTACTTTTAAATCTCGATGTACAATATGTTTTTGATGCAAATATTGAACAGCAGATACAATCTATAGGCAGAAAAAAAGAGTTAAATATGCTCGGTAACTTCAGTTCGTGCACATTTCATTTATTGCTATAAGCAAAATAGAAATAGACTATTCTAGGCTTATTGTCGTCCCTTGAGGGGCAGATCAACTTCATTCATTTGCGATATCAATGAAAAAACCAATAAAAACTTCGATTGCATTATTCTTCCGCTTTGGCGCGACTGTACTTCGGAAGAATCACGTGGGAAGATACTATATTGTAGATGAGTTGTAAGCAAATCTCGTGTATAAAAGATTAACATGAAAAGGAAGTGCAAACTTTGCAATTACACATGAATCTTAGATTTGACGCCCTCGATTATGCTTACATCGTAGTGGACCATGACTAATATTCTCCGAACACGCGAAAATTATCGATAATAAGAAGTGGAGATGGCATCGTAAGTCAGAGTTCGTATACGGAACACAAAGTATTCAATTGTCTCCTAGAGTGTTTTTCCTCAGACACACAGTACTAAACACGAGGAGTTTCCTGTTTTCCTTCCGGTTTCTAATATCTTCTTGCAAAAAAGAGGATCTCATCGATTAAGGCTTTGATTTTTCTACGCAGTTTGATTTATTCAATATGTCATACTTGTCGAAATTTGGATCGAGCTTCTTTTTCTTTCATACGACCATGTGCGACAAGATAATCGAATACTTCACCTAAAATGATCATAACCATTGAAAATGATTTATTCTTTCATCGTTTTGTTTTTACCTCCACTGGCATATTCCATGACAAGGTAAAGAGTTTTTTCGGTCTCGATCACTTCAAAGAGTTTGACTAGAAGAACGAAAAACTGTCGAAAACGATTCGAGACGTCGAATTTTCACATACCAATATTTGGATGGTCCAGTCCTTTCATGATTTTCACTTCACGAAATAACTAAATAACAATTGAATATACATGATTCGATGTACGAACCAATGTTTCGATTTACTTTTTGTAATGATGTGGGATTCAGTTGAGCTTTATCGATAATTTTAATCGCAACTTCTCGCCCAGTTGGAATATGTTTAGCTAATTTAACTTTGGCAAAATTTCCTTTACCAATCGTCTAAAATTCAAAAGCCAATCAAATTGCTTTTTTTAAATAAAAATCAATCGAACTCACTTTGCTAAATCGATATTTGCCAATATGCGGCTCATTAGGATCACTACGCATTTTACTTGATGTAAATCGTGATGACGTTGAATTGGATGTTACTGGAGCTGATGCTGTGATACTATTGTTATTATTACTGCCTTGATGATGATCGCTGGCGGTTGATCTCTAAAAATTTCAAATTATAATAATTAGCATGTTTACTCTTAGCCGAAAGCGAATCTGCATATTTATTTGAAGGCAGTTCGTATTTTTCAATCTATAGTATTGCGTCGCGTCATCGTTTACCATCGACATTTTGATGCAATAACAAACTATATTCAGAAAAGAATGTGAAGAAAAAGAAGGAATGTGTTTCCTGATATTTGACGTTTTTCGCGTGTATCAACAAGACGAACGAAGTAACAATACGAGTCGTTTCTCTCCATCTCTCTCTCTTTCTTTTTCTTTCCTTTTCTTTGTCATTTATGAATAATAGTTTCTGATGAATACATATGTAGACATAACGGCACATCACTATTTCGAGTAGGTGTTCTTTCGTTTCTCCTCCCGCACAGACATACACGTTCTCTCTATTAGAAATTATTTTCTTTCGTCTCGTGTTCTCACAATGTGTATATATAAATGAAGCACTGCAACGGGCAGACTAGGTGTGACACAAATAAGGAATAAACTGTTTACTTGTTTATTCAGATGGCATCAGATTAGTCGGAGTGTTCAAAATAATCAAATAGAAGCTATACTACTTGCAAATGTCATATTTTTAATACTTGAATGGAAGACGATTAATGAAGTGAAAGAGAAAGAACGCATGGCGCGGATACACACACACATACACATATATATATATAATCGAAACTTTATAAACATCTATGATATGTGTGGCTTATGTAAATAAGAAAAAGAATAAAAATGATCAATTAGGAGAATGTTGTGTTATGTTGTAAACAGAAAAATAACAACTAACAATATTATCATCGACAAAAGCAATATTGATGAACTTATTCATTCAATCAAATTCGAACTGACATGTTCTATAAGATATTTAATCAAGCAATTATTTTGATTTTTCCAGGGAAACGAAACGAAGGAGAATATCGTGAAATAAGACTTACTCCTTCCGTACTGCCGTTATCTCTCATCGTGGTTGATGTCGAAGACGGATTAGGTTTGGTAGCATTGGTCTTAGAATATTGGTTAGGTGTTGACATCTTGTGATACAATCGCGATTGTCCTTGATATGAAAATTTTCTCTGATTACTGTGGGGCTTTTTTCTTCTTCGTATTCGTATTGACTATAACACTGATTGGTATACACTGTTCACCAAGTCATGGATCAAAAGTTTTTATGGCAATTCAATGTTCAATCGATTTCTAGTTATACCATTTGAGAAAACAAAATCTCATAATCTAAAGAAAGAAACAAATACAGAAAAAAAAACGACCGATAATTAAATGAGCAGTAAAGACGGGTTCGTAACTATTAAGATAATTATCTGTAAACTAAAATGAAAAGAACGTAGGCAATTTTCCTACTTTTTTTTCTTTCTTTCTTCCCTTCATAATCATTTTATTCGTCAACGATTAATGTTTTACATGCATGCTTATTGTACAGGTATCCGCCATGTTGAGTAGACGCATCTGCACCTCTCGAATGACATACAAACAGGTATTTAGAGATCGACTAAATATAATAAATAATTTCTAGAAGAAAATGAGTTGGAAAGCATGTTTTTCGATTTTATTTGAAGAAAATATCGACTAAGAAAGTATATTCGAAAGAAATTCTCCGTTTAATTTAATTAACTGATAGATGGCAGCAGTTCACTACATTTGCGTTTCCATTTTTAAGAGGATCTATGAAAAAGCAAAGAAGAGAACAATGTTGATTAACGGTAAGATTCGGTTTTGTTTTCTCTGAATAAATTTACTTTGCTGATGTTGTTAGATCAGTAAATAATCGATCGTATGCATCAGTAAATGTTGTATCAATATCAAAGAAATCGAACGATGAATCGTCATTTCGATCCAATCTTTGAATTGTATCTCTAAGCCGATCATTCGCTTGTGTGTGACGACATTGCCGTTTCACAGCTTGATTTAGTCTTGATGTCAGAGGATAAGATCGTTTAGTGGCACCTAGAAAGTAAAAATTCTGATGCCGATTAGTACTTGATCAACGTAACAGAATTCGGGGAGAAAAAAAATTAGTGCCTACGAGTTTTCCGTTTAGAAATCAGAGAATTTATCAAGCTTCTATAGGCTATATACATGTATTTCATAAAGAAGTACTTCAAGCAAAATGACTGCTTCCTTCCGTTTCGAGATATTCTATGCAGATGTAAAGGCAAGTTTTACTCTGTTCTATTAATAACATATGTAATGATTTTCCTGGAAAGTTTTTTGTCAATAGTGTTTCTCACATTTCAATGAAATCTTCTGAACTTGATACGGAAGTGTACATACAAAGATTTGAATGATAGTACTCAATTCTAATGCTTATGTACATTTTTTTGCAAGTTGTTTTATTCTTTGAGTCGTTGACGGCGGATCAAGTGGTGATTCCTTATGTTTGGGTTTAGTTTCAATGGTTGAGCATTTACAAGTCGGCAGTTGAAGCGTTGTTAACAATCGTTCTGTCATACTTTTCGTAAATCGACTTTTATTAGGATGTATTAACGGCGTGTTTTCTGAATTCGGTTCTTGATTCGTAACTGTACATAGTAAAGAATATTGAGTTAATTGTTGATAGAAATGAATGTTTACATACGGTTATTTGGTATGATTGAATCATTTTTAACAGTGGCCGTGCTCGACGACGAATGATGCGTAGGAACAGTTGCAATGGATGGTGTTAATTCTGTTAGAATGTTTGAATTTGTTCTTGTTAAGTGTAAATTGAAATTTTTTCCCTCGTTTTCATAGTTGAAGTTCACTAATTGCTGCTTGTCAGATGGTAATGTTGGTGTTAGAACTTGCACACTCCATTGTGTGGCAACATCGATTTTATTCGATTGGTAGCGATCATCCAGATCCGCTATCGGTTTTCTATTTGGATAATCGCCCGACATAAAACTGCAAATCGGATTCGTTTGTAGTATTTGTAAAGTGTGGGCCTGCTTTGGTACAACTTGTAGATTTTTCCGGATCGGTTCATTGTAATCAATCGAAATAAGTTGATCAAGAATGTAGGAAGATAGAGACATAGATGACGTGAGATTTGGTTTGATTGATTGTTGATATTGATCATAGGAGTACGTTCTCGTAGTTGATTGATGTCGTTGAGAACAGTGATAGACATGTCTAGGTTGTTGATTAGATTTGTATGGTGTTTTATACAAGATTGCATTAGTACTATATGACGGATAGCTAATTAAATTTTGCTGTTGTAGACGATGGAGAATTCGACGTTTTTGTTTGTGCCGAAGATCGTATAGATCATGATGAAATGCTTCCACGACATTTGGATGATGTTTTATCTAGATATTAATAGAATAAATGGTGAAATAAAGATTTATATAGATATCCTGTGCGTTATTTTTACATGCTCGCGATGATGAAGCCAACGATCCGACGATAATGAATGACGTCGTCGATCTTTTCGTAGTGAATATCGTGGAGGATGACGAAAAGAGCTATTCGCTTGAATAGAACTTTTTAAACTATGATGGCTTTCCTTGGAAAAAATCATCGTCAGAGGATGACTTTCATTATCATCGCTTGGAATCATATGTTGTTGATCTATACTATCAACGTCGTACTGTAAATATTGAGCTAGAGTGTGCAAAGCTGACATGATGTCATCGATATCGTCTCGTGAAAGGTTTAAATATGTATCCGACACAGTTCGATGTGAAAGTTTTGTATAGTCGTGCTTATCGATATTCGATTTGAAATTGGAATTGATGAGTTGAGTATCTGTTGTGTGGTTTTGGTTGTGATTATTTAGTGATGAGGGTAGAACGTGCTGAGAGATCATTATTGAGCTGGAAGGAAGACCGGCAGTGAGTAATGAAGGATTAGAATCTGAGATATTCAGACGATTCATTTGCGTGTATTTTGTTAACTGAAAACGAACGAACAGGAAAAAAAGTTGAATCAATGCGCGAAAGAATAGAAACAATAGCTTTTCAAGGTTTGTGATCTTTTATGAACGCGCGTTGATTTAATCTTTCTTTACGTTGTTTCTTTTTATTTAATATTTGGGATACTCAACTGATTCACAGTGATCAGAACTAGAACTTCGATAGAAATGAATCGTGCCAATATTTGTTTTGTAAAACTTGTAGAAAATTGCTATGTAATACAGAAAACAACTGCTTGTATTAATTTCGTAAGTCTGCTTAATCCTCCTATCATTCATAGTAAATATTGATTACTGAGCATTTCTGACTATTGAAAAATATGTTTGAAATGGATTAAATTTTGATTGGAATGACGTAGCTAAATTGAATATAAATCCAAAAATAGAATTTTATATAACGAGCGATCGAGCTGGTTATTTTTCATTTACGGAGAAAATCTGTGATGATTATGAATTGTGTGAAAGATTTCATACGTTTCCTTTGCTTACTGATTCTATTCACTGGTGCTGAATCTACAGGTAAGTTTGTGAAATTGGCTGATTTTTATATGTTGTAAATTGATTTCTGTCTGTACTATCAGTATCTCAAAGAGCTGATCTACCAGCGCAATGTTTTGACCATACGATCATTAATGATGAAAGTCGCAATGTTTATGCAAGTGGTAATACCCAATGTGACACAATGTTCATATCTGGACCTAAATGGATTCGTTTTGTTGGCCAAGGCGGCACACAACTATCAACAACATCAACCAGTTTTGATAGATGTGGGGCGCAAGCTACCGGTTGGTACGCAGGATCGATGCCGGACCCCTTGCTGACAATGCATGATGTTCGAGTATGCTTTTCATGGCAGAATAATAGTTGTCACTGGACGAACACAATCTCTGTCACTAACTGTGGATCCTTCTATGTTTATCGACTATCAATGCCTCCTGTTTGTCCAGCTCGGTATTGTACTGAGACGCCCGCTATACCTACAACAGCGACCACCACACAAAGTACTGTAATGTTCCAAGGAGAGAACTAAACCCGTTTCTACCCAATCTCCCGAAGAGAGTCTTCTTGAAAATGCTAGTTTCTATTCAATGATGTTCTTATTTTAGTGACAACAACGACGAGTACACCATTTGTTGCTCCACAATGCTACAAACACCAAATAATCAATGATCCCTCGAGAAGTAGTAATGCAACTGGCAACAATCTTTTGTGTGATCAATCTGTTTTCAATTATACAACAACATGGGTTCGATTTGTCGGTGAAGGTGGTACACAAATTCCAACATCAGCAGTAATGAGCAACCGTTGTAGTACGAACGCAGGTGGTTGGTATTCCGGCCTTATGCCAAATGATGCATATTCAACCACAAATGGAACAGTGTGCTTTTCATACGGCAATAATCCGTGTTTTGGCAACGTCGCTGTGCAGGTTACCAATTGTGGATCATTTTACGTTTATGGTTTAATCCGACCGGCTGGATGTAATTTTCGTTATTGTACCGATACGCCTGCTGCTTCTACAACAACTACTACAGAAAGTAGGTTTTCTTTTTTTAAAATGTACCATCTGTATAATTTTTGTATGGAAGAAATGGAAGAACAATTCCTTTCGTTTGTATTTAGTGACAACAACAACAAGTATACCATTTGTTGCTCCACAATGCTACGAACATCAAATAATCAACGATTCATCAAGAGGCGTTAATTTTGGCAATTCTCCTAGAACATGTGACCAATCTACATTCAATTCGATACCAAGATGGGTTCGATTTGTTGGCGCAGGCGGTACACAGATTCCAACAACGCCGCCACCAGTTAGTCGATGTGGTACCGATGCACCTGGTTGGTATTCTGGTTCCATGCCAACCGATACATACTCAAGTACGAATGGATCGGCGTGCTTTTCATGGGGCGGAAAAACTTGCAACTGGCAAAATAACATACAAGTCACAAACTGCGGATCATTTTACGTGTATCAATTGACTCAGCCACCTCAATGTTCTTTACGGTATTGCACTGAGACACCGACGATTATGTCAACCGTTACTACTACGGAAAGTAAGACTTTATTTGAATAAGATGTTGTTTTCTCCGATATGCGAGCCGAAACAGAAATATCTAGACAAACAGCTGTTTACTATTTATATTCATTGATACAATTATACTTTAGTGACAACGACAAGTACACCATTTGTTGCTCCACAATGCTACGAACATCAAATAATCAATGATCCCTCGAGAAGTAGTAATGCAACTGGCAACAATCTTTTGTGTGATCAATCTGTTTTCAATTTTACAACAACGTGGGTTCGATTTGTCGGTGAAGGTGGTACACAAATTCCAACATCAGCAGTAATGAGCAACCGTTGTAGTACGCACGCAGGTGGTTGGTATTCCGGCCTTATGCCAAATGATACATATTCAACCACAAATGGAACAGTGTGCTTTTCATACAACGGTAATACGTGTTTTGGCAAAGGCACTATGCAGGTTACCAATTGTGGATCATTTTACGTTTATGGTTTAATCCGACCACCTGGATGTAGTTATCGTTATTGTACCGATACGCCTGCTGCTTCTACAACAACTACTACAGAAAGTAGGTTTTCTTTTTTTAAAATGTACCATCTGTATAATTTTTGTATGGAAGAAATGGAAGAACAATTCCTTTCGTTTGTATTTAGTGACAACAACAACAAGTATACCATTTGTTGCTCCACAATGCTACGAACATCAAATAATCAACGATTCATCAAGAGGCGTTAATTTTGGCAATTCTCCTAGAACATGTGACCAATCTACATTCAATTCGATACCAAGATGGGTTCGATTTGTTGGCGCAGGCGGTACACAGATTCCAACAACGCCGCCACCAGTTAGTCGATGTGGTACCGATGCACCTGGTTGGTATTCTGGTTCCATGCCAACCGATACATACTCAAGTACGAATGGATCGGCGTGCTTTTCATGGGGCGGAAAAACTTGCAACTGGCAAAATAACATACAAGTCACAAACTGCGGATCATTTTTCGTGTATCAATTGTCTAAACCAAACGGTTGTAGTCTTCGCTACTGTACTGTTGATCCGTCAAGTACTAAAATGTCCAACGAACCAGAAGGCACCATCACAAGGATTATGAGTTATTTTCAGAGATTGTTTAAAAGAATAATACAATAAAAAGAACGATGATTTTTAATTCTTTTGGCATTTTCGTGCACTAAAACTTTTTCGATGGATTACAGAATAAAACTCGTATGAAAACACTAAAAACTCGTATCATCCGAGTGTCACCGTTATCCACATTATTGATAGAAAACGGTATGTGCAATAAAATATGTAAAATTTCATGTTACTGAAAATAAAATAAGTATTTTATACCACATGCTCCTCCTGACGGTACTTTGCATTAAAGTAATCAAACTTCTTAACAAACGAGTCTCATATCTATCGAGCAACAAAACAACGTTTTCTACTTCAAGGGATTGCCCATAACCGAATGAATTTTAAACAGTTCAACAGCAAAATAAAACTCTTCTCTTTAGTCAATCATGTTACTTGTGCGCACCAGCTTCGTCCAGGCAATTATGAATGAAATGAAAGATTGTAGTTATCATCCGAACTTTTCAGCTATATTCCAGAAACTATACTATAGTCATTGAACACATTGAGTGACGAACTTGTAGTATAGCAAAGCAATCTTTCTCTCTGTCGTTATGTCAATAATTAGGTGAGAAAAGTAGACGGAACAAAACTTCACCGATCATACTTTCTCAAAAAAAACACTCATCAAAGACGGAAGTCGTTGAAGAAAACTACCACTTCAAACATTTTCTTAGCAGTATTTTCTGTGTCGTTCATATAAATGGAGTGACACATCATATTCGATGACGTTCGTTGGAACTAAGAAACTGATTTTTCTTCGATCGCTCGACGGAAAAGTACTACGAAAGATTATTATCTTTGTTCTACTGGCAGTATGTCTGTATCGTTTTGTATTCGACACACGTCGACTGAAAGGTATCGTATTGAATTACTTGCATGTTGAACAGAATAGATATAATGTTTCACCAAACGTGTATCTGATTGATCTGTACGCAACTAGCACAACGACAACATTTCGATGCATCAAAACGAAACCATTAGTCCGCAATATTAGCACGACTATTTGTTTATACAACTCAAAACGTGATCGATATGTGAGCGGTGCATTTTCCGAGCTAACGTCCATTTGGGAAGAAAAACAAGTCACACGTACTCTCCAGTATCTTATTCGTCATCCAACTATTCATTTCATTGATATTGGTGCAAACATTGGGACTTATACAATGTATGTTGCCGCACTCGGTCGATTCGTTTTGGCTATCGACTGTTTTGCGCCCAATCTTGTGCGTCTACGTCGAGCAGTTCAACTGATGAATGTTCATGAACAAGTCGTTCTAGTTCAAAATGCGATCTATAGTCGTTCGGGAGAGTATTTACGATTATCACTCGATACAGCCAATGTCGGAGGACAACGTATACGACAACCATCACATAGATATCGTGAAACAAAGAATACGTCCATCGTTAATCCATATATTGTGAAAACAATTACATTCGACGAACTTCTTCCGATTCTCGATGCGCGTAGTATTCGTAGTGTTTTGATGAAAATTGATATCGAAGGAAGCGAAGGTTTCGTTTTGGAAACAGGTAGTCGAATTTTCGATTCGCTACATATTCCATTGATTCAAATGGAATGGAAAATCGTTCAACAAAATAACAATCAAACGAAGCGGATCATTGACTTTTTAAAGCAACGTCAGTATGATCCAATGGAAATTGAATGTAAGATGTTAGATTCAGAAGATGTTCGTTCATGGCCAGACGAAATCTATTGGTTGAAAAGAAATGCATCGAGCTTCTGCTGATTATGATTCTATTAGTTAGTCACTAGGATATTCTGTTAGATGACTTAGTAGGAGTGAGAATCTATTTCATTCAAGATATTTCTCCCGAAGTTTGTCGGTTTTTCCATTCAATCCATTCTGGGCTAGACAAATCATCAGGTTCAGTTTCTTGTTCTTTTATCCACTTTTTTTGTTGTGCAAATTGCAAACATGCAAATAAAATAACCAGCATCAGATAACTAAGCGTAAATCGCCAACCATCATCGGTATGTTTAATTAATATGCCAACATTAGTTGAGTTGATCAATCCAAAAAATGCAAACAGTCCGGCAAGAAAAGACCAAACAGCAGCACGTATGAACTTCCGATCAATCATATACATCATAATTGCAGTGATGAAAATACATTGCAATTGGGATCCACCAGCAAAGTTAATTAAACCACGGTATGAAAAACTGGATATTGATGACGTTATGTTGGATGAGAACTGAACATTTGGTATGGTAAAAGCAGAATAAGCGACCGTAACGCCATTGATAATCGTTCCTTGTGCCCAATCAGCAACAATGGACATAATACCAAGAAGGAATGCTGGGTAATGACGTTGAGGAGTGATGGATAGAGTATCTGTACAGATAACCAAACCGATAAAGATCTATAGAACGAAAGATGTGTTTCGACCGTTCATTCTGAAAAACGCATCTAATTTACCACAATAGGATTGATTGATACAATGGCAATAATAGAAATTAATAGAGCATTAAGTCCAAGAAAACACAATGGTAAATAAACAATACCATGGAGAACTGAATATGCTTGTTTTGCCCCCATTTTTTTGTAAGCTGAATGACCAATGTACGCTTAACAGACTTCACTTTACTTTCGTTCAACAGATGACAATGATTTACATACTCGTCATGCCAAAAATAGATCCAAATAGGCTTGCGATAATTGTCCCCATTCCGTCTGCAAACATCGCTTCCCTTGTTGGATAAAAATCACCTGCGCGCTTGGCTGATTCAATACATTGAATAGTTCCAATAGCAATCGATATCGCTGTTGGTATCGTTGTCGAGAGATAACCGCTGATCGTGTTGAAGTGGCGAAATATTTCTTTGATTGGAAAGACAGGTCTGTAAACTTTGATGAATTGAATTGCTTCGCGCACGTCTGAAGACTGGTTGAGCGACGTGATCCACGCTAGAATGGTGCCGACCACTAGTGCAATAAATGCTACTGGAATAGGACCAATTTCAACTGAAGAAATAAAGAATTCGGCAAACATTTGACAATGATAATCGTCATGATTCTCACCTCGCCCAAAGAATCCTAACATAACAATTGCAAATGGAAGGAATGATACAATCGGTGTAGCTGCAACTGGCAGATATTCATTTAGTGCTAGGAAAACAAATCCAAGACCGGAAATTGACGAAAGTAAAGCCACACTCGGTGTATTGCGTCGGATAAATTCGCCGAAGACACTCAATAACAATAGAATAATCCCTGTTATCAAGTTGCTTGCCAAAGCAACATGCCATGATAGCTCTTGACAGTAACTTTTTTCATTCGATGAAATACACCCGTAATAAGTCGGCAAAATAATAACATAAATGAAAGCAAATGCACCCGGAGTGTTCATTCCATAGGGCATAGTACATACATCATCACGTTGTTCTTTGAATGCTAATTTGCGTGCCATATACACGTAATACAGATTACCCCACAACATCGATATTCCCACTCTGCAGTGAAAGGATCGAATCAAGTTTGCCGTTAAAATCGAAAGACTCTTACCCAGGTGCAATTTTTTCAAATACAATTTCATTGCCTAAAATTGGTTGTAAACTTAGAATAACTGCTAAGAATGTTGCTAATGTATTGATGAATAGTGCAATGAAACCATCGATATCGCCTTTGGCAAAGAATGGATATGTTGAGTTACAACGAAATGAGCCTATCCATTCTTTTGGGTGAAATGTAAATATTTCCCTCAGTTCACTTTTAATTATCTGCAAACGATTGTGAGCAAACCGACGGATTCTCACATTTAATTGACTGTATCTCAGATGATCTGTCGTTTCTAGGGATAATGACATTTTGATATGTGTGTCGATCTTCTATTCTTTCTCGACAACTTTTAATCGACACGTACCACTATTTAAAAAATGAGAATATGTATATGCAATGGGTATGATTATTCACATTTTGAATTTGATCTATACATTGCAAATGTTATCATAAAGAAGGAAAAAATGATCATTGATTGTTTGGATTCGCTAACCTTTCGAAATTACCTCGTTTCTTTTCGATAATACAAATGAGAGTTCTTTTTCTTTTCTTGTACAAGCATCTATCATGATTAAAATTGCAATTCAACAATCATTTATGTTACCGACGAACGTAATGTATGCCATCTGCGTTCAATTCTCATTGGCGCGTTGAATTTAATAGAGGTTTAAACTATGAAACGGTAAAGATGATGCCTGAATGAATTCTAACCGCACAGAAGAATAGAAACTGCGATTTAGCGAACGGATTAAAGATGAATACAAATCAGAATGAACTGAATATAGATGCGACACAATTACGTTCACAAATAAATGCATTTCAAGTAATAAAACTTCCGTTATTCTTTTTCTTCTAAAATTATTCGTTTTTTTTAGTCCGAATTAGAAACAATTCGAACCAAAGTTCAGAGATTAACTGATGAAAATGATTCTCTGCGAAATGAATTACGACGTACTAAAGAAGAGAAATTACCAGGCAGCCGCGCTGACACTCTTTCGAATTTGAATAGCAATCCTGTTATTGAAATTCAAAAACAAAAAATCGAAGCACTGGAAGAAGAGAGAAATAATGCGATGCGTTTATATGAAGAAAGTAAACAACATATATTCCAATTAGAAGCAGAAAATAATGATTTAAAAGATCCATTAAAGCCCTATTTAATCAAATTCGAAATGCAAGGAAAACAGGTTGGATCGACGAAGTTTCTCACAACTAAGAATTCCAATATTTCTTTTTCTTAGGCACAAGAGGAACACGCACGAGCAGAAGTACAATTAGCTCAAGAGATTCACATGATACGCGAGGAGCTTTTGTATGAAAGTTTTTCCGTTATAACAGTGTTGTTTACTGTTTTTTTCATGTTTTCAGAAAACGCAGTCGAGAATTAACAAATGCACAATTACGTGTGAAAGAATTAGAACGACAGAACGAACACCTTCAAGCTGAAGTTTATCGAAAAGTAGGAATCAGAGCTCGGATTGGCATTATCTCTCGATGTTTTATTTCTAGCAAGATGATTTACGTAACCATTTGAAAAAAGAAAATGGATACGATGGCACATTTGTTGCATTTCAAAGTTCGATTGATGCATTAGAAGTTAGGTACGTACCAAACATATTTGATTAATTCTCAAATTTTCAATAAAAACTCTTTTCCTAGACTTGAACATGCAGCAAGGGATAAAGAAAATGCTCTACAACAACGCGATGACATGGAAACCAAACTGAAAGATTTAATTCAACAAAAGTATGTCAGATAAGCCTATCACTTCAGGATTTCAATAAATTCTGTCGAGTAGTCATTCGTTACAGGAAAAACTGAATGATACAATGGAGCAATTACAACATCAAGTCCATTTTCAAACAACCGTTGAACATACGGATAATACGAATGGACATGATCAGCATACGCATGAACAAATGCATCGAACTATCAACGAATTAATTGAACAAGCAGCTGTAAAAACACGCTCTGCTGTATGTTAATCTTCGTGAATTTGAATCTGTTTGAGAAAAAGAGGAGATTTTTCTAGGTTGAAGAAGTTCGAAAACAATATAACGAAAATCTGGAACGAATCATGCAAGAATACAATGATATGGAAGCGGTAATACTTTGAACACTAAACTTGTTTTCTGCTAAAACAATTGATGTTTTTTTTCTCTTTATTCTAGGAATTAAATAAAAAACAAATCGAATTCGATAAATGTTTACGCTCGAAACGAACAGTCGAAGACGAATTAGAAAAGGTTAGCCATTCTTCTATTGAAACAAATATTACATTCGAAGAACTGCTTTTCTAGATTTTACAAGAACGTCGATTCAACTTAGAAAAAAGTACGATTGATAATGAAGATCTTGGCAAGCGATGTTTTCATGCTGAGCGTGAACGTGATGAAAATCAGTTGAAACTCGAACAAATTCAACAATCTTATAAACTCCTACAACAATCCTTTGAAGCTGAAAAGGCCAATCATCAGTTGAAACAAAAAGAATTAACTGACCGTTTACAAAAGATCAATAACGATCTAGAGAAAATGACATTGGATTACACGTCAACATTTACAGAATTAAACGAATTGAAGAAACGATTGTCAACAAATCAGAACGAACAGACTTTGCTACAACGGCGAATAACCGAATTAGTAAAACGACTATGATGTTTTGATCGTTTTTTATTGTCTTATCATTTCAGATAAAAAGACATGAGGAACAAATGGTTGAGAAAGAAGCCGATTGTCTATCACGTTTGAAACAAAGAGATGAAATCAATCGAACAACGTTCAATGAACTACGTAATCTTGTCAATCGACAACAACGAATGATTGTCAAGTAAAATTATTTGTAAAATTTATGTAATTACTCGTTTGTTTTCTCTTTGTAGGTATAAAGAAGAATGTCATACAATCGCTAGTCAAAGTGAATTGAAAATGAGTGAATTAAAACAAAAGATGGATAATTTACGCGGACGAAATGAACAGTTACAATCTGAAATAGGAGATGTCAAACGCAAAGAAGCAGAAGTTTGTTTTTTTTTCATATGTCAGAAGTGCATTACATCCTTGTGATTTTCGTTTAGACGGAGAGACTACTAGCGAAGAATGCAAATCGTATCAAAACATTAGAACAATCTTTACACGATACAGAAGAACAAGCAATTGAAGCGTCACGACGCGTAAGAGACTTCTTTACTAGTAGAGTGCGACATATACATTTCAAGAATGTGTCGCACCACTCGTTTTTACACAGAATTGATAGTTAAGAATCGATTTTGTATTCTATAGGCTGCTAAACAATTAGTTCGCGATCGGTTAGCTATAACACAAGGCGATCATTATTCATATTCAGCATATCGGTAAGATGTCTGAATACTTGATACATTGACATGTTAGTCTTGGTTTTAGACCGAATCATTCAACTTCGTTATTCAATTTAACATCGTTTTCACCACCGATTGCTCCTCCTACTGAAAGTATCGAGCATCCTTCCGATGAAAAATAACAGTTATACATACATCTGTGCAATGAATTCGTAGAAAACCAATGTAGAAAACAGTTGAATATTCTCATTAATATTTTTAACAGATAGAGAGCAAAAAGAAAGAAAACTCTTGAAAATGTTTTTGTTTTTCTTTGGGTGTGAGTGTGTTTATTATCAAAATTTCAATAAAGATAGAGAGTGCGAGAATCATTTTCTTGAACACAGATTCGTTATTTAACTGCGAATTCGAGGTGATTTACTTAGGACCAGATAGATTTGTTTTTGTTTAATTGAAAGACATTATTTCAAAGAACACAGAAAGGATAACAGAGATTTCGATGGAATGAAATAAAGTCACTGCTATAATTTAAATCAACATTAACAAACGACACAAGAATAAGAATAATAACAATACAAGAAACAAAAACATCTCAAGCTTTTTTAAGTCTGGTCGATCGAAATAGATGTTTCTGATGTTTGACCGTGTTTTATATGATCATTGCCAGGTGCTGGTTTCTTTTCTTCTTCTTCGTCATCATCATCATCATCATCGTTGTCAACATCATCGACATTGTTCAGCATAACATATTCAACATTGTGATGTTCTTTGTTTGATGACAAACGCGAGGTGAACATTTGACAGAGGGCACATGTCACCAGACAAATGATTATACCGAGTAGAAGCAAAACCAATGCAACAATCACAATTGTTTGATGTGAATTATTCAACTGATTGAAGCTAGTACGGATTGTATCAATCGAATATGTCCACCAAGTATTTCCACGCGTTACTGGAGTGACAAGTGGATGAAGACAAAAACCTAAGTTTGTTCAAAAAGCAGAATTGTATACGAGCAATCAGATCGAATTCGTTACTTACCGTCCCAAGACAATGGACATTGACAACAGTCATTTGTAGTTTTATTAGATGGACAACAATTTAAACAGCGATGTGTAACTGTGTCCAATGACATAGGAAAAACACATTGACGACAATAGGAACCGGGATAAAGACATTCCAGACAATTGTCTGTACATATTTTGCATTCCTTCCAAAAAAGATCATAATTGAAAACAAATAGTCAACTGTTTCAACTTACATTTGTGTTCTTATCGAAATAATTTCCATTTGAGCATAAACTCAAACATTTCCTTTCTTTTTCATTAAATGTAAAACCATCTGCGCATGTTTTACAATCGTCCTCACTTGGTCCTAAACGAACAGATCAATAAAGCAAAAGTTTTCATGCAGTTCACTCGTTTACCTTTACAAGTTTTACATATTGAATGGCATTGTAAACATCTTTGATCGTATTGATAATATCCTTTCGGACATTCTTCAACACATTGGTCATTCATTAAAAGTAAATTATCTTTACACGTCAAACAGCTTGTTGAATTCGAACACGTCAGACATGGCGTTTGACATACATCACACTGATTGTTCGATAAGAATGTTCTGCAAAGAATGAATATTTGCAAAATTAAGAACGCGTCCTGGTGTTTTCGACAGATGTTTACCTCGGTTGACATGTTGGTACACAAGCCCCATTGATTAATTTATATCCTTTTGATTCATCGCATCGACGACAGTCATTTATATCCAAACACTTTGTACACCCAATTGAACAAGGCAAACACGTGTTCGTTTGATATTCGATCGTTTGTTTTTCATGTTTATAATAGCCCACTGGACATTCATTAACACAATGTCCATCATCAAGAAGAATTTCAGCTTTAGGATTACAGGCGATACAATCACTCGGCTTAGGTCCTTTACATTGTGCACACGAAGCGTGGCATGTATGTGTTTCACCGGTTTTTGTATCCAGATAAAATGGTTTACCGATATGCTTTTCGCAACGATGCTCGTCGGCAAGGAAAACGTAACCAATTTTGCATGATGTGCATGCTAATTCACTCGATGATGTGCAGTTGAGGCAACTATCATGGCAAGGAAGACATTGGAGTGTGGATTTTGAGAGAAAGAAACCAGGTGAACAAGAAGCAACACATGCATGATATTGAAGATATGGATATTTGCTAGTATTATCACAGGATTTACATTGATCTGATCGTGCTCCACTACAAGTTAAACATCTTGAATCGCACCACCGGCAACTATTGGCGGAAAAGACATAAAATTCTTATCATAATATCAAATTTCGCTGTTCTTCTCACTTGTTTCCTGTGAAATCGTAATATTCGTTGTTTTCACATTTTCGTGCTGACTTAACACAGTCTGTATTTTTAAGGGCATAACCATCCGGACAAGATGAACATATTTGCGAGCCTGTATCACACGATGCACAGTCGCTTTTACAGCGAATACATTTTCGAAGATGACGATCTGATTCAATCAATTCGAATGTATGATTTCTTACACTTTTCAATCAAAAAGCAACATCTTACCAGTAAAATACTGTTCTGGACAAGATTCTGCACAAGTCATTACATCATGTATAAGAAATAGGTCCGATTTACAGCTAATACAGCTGTTTTCACTTGCATTTCGGCATGAGCCACATCTCGAATGACACGGTAAACATGTTTTATCTTCATCGACTGCGTACGTGGCTTCAGGGCAAATTCCCACGCACCGACTACAAGCATCACACACTGAAAATCACCTGACATATCCTTTCGAAACTTACAATCTCCCATCCGCTAATGGTTGCTTGAAGTGTCTACATGCCGTGCATTTTGTATCCGTATTGCCACATGGTTCGTCTGGTTTACATTCCATATGACACTAAAATAGAATGATATTCAGCATAATCAAAACAAACCAAGGCAGAATGAAAGAGAACTGACTGAAAGCAGCCCACGGTTACAAATCGTTAAAAACGAACACAGAGTGTTACAAATTAGCAGTATCTATTCGCCTTAGGTTTTTTTTTAAAATAAGCATGAGAGAAGTTAGCGGATCTACCTAAACATTTATCATTCTTCATAGTGGACATAATACAAAAAACACTGTACAACAGGTACACAGATAATATAGACAACAACGATAATAATAATGAGTAACAGTTGATCATTTACAACATAGGTCCGTCTGCTTTCTCACTCCGATAGTTATTTTACCTCTTTGGCTTTTCGTGCGGCTTTCTAAATAAGTTAAGATAAAAAAGTTTTATACATGATTTTTCCTTCTTTTTTTAAATCTATGAAAACGGTTACACAGATACAACTGTTCACTTTATTCCAAGCAGAACGTAGTAAATGATAAAAGAAAACGAGAAAGAAAGGAAAAATAAACGTATGAAAGAGTAAGGGAGATTGACCATGCGCATACTGTTGTATTTAAAAAAAGAGATCGAAGCAACAACAAAATGTCTATTTCTATTCTTGATCTTGAAATAAGCCTGAGAAATAGCACGAGAAGAAAACAAATTGGAATGTAAAAATCAAAAAATAGCTATGATGCTGAAAACCAATTTGAAGCATAACTCAACAATGGCTCCGTGTAATAATGCATTAGTCCATACAATGACGATAATGATGTTGCTGCTGATAATGACGGTGACAAAAAGGTCGTAATAAGTGGTTGAAACAATTGTCTATGTCGTTGTTGTCGCTGAAGGTAATAGTCATTTGCATGCAAAGAATTAAGAAGAAGCTAGAAGAAGAGAACGAGCACCGTCCACAAACCAGTTGATTAATAATGTAAAAAAACAAGGACACTTAATTAGATTGTATTCTGAGAAATATAAAAAACTTCTTTTCGTAGAAAATAAAAATAAAACAAACAAAAAATTTTTGAAAATGAGAGAATTACTATCACATTCCCCATTAGAGATTACAGAAGAAACGTCAGGATGTACGCGAACATATGTAGGAAGATGTGTTGGCACATATAGGTCGTTTGAGATGATGAATCGAAATATGACGACGAATAAAGACTTACACTAGTTCGATCAGGTTCATTTGAACTCGGCCGAGAGTTCGCCCGAGATGATATTGGATATTCGCGAGTGCCATGAATGACTAATTTCCAAGACAATAGTGTTGCTAAAAATTTTAGAAAATCGAGAAATAGTCATGCTGGTAGATGAATGTCAATGATTCAAGTTTAGAAAAGACAAGATGGGTAGTGAGCTTTGAACAAAAATTATTTACCTGATCCACTACCCGTATTAACTATTTGAAGTTTCCAAAGGCCATGTGGAACCTCACCCCATAATTGTACGGTCAGAAAAGGCCAATCTTGAAAACCTTTATTACTTTGATCACGATCTCGTTTCTTAAAATGAAAAGTAATCTGTTCTAACCATAAGAATCTATACAAAGTATCATACTGGTAAGATCTGAGTTCGTGTATTTGATGGTGAATAAAGATAGATTTCAATTTCTCCTCGTCTCTCCGTATTTAGAGTAACATATATTTGCACTTGTTCGATATAATTCACTTCATGTCTCGGATCACTCTCATCCTTGCATTCCAAAACGTTCAAATGAAATATTTCATTTGATCGAGCTGATATGGTTCTTTGAGGATCGCTTGTTGCTGATCCACAAGTTGACATTGGTGGAACATTCTTCCAGCCGGTAGCATACCAAGTCATTAAACCAGCATCCATTAAACCAAAACCAAATCGATTACTAACTATAGGAAATTAAACCAAGGGAAGTTTAGAAGACTAGAATATCGTTCCCGATGTTTTACCATTGAATCCAGCGGCATTTTGAACAAGATTTGTATTCGAAGGGATAGCATATGGTCGAGAACCAAGCACAGTTATATGCATTATGTCACGCCAAGTTAAATCAGAACTAATTGCATAGAAAATCAGAATTGAAAAAGAGAAACGAACACGAATAAAAGTCATTACTTAGCTTCGAGCACAAGAGCATAAATAGCAGCAGCTAATGGCGCGGCAGCTGATGTACCTGTGTGATGACTCGTACAGGCATGATTTAAATCAGTAGTATACTTTAGAAAGAAGAATAAAAATAAAGTCAGATCTGTCTTGAGAACGAACGTATAACACCTACAATATCGCGTTCCCCATTGTTAGACTGGCCACTGCTATAGGCAGATGCAAGAGTTGCTGAACATTCTTCGAGGTACCAAGGCTTATCGCCACGTTCTGTTGTAGCACTGATGGCAATCTATACAAAGAGAAGAATGTGAAATCGATAAAATATTACATTCAATTTGATTTACGGTATAGATTGATGTAATATAACCATCACAAGCACATGAATCGGATTGACGACCACCGTTACCACTAGCCCAAACAAAGATAGATCCTTTACCGGCGCGTCCCTAAAAATTCAACTAACAAATTTAAATAGAAAGAAAATAATTTTTTTACATTTAAAGCGCCATCTTCGAATGCTTTCTTTGCCAAACGACCGGGTCCATCAACGACAAGACCATTATCGTCAGGTCCCCTATAAATATACGTCATAAATAATTCATTCGTTCCCTTTTAAATTTATATGCTCAAACTCATTACCAACTAGCCGAATATATATCTACATGATCAGGTCGATGGCTTAATGATCGTGCTTCAACACTATCTGTGACATCTCCATCCAACATTCGAATGCCACCCACTCGAGCATGATAAGCGATGCCTACTCCGCAGATATTATTGTTAACTTTAGCAGCTACCTCTCCAGCACATCGAGTTCCGTGCCTACATAAAAGTAAATGTTCAATAATCAAATCTTTTTGAATTGTCTGTCTTTTACTTGTTTTCATTTGTTGCTTCGTAACGTGGAGTTGGATCATCATCATTTCCATTTATATCCGTACTAGCATCTTTATCCTTGAAAAAAAAAACACAAATCAATGAAAGAACTGTCCATTTCAATATAGAGTCTCACATAGTTCTCTTGTAGATCTGGATGATCAAATTCTAATCCATCGTCTAGGAAGGTGACTACTCGTCCACGACCTGTATAGCCCATTGCCCACGCTCCTGTGACATTCAAATCGGGCAAATTTGGTGTTTGAGAATGTCGCATCTAAACAATGTATCCATGAGAAATTTCTATCAATCATACACTATTTCATACCAAATACCACATTGAATTCCATTGAGGGTCATTAAAAACAAATTCACGTTTTCGCCGTACTTTTGCTATTTGACTCTCTGCCCAGTGTACCTATTTGACATTGAAAGTCATTCTATGAGCATTAATTATTAATATTTCGATTTACATTTTCATGCTGTGAAAGAATATCGGCAGGATCAATTCCTTGCTGAATAGCACGTCGAAATCGTCGATGTCTAACAGATGCTGGATCTTCTTCTATCTCGCAAAAGCCATCGAAAATCTACAGAGATATTGATCACTCTGTCATAACTAGAAACCAAATAAGAGAGCAACAAACTTTTCGAACGTATCGATAACCATGCTCATGTGCAACTTGTTTACCAATGACCTCGCAATCTCCATTAACTTCAATAACGACTGATTTTGTTGAATTTGTTGTTGAAAATAATACGCAGTATAAGATAACGGTTAAAATAATGGACGGGAACATCATTTCAGGAGAAGAGAGAAAATAAATAAAGAATGTACAAACGACGATTTAATTACATCATTCTCATCGATTGCATCTGTTCGGATCTGAAGTAAAACGAAAGAATACTTGACTTGCACTTAGATAGCATATGACACGAGTGATTAAGAGTAAGAAGGAAGAATTAATGTTGTTAAGAAACCGATTATCATAGAAAATTGGCATTTTAATCGATTAATATTTGAACAGGCGCGTCTCACCTCGCTAAATCAATAGTGGATATTCGTCTAGTCAGTGGAAGAAACAAGAAAAACAATATCGTGAAAGAACTACTAATAGAAGAAGAAAGAACGAGGAAAAAAGCAATTTCACCTTCCGTTTTCTTTTATACAGAAAAATGGATTTTAATCAATTGAGATTACTAATACTATAAAGGAAGAAAAAACCGATAATCACCTTCTATTTTATAACTTGGATTAACGCTAAGCTGTTCTTTCTTCAATCGAATAGGTTTCGATTTCATATGCACGAACAAAAAAAAATATGTATATGATCTTCGTTCGAGAGAACGATTTTCAAAACGCAATTGAGTAGGAACTAATTTGAATTGTATTTAATACAAACATTATTTCCATTGATTGAATGAATGTATAAGTAAGTACGTCGTAAGAAAGACGAGAAAAAGAGAGTATGATACCTTAAAAAATGTTGAAAATGTCAACTATTTTTCATCGATGTACAAAATTGAGTTACCAGTGTTGTTTTTTTTTGTATATCAACGCATTGTTATGATATACCTACCAATCAGAAAATATGTCTAGTTGTTTTCAGAATGGAATCTGCTCGGTTTTCAAAGAAATAGAACGAATTTCTAGAAGATAATGTCATTAGAGCGACATCTGTTGATGAAATTGAAAACGGGAAAATTGGGTTGTAATTAGAAGAAAAAACAACAATATTTGTGACATATTGTGAATTAACGAAGTTCTATGCTGTACTGGAAGGGATGATTACCAGAGGTCGCCTGACATCAGTCGATTGACCTTGTAGAATGTTTAGTCTCTTTTTGTCGTCGACGCGTATATTTTATACAAATACTTCCTATGCAAAAAAGACAAAGTAAATACTTTCTACGACACTCCTCTGTCTTCACTTTTAAAAGTACGTTTTCAGACGAGAATAACTTTCCTTTATGGCACTTTGTATACCATATTTACTACAAGCGTTTGCGAAATCGATAAATACTCTTGCTTGATGTATTATCAGACAAATTTCTCAAATTGTACTACTTACATTACTCGGCGCTATTCTATTTATGACAGATTTGTATGCAATTACCACACTTACATATGGCAGCATAAGTAACGAATGAAGAGAAAATAGAACTAACTGTTATAAGTTTTTCTTTTTCATTGGCTATACTCAATAAATATGAAAAGAAAGGCGAAGAATGCATGTAAGAACTCCAACTGAGATAAAATGAGATTAGATGGTCTACGTGTGTGCTAAGTTCGTTTGGTTCTAGGGAAGATGAAGAAATTGTATAAGAACTGATGATAAAATAGATTTTCTAGTCTGATGCCAATCGTGCAAGATGCGTAAGAACGAGATATGTCTGGGTGATATACACATAACTCTATTATTTACGTCTTTCTTGACATATGAATCTTGTTATCGAACGAAGAGAAAGAAGAAGAAGAAGAAGAGAAAATATCGACTCTGTATAAATATTAGTTTGAAATTATTTTTCTTCTGAAACAGTAAATCTATTGCTCACGAGTGTCATCCATTGCCTCATAAGAATGTCATGTATTTGATATAACGACGATAATGATGATCAATCAATTCCTGCATCCAACATCGATGATTGGTTGACTGGGATAGTTGTCGATTTCTCTTAGGAATGTCATCCGTAATGTCATCATGTGCACCTAGATCACATTTAGATATCCATGATGAAGCATTCGATTTCGATCTATTCTCTTATGTATTACAATCAAACAATTATTATTAACAAAATGTGACATAAGATGATCTCCATCATAGTTAATATTACGTTCAAGGATTTTGTTCATCTTCTTCTTAATCTAATTACATACTGCCTTGATCACTCAGCAAGATCTCAATGTTGATAGTTTATACACTAACAAATTTGTGTTCCAAAGCTTCTCAATATGTATTACATAAACATGTCTGCTTACATGTCGAGAAAGACACTCCGTAAGACGAGCAATATTACTCTATGAGACATAATACAATACACATTAGTCAAACAAAACGTGTGTTATTCGCCATCCATGATTGAAGATGTGCTGCGAAGGATAACTCACTGAGTAAATAATCTATCCTTCCTTCGCCAATTCTCTTATGTTCTTCTACAGACATATCAAATTCTCGGCAAACATCATTTCCAATACAAAACATATGCTTTTTATCGATGGTTTATTGGTAAATAAAACTATCAAAAATAAATTCTAAATTCTTTCAGAAGTTTTTATATCAATCTGATATATAGTTTTTGAACGCTGGTGAATCTTATAGAAGAAATCTTTACCAGCTCGAACAAATTCACGTCGAAATGATTGTGTTGTCAATGTATATAGAAAAAATGACAAACCAGGATTCATAAATGCAATTAAAAGTGTGACCGCAAAAGCAAATCTACTGTTTTCTGAAACGTTTGAATCTACTAACGAATAATAGACAAATTTGTTAATTGTAAATGGTAGGGTAAGAATAGCATTGGTGATACTATGCATAATAACAAGAATAATCAAGTGGTATTCACGACGAGAAACTGTTGGATGTACTAATCGTTTAATATTACGAATTTGTACGACTGTTGCGAGATTAATGGCAATCATTGACATCGGTGGAAGAATTGCATAGAAAATAAGAAAATAAATATCGAACAAAAGTCGGTACAGACCAGGACGAGCATAACATTCTTGTTGATTAATTTGGAAATATATTGGAATATGTAGATTGACAATTAAACAAAAGAGTGTGATTAGTAGAATGGTAGTATATGTTGTTTGATGTGTGCATAGTGAGATGTAACGTTGACGATGTCTAGTCATTTGTGCTTGGCGAACACGTGCATACCGATTGATTGATGCCATTGTTAATAGACATGATGAAAGAAGAAAATTGACATGGGTGAAATAACGACGAATTTTACAATAGTTCACTATCTGGTATTCAAAATCGAAATGAAAGCCAAGGGTTAACGACCACATGAATAATCCTATGGTTAGATTCATGAAGTTATTTATGGAATACGCAATGAAATAAATAGAACATGAATTCCTACGGAATTTTCTTCGAAAGAAGACAATTAAATTCAGGATATTGCCAATGATACCAACAGAAAAAAGGATTAAATAACAATAACGACACAAAATATAAATACGAACAAACTCTAGTGTGTTTTCTGTGGATGCTGTTGTATTGTTCATGTTGATTCGTTTGACTTCTCATAAAGACTTTGATTCGAAATGATCAGAAGAGTTTGTAGAGGACAGTGCATGCTTCGTATATTAATCTCTTTGATAAAGAGAAATGAAGTATTTGCTTACTGATAAATCGAAACCATCGTTATTGTTTTTTAGAAAAACGCATTGACGATACACGCGCATACTTTAGTTTACACGGAGTGCTTAAATATTGTAAAAGGCAGACCGTAATATTTAACTGCCAGTCCGAATATTGCAGATTTGGGAGACATTTGCAGGAAGACTCACGTTTAATATGTTTCACATTGAATTTGATATATTACAACATATTCAGTTAATAACAAAACATAATAGTTGCTGTATATTATTAGTCATCAGAAGAATATCCCTTGACGATAATAACATACTTGATAGATGTAATAACATAGTTAACTTGCAATGGATCTTATCAAATAAAATCTCCTCATAATCGTATCAGTTTGTCCTTGTCGGACACTGAAAACGTAATAAATATGTAGATATCAATGATGCAAAAGAGACAAACAGAATTGATCGTTTCGTATTCTCTGTATCGTCATATTTTAGCTATTTTCTTTATTCCTTTATCTATTGCTGCTGAACGTCTTCGTCATTATCGACATTCGCCATTAGAAAAATACGATACGGAAGCAGAGACTCAAAAATCGTAACGAACCACGAGATTAACGCAAGCAGAAGCTGCGAATTGTCAACCAGGAGTAAGTGTAGATATTATTCTCTTACGCTCCTTCCATTATTGAAAATGGCGTGTTCTTTATTTCCGATAAGTGCCATTAAAAATATTTGTGTCACTTTCAAACGTTATTGCCATAGTCGGATCATACTTACAGAAAATGAATGACACATGTTTCCGCTTTTTCAGAATGTTATTCACTTCCTATTTCGACGGATTTAAAAAAATAGATCTTTTATTTCAATCAATAAAAGCACATGATCAGTCAAAATAATCGGCTATATCGATATTTGGATCCAATAAAGTTTCACCAAATGCACTGACATCAATTTGATTTAAAATCAAATTTTCAAATGTTTCCTCGAGTTCTGTATCACCAATAAACACACATCCATGTACTCGCCCATCTTTAAGTGTAACACGAATATATTCTTCCCCTAGAATTCTCAGTAAGTATTAACTCTTCAACTTTATTTGTTTACCTGGTGTCATTCGAATGAGATTTTCATATTTTTTCATATCATTTTCGTGATATTTACCAAGTAAAACAACCTTCATATTGAAAAACTTTGTTGTATGAGCAAATAGTTCAAAGCAGAAGTCCATTGTCAACGAATCCTGTTCATTATTTGCATATGCCAGCATGCATTTACCAGCATAGTGTCCCATTTGGCGAGCTTGAGACCAAAGACGCATCTAAATGCATACTTCAATACCATACACATAGAAAATCATACAAACACTATACTTGAAACCAATGTTCAGCTAATTCCCAACCAGCAGTACATACATCGCCACAAGCAAAAACATTCTTAACTGACGTACGCATATTGGCATCAACTAGCAGCCCACCGTCAGCACCCAATGTAAACTAAAATTGAAATAGAATTGATTAGATATCAGAGTAGATAGCTATGATTTTTCTTTACATTCGTAGACTTGAGAAAAAGTTCTACATTTGGTGCCACACCGATGGCACTCATAACGAAGTCACAACCAAATATTTTCCCATTTGTTAATTCAACATAGACTGGCCACTGAACTTCTTCGAAGTATAAAGCCAAGAATTTGAGACGAACTCGACGAATAGTTACCTACCATTCGATGACTGCACAGTGTTAGTACTTAATTTTCGTTCCTGATATTCGTCTGATGTAAGAATACTCTTCACTTCGACTTCATATTCGATATGAACTTGTCTAGGTTGCTACGAGAGTATGTCCAACTTTACATAAATCAAATGGAACTTACTGGCGATGTCCCTTTCATCGATCGTTCTGCTGCCCAATCAGGACCTAATGCACCACCGCATAAATTTCCTGTGGAACTCTGCGCGCTTGCTAGTCGATCGGTAGTTTCATACTTTTGTCTTTTCTCATTTAATTTCTGCTTTTCTTTGGCGAGTTGAATTCGTTCTAGAAAGAATCGTGCCGCAGCTTCGTCGAAAAATGTTGTAGAAATATGTGGATCTTTCACTGCCCAGATAACAGAACAATGTTCGACTTCATACCTAAGGAGAAGTCAAATCTAGATAAAAACATGTCGTTTTCCTTGACACTCATTACACAAGTTCAGTAGCGATGCCACCATTGCCAATAATGACGATTTGCTTTGCTGTCGATAATTTCTTTTGAAAAGATTCAACAGTTTCTGTATCACGAATACCAAGAACATACGGGTTCGTTTCTGAGAGTAGCTAAAAATCGAGTAGAAAAAGAAAAATAATATGACCTTTTGTGAAAAAATCAAGGTTTGTCACCCTTAGTTTACTTTTGGACGTGCGCCGGTGCATATACATAATTGATCATATTGCATCTGGGTATTATCCATACAAAAAATGACCTGTAAAACAAAACATGGCCATTTCGTGATACGCCAACCACTTTTCTTTACTTGTCTATCAGTATCTAATCGTGTCACGACTTTATTCTGTATAGTCAAGTTAGGGTACTGTTCTGCCAAGTAGCTGAATGGTTTTTCTTCAATATCAAATTCTTCGAGAAATTTGCTTACCTAAATGTTTACAAAATTAAATTAAAAAGAATTACAACTTTTCATTGTTTTACTTTCACATAGTTAGTAATCGCCTTGATTAACGGCGTGCCGGTTAACAGTAGGATTTGTGCCTCAGGATGAAACGTCGCGATCTATTCATTGAAGAGAAAGAGGATTGGAGTAATCCGTTCTAAGTCAAAGAATTTACACTTTCAACACAGGTAACGCCAGCTATACCACCACCGATAACAACAAACTGGTACTTTTGCATCTAAAAATATAGATGCTACGGTGAATTCTTTAGATATACTTCCACTATTTTCTAATTTATAATCATAAATCAATCAAAGAAAGACAACCGGAAGGGAAGAAAAATAAGATATTATACGAATAAGCGGATGAAACAATCATAGAGGGATGTTCAAATTACTGCGGTTACAACACTGATGCAATAAATACTATGAGAGAGAAAAATGAGAAGAAAGAAACGGATGGGATTGCATATCTTCTTTTATGGTTTTGTTTGCACATATCTTGCTTTTGGATTTAAAGACCTTTGTTGAAATAGACACGATCGGTTTCTTTCATTCCATCACGTAGTAATTTTTCTCGAAGATTTGCATCTAATTTCGCCACTGGTAAGGAACTCTTCTGTGGAAATAATGCGCAGCACATGGGTGTTGTAAATGTTAAAAAGACACCACATAGAGCAATTTGAATAGGACTGTTTAACCATGGACGACGGCGCATGAATGGTTTTTGTTCCAAAGAATTCATAATAATCGGTGGGATAATCATACCTGATGAGCGAAAAGTATTGGAAGGAATATATGTACAGCTTAACTTCCTACCTGGTACAGCCATGCCGATACGTGAAAGAACAACTTGAGTGATAGCTTTCTTTGCAGCTTGGGACGATTCTAATTTCGAGAAGAGAATGTAGATTCGAATCTTCCACTGAGATGTATCAATTTACCTCCAACGCGATTGCCATCTTTATCGAATACTGCAATACCATCTCGAATTTCATTCCACCGCATAAACGGTAAATTCACACAGTTAGCACCAGCTACAGCAGCAAATGGTACGAACCGAGCCATGATGGGTGGTAATTTTGATACAGCAGCTATAACGACAATCGTGCTGAATGACATAAGTTTTTCTAAGAAATAATTCGTTGTTACCTTTTAAACCAAGTGCAGTAGCCGTGGCAGCCTTAATGAATAAAAGTGTCAGTTTTTATAAGAGAAAGATTGAAAACTCAATCTAAGGAAAGTTTCAAGAGATAGATGATCAAGATCTAACAGTTAGTTCCTCATATCTACGATTTGTTAATTCGATTTTAGAGTTATCATCACTACGCATGCGGAATTGTAGCAATTAAAGAGCTATTTTACGATCTAATTTGACACAGATGATGTTTACAAAGTTCTTTTCTGTGAAGAACGTAGAGATTCTGGCGATTTTCATTGCATATAAAGGAGAAAGCTTACACTTGTTGCTACAGCATAACTTTTCATTAGGTCAGTATTCGTTATTGGTTTGTCACCACTTCGATTTGTATAATTGACTATACTGTTAAACGATTGATTGACAAATTGCCAAAAGACAATAGCAGGGACCGTTTTATAAAACTAGCAACGAAGAAAAAACTTTCATTCGCATATTGAAAAGAAAAGTTTTCATCTTTACTGTCAGCATAAAACCAGTAATTAACATGTTACATGGAACTAAGGTGAAGAGGAAGCAGTAGCAATAGAGAACAAGAGATCGAAATATATTTTTTATTCAAACCTTGAGCTGACATTCGACCAAGAATGAACATTTTTTCTTTCGTTTCAGGATGAAATGCACTATCATATAAGTATTTTGCACTCCATAAATCATCAACAGTCATGCCCGTTCGTGCAATAACACCATGACGATACTCTTCAACAATTCTTTTTGCTGAAAGCATACATTTCCGATGGCATTAGATAGCGATGGACATCGTTTATTCTTTACCTTCATCCAATTGTTGGCTAGTAGCCAAAAGATTCAATGGATTAGTTGTTAAAAAGAAATGTTTAGCTAGAAAATGAGAATTTATAAGACATTAGTTGAATGAATGAATCAGAAAGCGAACCTCGACCCGAATAAGTATTTTGATCATAACGTGGATCATCAATCTTGATTTTTGCGTCGTGTACGAGTTCTGACATGACAGATATTGAAGAAAAAAGGTATCTAGAAAGAGAAATTAGCTGAGAGAAGATGAGAAAGAAATCTTTTGTCACAGAAACTTTGTAGCACAATTTTCTTGTTTTCGTTTGATACAAAAAAAAACACATTGCATAAGAGTAATAAGTAGCAAATTTGTCATTGCTGTTCAGAAACACGTATTTTTTTCACAACAGATTCATCGCCCTTTTCGAAAGACCGTTGATGGTTTCCTGTTGGTTTCGATTCTGTATCGCTCTCATCTGTTGAATCAGGCGATGAATCAGCTGATGAAGATGAACTACTCGATGATGATGTGTCTGATCGTGGACCCGTATCGCCATTAACGTCGATTTTCTCTGTTAGCCGTGCTAAATCTGGTCGACGACGTTTCAAACGTTCCAAAAACTTCTTTGACATTTTCGGACGACTGCGAACGACACGTGTCCATACAGTTGGAAAATTTACAGACGAACAGAAATTCTGCGTCACAGCTACAGTAAGATCCATATTCAGTACCACATGCCAATAGCCGCCTAGAATAGTGAAAGAATTAGCGTGAAATGCAATCTATGTGACTTTCACTGATTACTTTGTAAATGTGTTTTCTTTACAAGAAAGAAAGTGTCACGCACAGGAACAGAATGTTACTATGCTGTTTTTTTTAATTTTACAATGAAAGGAAGAAAAATAGGGTGACGAGAACGTTGTTGCTGCTTAAGGCGATCGATGACTTCGCGGAGTTTTTACATGTCTACACAAAGGTAGGCGTATGATTATTATTGTCTTCTTTTTCTCACTAAACCAAGTGTTACTATCAACAAGCCGTTTATTGCTAACTGGTTATTCGTTCGAATCAGTCGATCATCCATTCTTGTATTCTATCTTCGTCGCCATGGAAGTTATTATTCTTGAAAGATAAGATTAACGTAGCACACGTGAGATATCTTTTTTAATTAGCAATATCTATCTGACAGTGTAAGACAAGATAAGAAGTGTGAGAAAATCCTCAGAAAAAAAAATGTCTTTTTATGTAATAATCTTTACGCGACTGGCTCTTCCCTTTCGTTCTCTAACTGAATGAGCAATCATTTCTTTTATTCATCGATCATCATATTTACAATCCTGCACATGTCAAACTATGATTGAATATGTCGAACAGTCTATTCACTAGTATTAATAAACTACTATTCGATAATAAAAGCTACTTTTTCTATCGTGTTGTCTACTGCTGTGACATACCGGGTACAAATATGACTTCGCCAGGATATTGAACCGCTTCGAGACAAGGGTACTGCTTTGGCCATGAACTAAGTTGCGTACGTGGATAGATGACTTTAAACCATGTAATACCTTCATCTTTATTTTTCGGTGAATCACTCGACGTCGGCTTGAGTAATTCACGTGGTGTTGATGGAGGAAATATGCACCAACGTTTGTGTCCCGAAATGAGTGCATTCCACGCACTCGTGCCCAATGGATCAATCTGGAATATTCACAGATGAAATCATTTGTTTGAGAAGTTGTCTTTTGTTATAAGTAGATTTGTAAATGACTGTGGAACTTACATGTATGCCAGTACCAGAACGTTGTGGTCCAATGCACCACCAACGATAAGGCGGTCGTCGATGTTCACCGACGAGCTGGAATAAATCTTCAGTAAAATATTCGGGAACATCATAATCATCGATTAAACGCTTCTTTTTCGGATGTTCACCGAAACTTGACTCAAATAAATACAATGGCGAATCATCATGATTATTCGATGCGTAATCAAGAAAATATTTCATCTTTAATTTCACTGATTTGCCATCATCATCTTCACCAACTTTGAAACGTTGATTTCGATATTTTCTTCCTAGTTTTTCAACTGTCCATTTTTCGAATGCTGGCCAATCGTCGATTAAATGCTGAATAATGACTGGTTTTGCTGGTCGTTCATACTTTTCAATGAACTCTTCGCGTGTAATATTTCGTGCGTCGATTCGTTCGATTTGATTTTTGAAACAAGATACCACATTTTGGTCGTAATAATAATGATGTTGTTCCCACTCTTCAGGCTTTAATTCACTCCGGGCTTTTAAACGAACACTAGAAATACGTTTTAATGTTCGAGAGTTCATATTGATCTGAAAAAATAAACGAAATTGTTAACAGCGCTCAAAAAGGTTTTCGAGTAAAACACCAATAACAAAAACATTTAGGCTGTTGCCAAGCAATGCGTATGCCTGACGATTGGTAATCTCCTCAGGAAAATGGTACCCTTGAGGAAAACAATGTAGATTCGCTATTTCCTTCGGTGTGAAATATCGAATACGGTCAGTCTCTGTTCGAAATAACGAACCGGTGCCTTCAAAGTATTTGCCATAAGATTTGGTAAAACAGAACGAACGTTTCGCATGACAAGTGATGATGTCACACACATGTAAACCACGTTTTAACTGCTTATCATCTAATTCAAATTCTGAGTTTTCATTCGATACTAGAAAATCATTGATTAACATCGACTGATTTGAATCGATGAGTATTTCGGATGAATGACTGCATTGGTCTGTGATTTGATCGTTTCGATGGAGAGAATTTTTGTCATAACTGCCACCACATTTCGAAGGAAATTGTTCGTGTAGTTTCGTTAACAAGCGGTCAAAATTTGATATTCGAGTTTGAAGAACGGAAGCATTCGTATTCAACTGGTCTTGCTGTTTAGCAATGAGATAATAACGAAGACGTGAGTTAGGTATGCCGAATTGTATTGGAGAAAGGAGATATTGTTCATAGGAATAATGATTTGACTGTAACGTGTGTAATAACAATTGATGTGCATCGGAATTCTGAAAACCGAAGACATTTTCGAGAAGAATATACTTTGGTTTGGAATTCAGTTGTGAGAGAATGTTTTTCATTAAGTGAACAAATCCATCCGTACGACGATCATTTAGATCTTCTTGTTTGCCTTGTCGAGTAAATGGTTGACAAGGAGGCGACATTGTCCATAGATCGGCACTCCATTTTTCCCACTGTTTCAAAGGTATCGTTTCAATCGAACGATTTATAATTGAAACTTCGGGAAAATTCGATGCATAAACAAGATTTGCTGTTGGATTTATATCGATAGCTGCAATAATCTCATATTCTCTTCCACTCAAATCAAGTGCGCAATGCATTCCGCCCATGCCACTAAATAATTCCAGAACGCGTAACACCATTCTTGTTCTTTGAAGATAATCTACAAAAAAAACTACTATGCTGAGTTCATTGCAGCTTATTTGAAAAATTTGTTCGCATCAAATGCATCGTGAATGCACAGCGGTATGTCATTGTTAATCGATAATACGTCTTTACAGGTTCTTACCTTTGAGTCTAATCTATAATTATGATAATAAAATTTTCTTTAGAGATCAATAAAAATGTTACATTAGATGATAAATATTGCTGTATAAGGAGCCAATCACTCATCGAAAGGGGATTGCAAACAAATTATACTCTGTCAATATTCACGATGGCTTCTCATGGGAAAAACTCTTTTTTCTTACATCGAGAAATAGTTTACAACAATATACGTATTTCACATGAATCTTTTACATTCTCATCGAACATAATAACCCTTCCGATAATATATCTAGTAAACTATCGAATCTTTCAGGAAACTGATGTCATGATATGGAAAGTAATCCGGAAGTTCGCTAAAGATTTTAATTAAATAGATCAGCTTATGTACCCATCAAATATGATCTTACATATTGAAACTGACAATTCGCTATTTTTCTAGTCCGATCCAATTAGTCTTAAGAAACCCTTAAAAGACTTGTTTCTCATTGGTTCTTTTATAGAATGTATCGTTTCATAATACCTGACTGGAATTACTCTAATGATTGATCTTTTTCGCTCTTCGATCGATAAAAACCTTATCTTTCGACAGAAAACATGATCCTATTCGAAAGGTGACTCATGTTCATCCATTTCTTGGGAAGTAAAAAGATTTGTATAGGAATCGAATGGAAAAACTTCCAAATATGGATTAATAAACGATTGATAAGTAGCAAACAATCAATAGATTCGTATTTACTTTGCCTAATTCTTCTTATCCATTACAATGCAATTTCCTTGTAATTACTCAATGGATCGATACGAAGAAGAAGCGGACGAGATAAAACCTAAAAACACGAAATAATTATTTTTACATGATCATCACAAGAAAAAAGAATCCAAAAAGTAAAACCATCGATTGAATCTTGCACTACTTCATTTTTCTATATTTTTCATCAGCAATACTTAACGATTGGTGTTTTCATGCCGTGTAACCTTAATGCAGATCTATAAATAATAGAATAGTAACGACATCTACAATTATATTTCTATATTGCCTCAACATACTCGACTACTACATCTCAGGCAGACTTTGAATATTATACTAAATTTATCAAGCATAGCAAGTGTTTCGTATGCGATATCGCTTACTCTTTATACGTATAGCGATTAGCTTTGATGATCAATCATTGGTTTTGCTTTAGTTTAATCGTGTACTCTCAAGTATCGATAGTGATCGATGAGATGATTCGTGGTTTTACATATGAAAGTTTCTAACTCGATCTTTATTTCGTCAAAAACATTCGATGAAGTTACTCAAGACAGAAATTCTGAGACTCCGATGATTTGGATTTGTTTCACTGATCGTTGTTTTAAATTATAATCATAACGAACGAAACGAACGCTTTTCGCCTGAAGTTATTTAATCAATTTCGATTCATCTCACTCACGCTCACCTTGTGTAGGTTCTTTGAAGAAGAAATATGGAGTTACTGTACAACTTCTCCCAAGCGTATCGACGGTTCGACGATAAGAAAAAGGTGCGCCGTTTGAGAAAAAGAAATGCGAAAGAAATCTTTTCTCTCGTCCTTCGTCATTTGGCTTAACCGAAACGTTGATGCTGTCGTTCAAAATTTCAAAATTAAAACATGGCATCGAGTAATTTGAAGAAGCCTTGTGCTAAATGTAATAAAAATACTAGCATTCTTACATGTGACGGATGTCAACAATCCTTTTGTGCTAAACACATTAGCGATCATCGACAAGATCTTTCCGTTGAAATGGATAATATTGGTCAAGAATATGATTTACTTCGACGTGACTTAGCTCGTGACGATAACGATCATCATTTACTTTTCGATCGTATTCGTTTATGGGAAGAACGATCGATAAATCAAATTCAACAAATCGCCCAACAAGCTCGTTTTGATCTACGACAATATTTAGATACAAATAAAAGTCAAATAACGAATATTTGTAATAAACTAACGGAAGATTTACATGCAAGTCGAGAATCGGGCGATTATACTGAAACTGATTTCCATCTTTGGATCGAACGCTTACGTGAACTGCGGAAAATGTTAGAAAATCCACCAGTAATCGAGATTTTCGAAGATGAAAACATTTCAACGGCCATTCGAATGATTCAAGTGCGAGATAAGACTGGTCTACAATTTTGTCACTCTTCTGATCAACACCTACAACCCTGTCGATCATCACTGACAACAATAGATCAAACTTTCGAGAATTTCATTGGACATGCCACATTTGCAGAAAATCATCTTGTAGCAAAACACTCAGGTGATTGTCGACGCAGTACAATGGTTTATTTAACAAAGTCTTATGCCTCTGGAACGTCAAATATTCGTTTTCAAATTGAGAAAAAGGCCAATAAACTTCTTTTCATTGGAGTTATCGATTCGTTCGAACAAATGACGCGTTCTGCTTTTAAATCTCCATCACTTTACGGTTGGGTAACACCTCACATACGCATTGTACAAAGTGAAAAAATCGGATCGAGTCATTTCGACAAAACATTCTCTGAAGGCGATGAGATTTCTCTTACTTTAAATTGCGATCAACATCAAATTATCCTGGAACATTATCGAACTGAGACCATCGATCAATTTCCAATTGATTCCCGCGCATGTTCATTGCCATGGAGAGTTGTTGTAGCATTCTTTACTCCCAGCGATAGTATTCGTCTTCTTTGTTAAATATGAATTCTTTTGTAGACGAAACCGAATTGATGTTTTTACCTCTTTCTCTTTTTTTATTGAATAATTATCAAAATACATTTCAATACACATTTTTTTGCTTGAATTACCAACATGATGAAGATGTTTTATACAAATGAAAGACAAAGAAAATCGAAATGTCGTGTTTTAACCAAGCACAGCAGTTGTTACTTGGGTATTGATTCCACAAACGCCTTTACCACGTAAGATACGGAAATAACCGTGTTCACCCCAAGCAGCACCCCAACTATTTTTAACAATCCAGTATGGTTTTGAACCTTCAATTCCCCAACCAACAAGAAGTACGGCATGATCAAGATTTTTTGGATTGCAAAATATTGGGTTAAAGATTCCTTTATGGTAAAATTGTAACATTTCAGCATTGAGAGCAACTGACAATGGACCCGTTGTCATCAAAGCTGTGGCAATTGCCGTTTCGTTTTCACTAATCGCTTTCCAATCAACAACTTTGAGACCAGGTACGAAGTCCGATGGATTTAATTTACTTTCACAACTATCTTTCATGTAACAGAAAGGAATCGGAGGACCACATAAAGTTTTGTTATATCCTGGAGCATTGCACGGCTCACAAGGTTTCTTTGCTCCAGCACAATATGGATATAAGTCTTCGGATACAATACCACCCTATCATAAAAATTTATTTGTGTTTATGCAATGGGATCAAAGTCAACAGATATTACTTGTTGTTTTAAATATTGAAAACTAAGAAATGGCCAACCACCATAAACACCACAATCAGCTTGCGCTCTAAACAAACATGATTTTAATTCTCTTGGGATCGACCGAATATTGAATATACGAACGAATCAACTTTTTGCATGCCATCGCAGTCGACAACTTGTTCAACAGACAAATTTGTTAATGTTTTACTTTTCATATACCATTGACCTTCAACATTTTGAACAGTTGAAAACGCCCAACATGTGCCAACCGATCCTATTGATTCACATCGATATCCGGCGAACTATTTCTCACTTATTTTAGTCTTACCTTGATCTTTAACAGGAGTAACTGCATTATGATCACGCCAATCAAATGAGTCAGGTAGATCCCCAACTTCGGAAACTTTCATGTATCTATGATGAACAAAATCAATTGTATATGTCGTTGAAAAGAGAAATAATTAATCACTTTTTTGGTGAATGCATAGGCGGTGCTTGAGGGCGCATTAAGATTGTATTTCGAAATTCATCTTGTGTTAAATCGGCAAATTTATTCAATTCAAATGTCATATCATGTCTATAAATAGCAACGATAATTTAGAATGACGTCTCAAGAGACATTCAATGATTTTACCCGTAAACTTCATTCATTTTCTGGATAAGAATATAGTTTTCCTTGAAAACAATCATTCGTTGTTGATATTCAGAAAATGAATAGTATTCTCGCCCACTTTCATCAAGCCAATTCCTTCGAAGAAAGAAGCATACCTCATGATAATGAATATTATCATTCGAAAGGACATTTACTTGAAAAGAATTTCCAATTTTCCATCGGATATCTCATAGCTAAACAATCGAAACTTCCATTAACCAGAGATAGTTACCACCGAATTCTTACTTTTTAGTTAATGTGGCAAAAGTGCAGACGAACAGGGATACAGCAATAGCCGTTCGAAGTAAAAAAATATTCTTCATAAGGACAAAATCTAGAAATAAAGAAAAGTTTTTGTAGTTTTCGTATGTTTATCAATACCAAACGAAAGATAAGAAAAACTGTCCTGTCATATCGATAACAATCCACTTTCTGTCAAACTGTTTCTTCTGCACGACCAGATGGTCTAATTCGCACATGTCGCTGATCTTTGCATCAATACAGCGTTTACAATGAAAAAGAAAACGAAGCTACGATCAATAACGGGACAGTTTGAGAACTAATTTATTTTTACATTAATGTAAAAGGGGAAAAAGAAGAATAAAGTCCTGGTGTTTAGTTTATTTGGTTGACACACGTGTTTTCTTGTTCCACGAAAAATTCGCTCCATAAGTTTTTCGAAAATGGGGACGTGAAGGTGGTTCAACGACTTCATATTTATAACCTAAAAATGCGATTCATATAATACAAATCGTTCTCAGTTGGCGAACAAAGACTCACCCATACGCTCACAATAAATCATCGCGTCTTCCTTGCTACTGAATTCGACCATTACTGATGAGTGTGGATCAGCACTACAAATGGAAATAGGATTTCTCCATAAAATAGTTTTCCATGGATAAGTAATTCTCACGATGATGCCCAGCCCATCAAAGGATTTTCCCAACGTTCCTTGGTATCCCATTCAACCTTCCATTTCTTTGTATTATTTGTACCTGATTGTGTTGCAGCACGTGCAGGTACGAATATGCGACAACGGCGTTCTTTGAAAATATCTCGAGGAACACCGGACAGAGGGCCAATTTGTTCCTACATATACGTAAAAGTATGAAGTGAAATTTCAACTGAATTCACTTACGTCTTGTCGAGGCATTTCACCTAAAGGAGTTGGATCCAGTGGTTTTTGTGTGTCGACAGCTGTACGACCCCAAACATTCTGAATATCGAATAACGTCCTAGAAGGATAAACACAAACCACTATTGGAACTTGCCAAAAGAGATATTGAAAATTTCAAAAGACTACCGTTGAGGAATCGCGAATAAATTAACGCGAGATGGTTGTACGATCGACTTTAATAAATTCATCTACAAATAAACAAGAGTAAACGAGCGAGATTATTATATCACAGCTATTTCAAGCAATTTCCAACTAAAATACTAGCAAGGATTATCAAACCGGTAGTACGATTTGCAGCAAATGTATTCCAACACGATTGTGTTTTATTCAAATCGACCGTTTCAATTTGTCGATGAAGATGATAGCTGGCTCCAATTAATCCTAAATAATATGGCCAAGTCTGATCAACACTTAAACCCACAGTGATCAAATGCGACATCATGCCAATAGAAAAAGCTCGTAACCAGAGTTTCGTTTCTTTTCCAAGACGCAGTGCCGTGGACTTCACTCCAACAAGTAAATCATCTGTTTTATCTTGATGGGCATAAATTGTATCGTAATGAAGTGTCCAAGCAATACCAGCAAAATACAGTGGTAAGATAACTGATGGGTAGATAATGCCTGTCCCAGCAGTAAAACCCATCAGAGCACCCCTAAAACAATTTTTGATTGAATTTACAATAGAAAATATTGTTGCCGCTCACCAATTAAATGTCATCCCGAGAAAGAATTGCGGCCAATAGGTAAATCGTTTCATCAAAGGGTAGATAACTACGGGAACTAATGAGATTACTCCTAGGATAACTGACGGAATATTCAATTGGATTAAAATTAAAAAACTCAATGATAATTGTACGCCTGCCCATATCAATGCCTGTCGAACGGTAATTTCACCGCTAGCTATTGGTCTTGATTTTGTTCTATCCACTCGTCGATCGAAATCTTTATCCCAAAGATCATTTATTGTACAACCGGCACCTCTCATTAGAATAGTACCAGCACCAAATAAGCCCATCAATGCGACATTATTTAATGTTATACCAGCAAATGCGATACTCCATGCACCAGGTAAATACAATAACCATGATCCAATGGGTTTATCAATTCGACTTAGACGAGCATATGGCTGAATAGTTTTCGGTATTATATCGAAAAGGTTTTTTGGTTGAGGAATTGATGATACATTTCTGCATCGTTGATGTTGACTAGATGTAGATGTTGTTGCAATGCGAATAATTGACGAGCGTAATATTAGCGGACAAGTCTGGCGTAGTAGGTAGGTCATGAAAATAATCTAAAATAGTATTCAATAATTAAACAGTATAACAATCGAATATCAGCTAGATTTATTTCCTAGATTACAGAAAAAAAAGAAGACAAAACATACTTGGCGCTCGTGTATAAAAAGGAGGAGCAGTGACAATTTATGACGCATTATACTCTTTCCATATACGTTCGAACAGTGGTTTACAATAAACCCGAGAGCGTAATCTTGAGCAAAGTAAAAATGCACCGGACATTTTTCTATGTAGCGAATAAGAATCTTCTGGTGGCGGTGTTAAACGATGTTTTAACATAGTTGGAATTAGTTTATGAATATTGTGCGTTGTATTTTGTGAACCAAAATCAAATGCATCATCTTGACGAAAACCTTCACCTAAAATCATAACAGCAGTGACATGTGCTTCCGTCATTTCACGCGTTTCGTAACCCGTAAGAAAACCACCCTTAATGGATAATTGTTTAACAGCTTCACGATCATTGTCAGCAGAAGCACGAATGATTTTTATGTAGTTATCAATGAAACTCGGATTGAAGTCTCGTGATGCTCCAAAATCAATGAGACCAATGGTTTTTGTGGATTTATTGAATAGGAAATTTGACCAATTTGGATCGGTTTGCATCGCTTTGAACTTGAACAATTCTAGCAGACATAATTCCAAGATTGCTGTTCCAATACGATCACGTACAGCTTGGTCTTCATTGACAGCATTATCTAGAGTAATTCCATCGAAAAACGTTGTTGTTAAAACACTTTTCGATGATAAATTATCGACTATGTCTGGAATATAAAACATAGGATTGTTAATCAGCCAATTTTTAAATCGGCGTCCCCATTCTGCTTCACGAATATAATCGACCTCCCAATTCAATTCGCGTTTTGCTACGTTGATTACACTCTCGATATATAAACCACGAGGTAGAATATTCCAAAAATTGAGTAATGTTATCAAATTGTTAATATCACTTTCAATCGATTTTCCAACACCAGGATATTGAATTTTGACAGCAACGCGCTGTTTACTATTTTTCAAAACGCCATAATGTACTTGACCGATACTAAAAGGCGAGTAAAAAGTAAGAATGATATTTAGAAAGACAGAAGAATATGTATCTTTCACCTGGCAGCAGCAAAAGGTCGGTCTTGAAATTCTTCGAAATTTTCACGCCAATTAGCACCAAAATCGTTCGTCATTACCTCATTCATTTGCCATTCAGGCATAAAATCAGCTTTCTGACGAACTCGTTCAAAAATCTTTTGGATATCATCTTGGACAAGAAAATTATCTGTAACAAAAGCAAAAGAACATGAAAGAGACAGTAAAAAGAGGATATTGTCCACTATGTACCTTGAATACTAATCATTTGGCCTAATTTCAGTGCAGCCCCACGTACTTTACATAAAGTGTCAACAATGCGTTCGGCATTTGCTTTCGACAAATATGGAGAAAGTGAACCTTGTGATGCAGATGTCGGTTCAAGTCCAACCGAACGACGAACCATTGAACCTAGAGCGCCAACGCCGAGACCGGCAGCCAACGAACCAAAGCTTGCCAATCGACCAATTCGTGTAGTTGGTACAGCACGTGCTTGAGCTTCAGTATTTGTGGGTGATGGTGGAACCGCAATTTGGGGTTGATTTTCTTCTAATGTTAATGGTGTGGATGACTCATTCTCTGTAGAAGGCGTGAAAAAAGTTGGTTCGACTTTCAGTGCCAATGGCTCAGTAGGTTTATCAATTGAAGTATACGAAATAGGAATTGGTTTCTTCGTTGCTATAGATGGTGCAACTGTCGGCGGTTTCGTTTCAGCGATATGATCAAGTTTAGGTTGCGACGGAATAGCGATTTTATCTTTTGCTAATGTGGTCGATGGTTTCGCTGATGATACATCTCTCTCCGAATAAGTAGGAATTGACATCTTATGGGAAACAAAGTCATTCGTTGCCGGTAGAATGATCTCAGATGGCGGTGAAGTGGTTGCTATAACTGCAGAAGATTGAATTTTAGCATGTGGAGGGATCGGAATCACATCTTCAGGGATTTGAGTTGCAGACGGTACCGATATTGATGAAGAGACTGGCGACGCTCGAATGGCATTGCTTGCTGCAATACCAGTTTGTCGAACGAGTACACTCGATTTCCATGCTGTTTTAGATAAAGCATTCGTAACATTAACACTTCCCAATCGTGTTAAGCCAGTCGATATAAGACCAACAAATGGTTCAAGCACAGCAGACGGTCGGTGACGAAGATCACCTGAACGAGATGCTTCATTAGCTATTTGTCGACTAACTTGAACCAGTCCGCGTAGGAAACGACCTGCATCTGACAGATTATGAGACATCTAAAACGAAAAAGAAGGCATTATTTATAATAATAGTAATAACAACAATAAGGAGAATAAGAATAAATAACAAAGAAAAAAAAGGATTCTCCCTTTATTATGTTTCTAGATCTCTATTTCGTCCCCATTGATATAGTCGTGCATTGCATATGCCCATGTCCATTGACGCGCTTTTTGCTCGTATTGCTCACGATTATTCGTATATAAATCTGCGGCTTGTCGATTCATACAGATATGTGCGTAAGGATCGCTCAGCAAAGATTGAACGGATATTAAGACTTTCGATATGGTTAGAGCTAGACTCCAATTGGAACCAAACGAATCTAAACCAATATCACCATGAATATTTATGTTTGGATGAAAAATTTTTGTAATAAATCGTACAACAGGAGGAATCATTGGATAACTAGGATAAAACTCGTTTTGTGTTACATCCTATATATCATAGTACCGAGAGAAATACTTACGATTGTGGAATATGTAAATATAAATAGAAAACACCACCTTAGGAAGAAACGAAGAGCTTTGATTTCAAACGATCGTTTATTTCAAAGGATGGACTCACCTTCATAAGGTGATGCGCTAGGACCCCAAATGGAAGCATGCCAATGACAACAAGATGAGTCTAATGGTTCTGCACGAATCCCATCCGGTGGATCGTCCTAGATTGGATAATCACCTCTTGTTTTCAAAAGAAGAATTCAATTTAAGACATACTCTTAGAGCACGGATTTCACTTTGTAATCGCCGGTGTCGCCACAATGTTGGCTGCATTTGTCCGTTGCTTTCAAACTAAACACAGAAATCCAGTATACGGGAAAATTCATTCCTTCCTGATTTGTTTCATATTTACTCGAATTCCAGTATCATTTAAACATATAAAACAGCTCGAACTCCGGATTCTAAAACAAAGTAATGTTGCTATTTTCTCCTTGGAAAGTAACATCATCCTTACAATTGATCATAGATTCGGCTGAGATTCGTCTTTTGATCATCATCATCCGACAGCGGGAAAAGTGGCCAACGCGTTCGAATAAATTGTCTCCAATCAACCGTGGAGTCAACTAACTGTTTCCAGCGATTCGAAGCTTTAGCTAATGCATATATACTCAAATCATCCATGCATTTCATTATTGTCAGCATCACTTCTGGTGGCAACTGACTCAAATAAGACGTATGATCATTCCATATCACATTTGCTGCTGTTAATTCAAGTAACAGCTCGTTTAATAAATCATTTCGTCGATTATTCGATGCTGCTGACACGACAGAAGTATTTGATGTTGTTGCTTGCGCAGAAGAATCAGTATTGGTTGTTGTCACTGACGTCGCTAAAGACTTTTTAGTCGATCTACTCGAACCGGATGCACATGCATATCCATCATCAGTATCTTCGTTTCCCGAATCATCTGCTTCACCTTTCTATAAATGCAATCGATACATTTTTCCAATTGAAAATAATTCATAATCATACATCTTCACAAACATTGGGCTCTTGTTGTTGATCAATTTCATATGGATAGATAAATGCATGACAAATTCGACAGATTGGATCGCCGAAACATCGAGTGTAATATCCTGCACAATAGAAACACGATGGAAACTATTTCAAAAAGCAACAGCAAGTTTTCAAAACGATGATATGTGAAGAACAACCGACCTCGTCTACATTATTCATAACTGTTTCAGAAATCAGATCATCTATAATAAAAAAAAGAAAAGGTAAAAGTCAGAAAAATATTATTGCTTTTTCTTTCTCGATTGTACGAATCTATCATGAATATAACAACTTAAAGTGTAAACTCCTATGGACAAATGACGACAGCCCTGACGAAAGATATTTTTATAAAACCATCCAATGGCAGGTATGGCATCAATTAAATCAGCAAGTGACCTAAAATGTAATACAGAGAAGACTACTTCTAAATTGAAAACAAATGCAACCAACCACATTTCTTCGTGCCGAAAGATTTCGAATTGTGGTTCTTCAATACTTTGAGTATTCAATAGACGAAATTCAAAAATGATGATGGAACGCAATGGATATGTGTAGAGCCACGAAAATTGTTTTAAATTAACGACACTGTCAATAATACATCGACCGGTCTTGCCATCATCGTTCAGCTTCACATTTAATTGAGATTTATCAAAAATACAATGAAACATGTTGTGAAAGCCTTTCATTATAAACTTATAGCGTTCTTTGCCATTTCCTTCTTGCAGAGGATGTTTAAAGAGAATGTTTTTGGCAATATACGGTAAACATTCTTGTTCAAGCACAGAACTAGATACATCAGTTGTATATAGCAATCGAGCAAGATTGGCGAATTCGCGTTCTAATTGACCGATAAATTTCGATTGAATACTTGGATTTTTCGAACGAAATAATAAAATATCTGACATATTTGACTGGAACAGACGGGTGATTAGATTGAATTGAAAACCAATTGCACGTAAATATACCATCAGCTACTATGACTCTCTAGCAGGTACTATTGGTCCATTTCCGAATCAATCAATATCGGGAGAAACAAACTTACAAGCGTCGCACGCACGTCTGCCATCTATCGAAAGATAGGGATATAAAAAAAAGGAATCATAAATCATGATTAGGTATGATCAATCTATTCTGTGATAAAGATTTTTTAATGTATATTGTCATGATCACCTTGATCGTCTATCAAATACATATGTTGTTCCCAATTCTGTACAAAAGAACAAAACTACTACTAGTCATAATTCTCTTCTTCAATCGGTTACTTTCTATTCAATGCAATTCAACTCAAATAGCATTTCCAGAAATTAGTACTCTCTCTCTCTCTCTCTCTCTCTCTCTCTCTCTCTCTCTAATCATCGACGGATTTTGGACACTACCGATTGCGGCAATATACTACATGTGCATGTGTGTCTAGTTGATCGTGTAATGATGAATAGATTCAGCGAATTCATCTTTTTTTTCCTCCGATGAATAATTAGATCATAAGTTTAGCCAGTCAAACTGATGTTTATCCACATATCATTGAAGCTATTGTGAAAAGACTTTTCCTTCCTATTTATTTCTGTAATCTAATTCATAATCGACCTTTCATACTAAAGACCGTCCTTTTTCTTATCTCTGTATTTGATGGAATGCATTTAAGTACTATTAATTTTTTTCTTTGCTATATTGAATGCATTCTTTCATTGACATTCATCAAAAAGGAGAGCTTTTTCACTCATCTATCTTGATTCATTTTTTCTATAGGTTGAAGGAATAATTTGATAATCAGATTATGTCTACGAACAATGTTCATCTATAGCTCCATCACGTTTTCTTCTCTGCAAGAGACGATTATTAATATACGTCGCATTCATTTGATGACATCATTTCATTTGAGAATATTGATGATGTATCATTATAAATTAGTTAGTCATGCACAAACACACACATATATATATTCAATGTTCGTCACACGTGCTTTTTTGGTTATATGATCTTAATTTGGGAGATTCATATGCTACACACATCTTCTAAATTATCATTTGGATTTATATTTATCCTTTGTAAGCTGTTGTATAATTACCTTCATTATACATTGAAATCATGCATAGGATACTTTTGCATACATAGATACTTCATCGCGTCATTATCATTGAGAAAAATTCTGTTGTAAAAGTTTACAATCGCTCGTTACATGATGAGAGAAGCAAAGTTTATGATCTCTACATAGAATATTTGTCTGTCTAGGCTTCGATCGATGCCTGATAAGTTTATCTTTTCTTGTACAAATTCGATATCCATGTCACGTTCTTTCATTTCTTTTCCTACCATTCTTGTACAAGTCTGATTAGTATGCATTAATTGATGAATCAAATGAACTGATATGTTTTCTCAAGGATGATTTGAAGGTCTTCATCGTCATCATCATCATCATCGTCGTCGTTATTATCGATACAGAGGAAATCCGTTACAGATTAATGAACAACTCGATATATCGTTTTGTCATCAGATAGTTTTCATCTCATCGACGATGTATGTAAAACGTCAATGACATAGGCGTCATGATTTGTTTACATTATATGACATCCATTAATAAGATAAACATCGATGAGAAAAGAAATGCCATCTTGAAATCTTCTATTGCTACTAATTTTAAACACAACTAATAAAGTTACAAGAAGAAAAAAGAAACCTTTTTTAACATCTGAAGCATGAGAAAATACAAATGCGCTGTGTGTGTGTACATATGCGTATGCATATGGCTTGCATAGTTGGTGTTGTTTACCTTTCATCACCTTTTCATTGTATAGATCCCAATACGGATGGCATGGTTCGATCGAATATTTACGTGCATACTTTAATAAAAACATTACTCGATCGATTATCGATTTTTCTGATGAATAAGTACGTCGTACTCCAGAGAAGAGCAAACGAGAAAGCGAGTGAAAAAGAAGAAAAGAAAATAATAGTAGATGTGTATGTGTGTGCGTACTCTATTGCGATAATATTAGCAAAAACGTGTCAATAAAAGCGGGCTGTAAGCTAAAAAACAGATGAAACAAAACAACGAATAGCTGTCTGCAAGCATATTTCGAGTGTTTTTTTCTGTGCTTTCGAAATTATCAATTGCTAGCGGGCAAAATTATTATCACAAGTAAATCTATTTAATTGAATACATATATATGTATATATATATTATCATTGACTTCTAGACAAATATTTGTTAGAAATTTTTTTTATTATCATTGCCCTCGCACATTAGTCACTGTCATTGTCATAAGCGCATAGTATACTCATTTTTCACGTATTCACACGTACGATTTTCGTAAGTTTTTTTTTTGCATTAATATGGAGTTGCGAAAAACAACAACAACAACGAAGATGACGAGGACGACGACTGGATAATCCATGACACGTTTCTGATGATAAGGCACGCATTTGCTGGACAATGGTAGTAAACGAGCACCGTATAGAATATTGTATGAATGAAATAGTAAAACGAAGAAAAACGAGAAAAAGAGAGAGAAAAAAAAGCGAAAAATTAGAAACAAAAACATGTATATATAATTTATGTATAATAGAGCACGAGAGTCAACGAACGGACGGTAGAATGAAAACAGAGAGAGAGAATTCGTCGAAACACCGAACTTAAATATACTGTGGAGCTAAACTGCTGTTCGATGATGATAATGATGAAAACGTACGATGTGTTAATGAGTTTGTCATTGTAGATAATATTGACGGATAAAATTCTTGATGTTGTTGTGTTTGTTGTTGCTGTTGTTGTGGTTGATGATGAAATATATCATCAGTATCGCAAGAGAGTAATGCCTGATTAAGTTCTTCGAAAGTGAAAGGAAGCTTCGATGAAGTTAAATTATTAATTAGATGAGAAGATGAAGATGACGAAGAGGATAATGCTGTAAAATCACTGTTGATACGATTTCTATAGAGAAAAACATAAAGAAAGAATTTTCATTAATTTTTTCCAAACGATTGAAGTTTTTCATTCACCTCGTTGCTGACTTTTGTGTCGATTGATTCATTCGTACATCGGAGTATCGTCGGGTTGTTGTTTCATTTGGATGGTTAGTTGGCCGTGCTTCATGAATATCGTGAATGAAATGACACCGAGGGCCATATGGACAATAGCCAGCTAAATAGTTTCGTTAAAAATGCAATTAATTAAAGATTGAACTTCTTATTTTCTTACTTGTATGAAATGTTCGACAATATTCTGTTTTATACTTTGGATGCCGTATTAAGATTCTCAATTCTTTCATTCCATGTGAAAATTGGCATTTATCGCCGTATTTACACTTTCCAGTCTCAGTGAATGGTCGACATAATTCAGTTTTATAACGTGTAACACATACATGTGAAGTATTATTATTTGATGATCTCATTGAATGATCCTGTTGTTGAATTGCTTGCGAATGTCGTATATCAGTTAAGAGTGCACGTGGAGACGATAAAGATGAATCGGATGATGAATAAGAAGAATTCGAATCGACACTTGGCATAATTTATATTTATCTTGAAAGAAATGAAGGTTAATACATACTTTTTATCGGTGTTTTACTACGTAAAAAAAAGAAGAAAAAATATCAACAACGAATGCACAACCAAGCGTGTTGTCAGATGAGAAGATGAAAAACGTGTGTGTGTGTGTGTGTATATCTATGTAGGATGTAGATATTATTATGCGTGCGTAGCGTCTAGTATTAGTTAAGAGCGGAGAATACCAGAGAAAGAGAAGGAAAGAACAGAACAGATAGAGTAAACGTTATGACGAAGACAGTATTGAAGAAATAAGGGTAAAAAGTCGTAGTAGTTGTAGTAATCATCGTGGTACGCATCAGCGAAACTCCACGTTTGATGAATGAATGGATACTTTCTCTTTCTTTTTATGTCGTTTTTTTTACAGAATAAAAAAAACGATGAATCGAGGGTAAATGAAGATGAGATGCAAACTTATACTATCCATTTGTAGTAGTGGTAGTACGTAGTATATGTAAAACTCATTCTTTTTTTCCTTCCTGTCATTCATTCCTCTCTTTTCCTCGAGGTCTTTTTTGCTTACAGGTACTGGTCAACAGTCGTTTTTTTTCTTCTTCTGTTCTTTCTTCATCGCGTCGTCTCTCGTTTTTTCCAGATTCAACATACTTATGACCGGAAGAGAAGCATGCGATGCCATGACGTTGATTGCATACATACAGTGTAGTACCTTTCTTTCCGTCTGTCTTCTTTCTTTGTTTCAGTTCTCATGTACAAAGGAGTATTGTACGCGTTCACATGACACTAACAGAAGGTCGGCGGTTTTTTTTCTTCATTTTTTTCTTATGCAGGCAAAGTTCACCTCTTTCCGACTTTTTTTCTTTCTTGCACTTTTGCTCTCTTCTCTCTCTCTCTCTCTCTCTCTTCCACTCGTTCTATCGTCATGAGTAGAAATGAGTCAGGAAAAAAATAGAGAAATTTGAAAGACAAATGGTGTAATTACAATTTTTCAATTTGCTTAGTCGAAGCTTTAGACAGGTCAATCTCTATATTTGCATGTGTGTGTATATATAAGCCTTATACTTAATTGATAATTGAACAAACCGCATACATTGATGGATGGGATAGCGAATTTTAATCTGAAGAAGAAAGCCTTGACTTTACGTAGCGAATAAAAAACGAATGAATGATTGTTTGGCATTGGCCATGGATGATGGGTGCATGTGTGTGTGTGACTAGTAAAAGTTAAGATAAAGTATCGTACAAAGGCGCACTCGTGCTCATTCACAAGATCAAGAGAATGGGAATGAATGTGCATGTATATAACAAATGAAATAAAAGAACGAAGAAGAAAAAGTGCAACTACCAGCTTGCATGCAACCATACAGAGTAGAAGCAAAGATAATATCGACAAAGAATATCACCATTGGTTTATGCAATGTGCATATTTATCTCTTTGATCTCAGCATGCAAATCGAACTTCAATGTTATTTTGACAGTCATACTACGAGTATAGCGATGTACTCGACATTCAATTAGCTCGTTGTTACCAGACACTTGACGCATTCATTAGAATTATATTCTTGAGAGAAACAACAAGAGTGTTTCAAACGCATGTTCTCTTCGTTTTATCAGTGTTGAGCATAATGTCGACACATATTCTCACACAATTGAAAGTCGATAATTACGCACTCTATATGATAATCGAAAGAGGGAGAGAAGGAGAAGAAGAAGAAAAGCATGAGGAAGGATTTTCCTTTCTCTCGTCCCAAACAACCAAAATCTGACGCACAAAGTCAACAAAAGGCACTCCAGTCATTACTATCAATTGCCATATAGGGCAACAGACGCGCTTGATGTTTTCAAACGCATATGAATGTTTCAATGAGATTGATGTTCTAGTCTGCAACAACTTGGTCACTAATAATAGAGGCATACAAACTTTTCGTTTCATTGTAAAACTAATCACTTATATGAGTTCAATTTCAACATGAATTGTCTTTTTCTTCTTGTGTTAGCTGATTAAAATGACATCTACGACTTTCAATTATGTTTTTATGACTGTAATTTATCACTTCAATAGCTCTTCTAGTACAAATTGATTTCAATGAACTTTAATCTATTCTATTTGAATACACCCAGAGCAGTGCAGAAGAGAAAATCCGTTAAAGTTATTTAGTTCAAGTGCTATAATTTTTTTCTTCGAACTTATCGATTAGTAAAATATCTTCGGCGTAAAAAGAAATGTTATTCTTAGAGAACCTTTTTTTCAAGTGAAAGTAAATAATCTCAGTTGAAGAGTGTCCAAGTCTTTGTTAAAATAAATAATTAATCGAAATCTACTTCTTCATTATTGACATGTCAGTTGTGTAATACATACTTCATTTTTTCTTCTTCATAACGACACAAAATTTGTTTCTACTACTTATTGTATGACAACGGACAAGAAATGAAGCATGTGAAAAGATAGAAGACTACTTATGTAATGAAAAAAAGTACTGCAATAATGAACAATTCCAACAAAATACATGCACTCTCTCTTTCGTTACATTCAAGTATTCGTTGCGCGATATAATGAAAATTCATAAAGAATTCTACTGAATACTATCGGCAGTGAAATGGTCGTAGTACAATTCATTAGAAAGATATCAAATGAGGATTAGGGAGATTTGAATTGCTCATCAGTAAATGATAATAACATTCGTACTGCTATTTTTCTCGGCTGGCCGAAATGAAAATTATCGATCGGAATTATATTTGTTTTGGTTTTTAGGCCCTTGAAAAGCGCCATCTAATTATACTTGTCTAGTTTCACAAATGAATAATAAATCGGATTTTTTTGTTTGGTCCTGGAGAAAAATCTAATTATGGATATTTTAGTTTTCGGCGTTTATTGTGAAAATACTGAAAATCGTTGAAGTCAGGACTGAAATAAGATAAGAACATTGACGCGTGTATTGCACATATATATGAAACATCTGTTTGGATTCTCGCGCCTGCGCGGCGATATTTCTTACTTGATACTGATAATAATCGAATCAAAAATGAAAAATCTATTGTAAAAAAGAACCGTCCTTGATAGAATCAGGCAAAATCTTGTAATTATTTTATTTACTGCCATTGTTATGAATACAATTATATGGCTATTTCTATTTCAACTTGTTTCCATCTTTGCAAATGATCTAATCAAGGCAAGATTTGTGTTCATGCGTAGATATATTGACCCTCTTTCGATTTAGAATTCCATATCGAATGGGTTAATCAAATCTGAGGACGCCACGAGCGACTCGAAATTACGGCAAGGTCGAAATCGTGCTAGTGTACCTCAGTCATTGACATTGCTAATGAATTTCAAAAATGATGGCACAACATCGTTTCAAATTATGCAAGGTAATCATGATTATAATAATGACAGAAAAAAAGGATCCGATTCTTATGTCAATATTTACTCTCGACTTATCATAGGATCACAAGTTGTTTATGTGGATGGTGGACTTTGTAAGTACGGTCAATTATTTGATCCAGCCACAGGACGTTGCCGGGATATTTACTGTCAAGAACTAAATCATAAATTCAATGGAACCATGTGCATACCTGATGAAAGTAAAAATGCAACAAATGCATATAAACGTATGAGTGATATTGATCTGTCGACGATTATTGTGATTTCTCGTACTAATCGTGTTGCAAGTGGAAATGCGAATTTTTCCGTTTATCTCAATAGTCGAATGAATGAATCATGCACAGCCGATTGGGCAAAAATGTTCCATGAAACACTGAAAAGTAAGTCCAAATATAATGGAAGTATACGGCAAAACAATCGAATTCGATCACATTTCATTTCAACAGGCTATCTTGGCATTGATCGCGACCGTATTATTAAGATTCGATTCAGTATTGAAGATGAGAAACCACCGATTGGTAAAGCTCCAAAAAAGAATAATAGCACATCTGTCATTCCTCATGGCACGTCGACAAATGATTACATCAATCAACAGCTCGTTAAGAATGACTCTGTAACTTTAAACTTTCATTTTTCCATCGCCGATCGAAATGAAGAATCTAAAGATACGTTAACAGGTCTACATGTCGTTACATTACTTCTACTGGCATCTGAGCGTCATGCTTCGATTGATCTTTGTCAAAATTATGCATTGGTTGTTCAAACATTATCCATTGTATCTGATAAAAATAAAACTCGTCAAGAATTCTGTGACGATCCAGACGTGATGTACGTAGCAAAGAACGGCGAAATACGTCGACGAATACGACCATCGGGAGAAGTTGATTACGTAGTCGATGTGCCTGAACTTGAAGCAACATATGAAGGCGGCGACTTTACTTATTTATATATGGTTTCAACGCTAACACAACAGACGGTAAGATTTCCATTTGGTGATGGAATCGTTCTTTCGATATCTAAGTTTAGTCTGATGTGGCTTTGAAAAATTCGCCAACCAATTCAACGTCAAGAAAAATGGTTTCTGTCTGCATCCGTCAACCTCGGATAGTTGAACGCTGTCCAGATAGTCTCGTTATGCGCATTGCTCTATGCGAAGTGACTCAATACAAAAACCATTCAATTCGCATTAAACGCACTGGTCGACTGTATACCAATCGTGAATATCGTTACGATGACTTCCGGTCTGATTTATATGTTGTGGTTTGTAAACATGATACACACAATGGTACAACCAATGGGAAAAAACCAGGCTTTTTCGAAAAAGCACCAGGATTTTTATCGACTATTGCAATTATTTTATCAATATTTGCCTTAGCGATTACTTTAATCACATTCATAGTATTTTCTTCCCTACGAAATTTACCTGGTTGTAATACAATCAATCTAATTGTTGCATTAATGCTGGCAGAAATCCTTTTCCTATTGCAAAGTTTGTTCATTATGACAAGACCAAGTGTATGTTTGCTATTCGCATTAGGAATACATTTTTTCTTCTTGGCAAGTTTTTTCTGGATGAATGTCATGGCTTTTGATCTTTGGAAAACATTTCATAAAGGTTTTTCCATTTATGTTTGTGAGATTCGCGAACGTCTACCATATTATGCTCTATACGCATGGGGCATGCCCGTTCTTATTGTACTCATTGGCATTGTCCTTGACGCTAAGAATGCATCACTGAAACCATGTTATGGACGATACTTTCGTGGATGTTACGACGTTTGTTTTCACACGAATAATGATGCACCACTACAAGGTGAGCCATTTTTAAAGATCATGAAATATTTTGATAGATTAATCTTTATTCTCTGGTTCAGGTTGTTGGATTGAATCAGCTTTGATGCGTTTCTTACTATTCGGCGTTCCTGTTGCTATAATTCTCGTTGTTAATTTCATATTTTATGCTTTGACAGTTCGCAGTATTCGTCGAGGTTTGAAATCTGGTAAGATTATGTCACTTGAGCATCTAAAACTAGTCAAAAAAGTTTTCCTCTAGTTCGAGTACAAGTTGAACGAAAGTTTCAACGTAAGAAACAAGTGGTACCTGGTGAACATGATGTCAAAATCTATATGCGCATGGCTGTCCTAGCTGGGTTTGGTTGGACGATTGGTTTTATCTTGTTCGCTTTGCCTGACACTCAAAAAGGCTTTCAACATTACCTTGTGACCATCTTCAAATACTTATTTATTCTTCTTAACGCAACACCCGGTTTGTTTATATTTGTTGTTTATGTCTGCAATCGTCGTGTTTTTGGGTTATATCGCAAGTTATTCATTCTAATGTATGAATTTACTCACTTGCATTATCAAGCAATCAAAGAATGGTTTTCGAACCATTGTCAATTGTATTTTTATCAAACAAAATATCAATTTAGTCGAGTTTTTCGTAAACAAAACCAGCAAAATATTACATCGAATGTAACTACGATACAGTCACTGTCGGAAAGACAACGAATTTAACTGATTTTGTACCCCTATGTCATATATTTATGTATGTGTGTGTGAATGTATTCAACTTCTATTTGTATAAAAAAACGATGACCAAGTACATACGCAATCATTATTCTAACGTTTTGGAAAAGAAAAGCAAAAAGTGTTTGTTTTTAGTACTGATCTATGTGTTTCATATTGTTTGAATGATCTGAGGTGGTCGAAGTACACTAACTGCGGACTGAACAAAATACGTAACGATGGAGATTTGTTGCTGGATCAGTGTGACATTACGATCTTCGATAGCATCAGTTATAGTTGGAAAGCCACGAGCATTGTATCGATTTGTTCGACTTGGTGCATAAACGATATGTCTATACATAATTATATTATTCACAGAAGTTTTTTCGACAAATTTTTCACCATTGCTTACTTAAGGTCAGATTGTTCAAGGCTATTGCCTAATGGATTCTGAAATGCTCGTTCCAGTTGCATCAATTGATCATTGACTATTCGAAGTTGCAGTGGGCTAGAACAGAGATGCAAATATATACGGATTCGTATTATGACCGTTAGCAGTGTGACAATTTCGAAAATAAATTTACTCTGATTTATCTAATGTTGTTTGTACTCGATGACTGAATTGATTAGAAACAATTTTAAACTGATCGATTGCATATTCCAATGATGCTAAATGATTGTTTTTTTAGTCAACCAATACAAATATCACGTTACAGCTCGATTCACTCACTGAAATTGGTTGATTCCGGTGCAGATGATTTTGTGAATTCTAGCAAAGTAAGTAATGCTTCATAGTACCGTATAGGATTGAATGGAAGTAAATCGACATCAGTGAGAGTTAACGCCGCTAAGCCAACTACTCGTGCAACAGCTTGATGAGCCTTGTAAAATATGAAAAGAGTAGAATCAAGCAATAAACTTTAGGTTACTTGAAATTCAGGATCAACAAAATTTTTCACTAGGCGAAATGTTTCATATTGGGTATGATATAATGGATAAGCACCGCCGCTCTGTATACCTGACTAAACACAACGTACTTTACGATAATGGAAACTCAAAATTGCTCTTTCAAAATTTACCACATTCACGTAGGTCATACCAAGATTTGAACTACCGGCAATTTGACTGAAACCAGTATAATCCGAACCTGCGTTAATTCCCATTGTACTAAACAAATCATATGAAAGTCTTTTGCTTTCTATCTCATTGTAATATCTCACAAAAATCGTTTTCCGACGTCTTTATCACCATCATTTATACGTATCCATTGTTCATAGATGGTTTCATTCATATACGGGGCTTTGACCTTTACATAAATATAACATTTTGTGTATAAGAGTAATAGGTTCTGTGAATACTTGTCGAGATATATCAATTACAAAATCATAAAGTAATGGAGACATGTCCAGTAACATTACTTCACGACCTAATAATACAATGGTATTTATTTAAACCCACAAAAATGAGTCATACCAGTAACAGCAACATCCATATTAAGATATGAAACAACTCTCGCACCTAATATTTTTGCAAATTCCTTTTGATATAAATTTATACAGTTATTCTCAATTCAGGTGTAACTTCACCTACTCACTTCAATAAACTCAATTGAGCCAATAATCCCATACTCCTAAAACACATACATCTTCTGCCTAAAATATGACTTGAAGCTGTTTACTTCAGCTGCCCATGCACAAAACATTAAACTTCGTCTCGGTTTCCAATCTGACAACAAGAAAAAAATATATGATATTTTTTTCTCTATCCAGTACATCTTACTTGGTCTCATCAAAGATCCAAAGACACGTACTAATTCATGATTGATTGCAATACCTGATCCATCGTCGAGAGCACCAAAATTCCAAGCATCAAAATGACCTCCAACAAGTACGTAACGGTCTAAAGCGATTGTCAAATCTCTAGATAAGCCAGTTGCAAGCACTCGTTATACCTGGTTCAATATGCCCGGGTATGATTCCTATAACATTATGTATTCGTCGAATTTGTAAGCTATTGTGTGATACTATTTGTATTGATCTAACAAAGTCGATTCAAAAAAGTTAAATACCAAGAAATTCTCGAATTCACTTGCCGATCATTTAATAATAAGCCTCCATAAACATAATTGACTTGGTCAAGACGACCGGTCCAATTGGAAATAACACTTTTACCCGTCATATGACTAAAATAACAAAATTTTTAGTCATTGATCGTCTGATATTCGTATGTTTCGTTTCTTTGATGTAATATCGAGTTACCTGAATATGTCTCTTGCTTCTTTGTAGCCAATCTGTTGAGCTACGATCTTTGGTAACCATCGATTATTGTTTGTCGATGTTCGATATGTGTAGTCTAAATAAAACAACTGATCGATCGACACCGTTTGAAGATATAGATTACAACTGAACACCTTTGGCAGGGTAATGCATTGTTAATGGATCTCCAGATAAAAGTAACACTGAACCACGTTGTTGACCCATTTCAGGCAGATCTATGGAATACGGATAAGATGAATGCACTGCAGCAGCATCACTTGGATCACCATACAAGATTACACCAATGGCGCCATATTTTTCCGCAATACTAATCTAAATCAAATAAAACTGTAGATGTTCTTCGAAGAATTCGGTTTTCAACAATTATTTAACTTTACTTTGTTTCCACGAAAAATCTTGCCGTATCGACAAATCACAATGCTTCCTTGCAACTCATTTTTATCTATTTGCGTCTCTATGAATTGAAAATCCTCCGATGTACAGTAGTTTATGTAGTATAATCGGGAGCTTTGCATGGTTCCATTTGGTGTATATGCAAGAAATGGTCGAACAATATTATGAAATGGCAGCGATCTATCATCTTCATCATACACAAGCTCACTCCCAGTAGATTGAGTCAGTAGATTGTTATCTGAATCAAAAACTGATACACTAGATAATTTCGAGTGAAAACAAAGTCCAACTACTGTCAAACATACAGATTCGGTTGAGCAGAATCTGGATATGAAAGTAGAACGTCGTACGGATAAATAGTAACGTCTAAGCCATGTCTTCGCCATCTATCTGCTATAGATTCTGCTTCGTTTCGATCATCATCTGTTCCAGCTAAATGAGTTTGTCTAGTAGAATTTCTGCAATAAAATCATCCAATTCAATTATTGTATCATCACAATGATTTCTTTCTCACCGAAGAGTAGCTTCTATTTCTTCTGCGCTAACATATTTTAAAAATTGATTCCGTATCGCCAGCTGCTCGTCTTTCGAATATATGTTACTAGTTGTTATACCATCTGCATGAAGATTATGTACCGGCCTTGGAATAGCAAACCGACCAATGAGAATTCCAGCAACAAATAGAACAATTGCAATAGCAACACCTGTACCAATATAAATCAACTTGTTCTGATTCATAATTACTTCGATCAAACAAACAAAAAACAAGTCACTTTTTTGCTATATATATATATACCTACTCAACTGTGTTGTTTAAAAGAGCAGCACGCCTGATATATTGATAAGAATGCTATCTATAACCTTTCCTTTTCAACAGAATTGTAATTAAATGTCAAAATGCTATGGACTACTACCTAAATAGTAAAAGTCAGAAATCAATGAAACTAATAAACAGAATAGTACAATACACCGAATAATCCATGAGATTTTATCAAACGACATTTTCTCAAAAACCGTTTGAACACATATTACTGATTTCATTTTAAGCGGTATAGCCAAACTACCTACAATTATTCAAGCCAAAGCATAAGCGTGGCGAAAATATACTCAACGCTCAGACAATTTTATTAGTAATGTTCCAAAAGTGTCAAACAGAGAATTCTGGTGACAACAAAGCTGGTAGCATCACAACGGTCACTTTAAAACAATAATCATACATATTCAAAGCATTTCGTATCAAAAACAGAATAAATTACTAATAAAAGCAATAAACAAGTAACGTTCAATTTGATGTGAGATAATGCGAAGAGAAAAGAAAACAAGAGACATGTTCCAGTACCAGTAAACGAATTAACAGATAGCCTGACTAAATTTGGTAGTATGTTATTGTATGATGGTATGGTGGCTGCATGGTTATGAATCTGAAACTCGTCTGTCGGTATGAATTCAAATTAAATCAGCTTTACGCATGATCTGAAGCTGAATTTGTTTACCAAAGCTTGTCTTGGAGTAACATGACGACGAGAATGTCATATTTGGTAGGAAGACTCATTTTGTAGTTTAGAATAGGCAAAATCATAGATACAGCTTTCCTTCCAATAGATCCTGAAGACGTGTTTTCAGCACAATGACATTGTCACATATCATTGATTAGCCCATTTTCTAAAAGAAAGGGTACTCCTTGGCGTCGTTGTTTTAACACGTCTTACAATGACGCAGTAACAACTATTTCACTGTACACGACGACAACTATACAAACAACATCTATAGATACATTCTATGCATTCGAAAAACTAACACAAACATATGTTATGNCTTCGCTTCGCAACTGAAATACACGTATCAAGAATACTCCATTTCAATGTCACACATCTTCATTGAACTTGACATAAACATAAACTCCTTGGCGTTTTTATTTTAACACGTCTTACAATGACGCAGTAACAACTATTTCACTGTACACGACGACAACTATACAAACAACATCTATAGATACATTCTATGCATTCGAAAAACTAACACAAACATATGTTATGCATATAATAAAATAAATCAACGAAGATAGTCGTTCCTCATGGACTTGACTAGAAATCTTCACTTGCTTATTGATTTTGATTCAATTCGATTCGATTCGATTCAAATGTATTCCCCCGCTACCAGCATTAGATCAATCGTCAAATCTAGATGAAAAATAGAATCGAATGAAGTTTTCAACTGGATTAAACACATGCATTCTCGGACGTATAGACGAAATACCTTGTTTTGAAGCATTCAGATGCATTTTCTCCATTTTCAATTCGATCTCGTTATGCTGCTTGTGACGACGACGACGACAACAACAACAACGATGATGATGATGATGGTGATGATGGTGACGGCGATGACGATGAGAAGAGCAAGTCAATAGTAAACTAGTTACAAATTCTCATTCTCTACATTCATATACGTATGGTATGTGTTTGTTAACCTGGCACTTTCGATTCAATCAACCCGTATTGATAGAATATGAAAGCAGCAAACTAATAGTCATATACGTTTGATTTTCAACTGAACTATCATGTTTCAACGGCATTTTCATTCGATCTTGTGTACATCAATTGGTACTTCATTCGACAACAATTCGATGATTCGGCACGAAGAATGAAACTTCCCATCGTCATCCTATACAATTTCGACATCGTCAAGATCGATTTTGGCGTTAAAAATACTGTCTCTTCTTTTCCAACGAAACTTGCTCTCATATGAGCAGCGAAATAGCGTGTACATGAATGAGTATGACAAAGCCTCCTCATTCATTTAAATCGACACAAATATTGCACATCTGAAAAGAAATCAATTCTGTTAGCTACGTGTACATATGAATGAACATCAAGCAAAATGACAACGATGCCCAGCTGATCTGTGAAACACGTGAAAATACAACACAACGATGAACATACATGCGTGGCATAAACGATGGCAATCTAAAGGAATAAACGTTCAAGATCTTATTTCTCCTTCGATCCGATCTAGAAAACTTGAATAAAATCAAAAGACACACGTGCATGATGAATATTTGTTTGGATCGATTTGCAATGTAGAAGTCGAAAACAAAGTAGATCTTGAACTGAAATGCACCGCTAGATAATATGATCACGAGAGTGAGAAAAGGCCAAACGTCTTCAAATGGCTGAAAAAGAAAACATGTCACGCATGGAATAGATCTTCGATGTGCACGATGAAGAAATGACATGAGAAAACACATTGAAAAATGAAACACGGAACATACACCTGATCTTCGTATGCATGAAATTCTGAGATTAGACGAAGTCATTTGTATAACGACGAGGAACATACGCAATGATGGCAGTTATTCCAATCGATCGAAAATATGAACAAAAAGAATGGAATGGAAAATCGAATACAGCAAAATAAGCGAGTGAATGAAATTTTGATTTGATTCTATTGTTGATTTGTTTGATGAAGAACAAATAAGAATATTTCGTTGAATGACATCTATTACTAAGCGTAGGGAGAAAACAAATGATTCGATATCTTCTAGAATTTGATGTCATCGAAAAAGAAGTAAGAAGTCAAATCGAACAAGTCGATGACTACGAAGAGAAAATACACGAATGAAACAAACGATTGATAATAGATGATAGAAGTGTTGAGGAAAAGACGACGCTAATTGAAGAATTGTTCGAAACTAACACATGAACGACGATGCAAGATGAATGAAACTTCGACAAACAAGACAATCTTTCATTGTGCGATTGTTTCTTGTCTATTGGACGATGTTGAACCAAAAAGACTGTCTGATGACATGTGCCATACATGTATATGAGCTACACACACACCTGGACACAGCACATGATTCGAGTGTTCGTTTCATTTGAAGAGTATGAGCGAATGAAATGATGAATCGGCTTGTTCGTGAAAACTGAATGAGCAAATGTATTGTTTGAGAGTCAAATGAAAGGGTAGGCTGAACAAGTAACTGACTTGACTCGACTTGATAGGCCAGATGATGAGAACCTGAAAAAGAAAGTCGATGTTACATATATGTGATGCAATTGGAAAGGAAAAAAAAGATTCGCTAGAAGACTAGATAACGAATTAGCAGATGGATTGACTACATTTGATATTATATATGAAGATCAAGAATGAGTAAGACGGACTACACTCGTAGTAGAAAACGAATCAGTAGGTGGATTGAATCCATTTCATATATAATATGAAGTTGACATGGTTGTAGCGAGAACTAGAATAGTAGCCGAAAATGAATCAGCAGGTGGATTGAATTCATTTCATATACTATATGAAGTTGAAATGATTGTCGATCGACGAACTACATACAC